GGGGTTTTTTTACGTCTTATATATTTCTTTCTTTGGTGGGTTGGGGTAGGGTTGGGGTTGGGGTCGGGGTTGGACTGGTCGTTAAATCGTATGCTTTGCTTCTCCTTTTGTGGGGGAATTGGGGAAAACCTTGCCTTTTAAAGATTGGGGGAGGGGACTATTTTGGTAGTGATAAGACTGGCTATAAGCAAATCTCAAATCTTGTATGAGATGTCTTGAGGTTAGGGAAGTAAGTCTAGGACCGAGTTGAGAGAAATTGTTAACGATATGAAGATAGATAGATTCTATTTTACACTGGCGTAGGATTTAGATATCCATTCATTCAGCTTCTATTCTGTGGGGTGAAGAAAAGGAAAAAAGACCTTTTGAAAAGGTAAGGTGGGGAAGAACCACGGAGAGTGCTTGTTGCTTTGGTGCAGGATGAATTGAATTTTAAATAATCGGATTGCATGGAGGTGAGGCGTTGTGTGATCCCGTTATGCTTTGCCTTCCCTTCCTACAAGTCTCTGGGTTTCCCTTCTTGCATCCATAAAGAGAAGGAAAGGCAAAGTTTCAAAACGAATATGTCCAACATGCGTACGTGGCTCCCCAGAAAACATAGGTCGTTGTTTCCCCTTTTTCTTTTCTTTTGTTTAGCGGTAGAAGTCGAACCTACCGGTTAATGTTAGCAACAGTAACAAGTGTGTAATAAGGATTGATATTTTCTTTATGTAGAAAGGAATGGAGAGCGCACTTATCAGCATCCTGTGCTCCCTTGACTTGGCTCGAATAAGCGTCTTCCAAGTCCGACTGGATGATATTGTATCTGTTCTTGCGAACTGCTCGCAGGCCAGCTTCCTGCATGATGGCGGCAATGACAGCGCCCGATAGCGGATCATTCCGAACAATCAACGAGTCCAGATCTACCTCCGGCGACAGAGACATCTTGGAAGCAATGGTGGTGAAAATCAACCGGCGCTCTCGTCGATCGCGCAGCGAGGGGAATTCAATCTTGCGATCGAGACGACCAGGCCGCAGCAGTGCAGGATCCAGCGTGTCGGCGCGGTTGGTCGCCATGATGACTTTTACGTTGCTTGTCTGATCGAAGCCGTCCATTTGATTGAGCAATTCCAGCAAGATACGTTGCACCTCGCGATCAGCACCTGTTTGAGCGTCGAATCGCTTTGTAGCGATGGCATCGATTTCGTCGATGAAGATGATGGCTGGGGCATTTTCGCGGGCCATGCGGAAAACATCGCGGACCATTCGAGGACCTTCGCCTAGGTACTTTTGAACGAACTCGGATCCGACAACTCGGATGAAGTTGGCTGTTGTGCCGTTGGCTACCGCCTTGACAAGCATGGTTTTGCCGGTTCCGGGTGGTCCATATAGAAGCACACCGCGCGGAGGGTCGATTCCTATAGGAGCTTTTGGTTAGCTGCCGAAAACCTAGACAATCAATCACGCCAAGTATGTTATAATACCAATTTGTTTGTATAAATCGAAATGCGTTAGCGGTAGTTCGACGGCTTCTCTAATCTCCTGTTTCTGCATATCCAGTCCTCCCACGTCCGCATATGTCACGTCTGGCTTTTCGTCAATGCCAAGCATAGCAATGGAAGAATCAGCTTCAGGTGGAAGTATGTCGACGAGGGAGTTGGAATGGCGATGTAGAGCGACGGATGAGGAAGGCTTCAACAGTTCGCGGTCAAGTGTAGATAGTATGCGGACGACATAATTCGAGCCTGTTGACGATTGTACTATACCGGTGCTGTAATAAGGCGACGATCGTTAGTATATCTAGCACGAGGAGCGACACACGCAAAACCCTTTGTTGTTTGAACCTCTTACTTTTGGTCGATAGCCTCCATGAACTGGCCTATGACAAGGGGAACACTTTGGATGCGTTTAATTTCTTCTTGGGCTCGAACAAGTTCCCGCTTCAAGCTCCTGGGAAGACATTAGATAATGAAGTATTTCTTGAGTGTTGGAGATATCATACCTCTGCTCGTCCTTGATATATTCCTCTTGAAGGTTTAAATACCTGAGTAACGAATGTTAGTCCGTAGTCAACATGCACGACGCAAACAAATCCGCACATACTCTAGGTGTCGTTGTAATCTCTTGAGCGTAGTATAGTCATCTCCATAGTCATTTCCAACTCCTTCCAGAGGATCGATATTCGGGGTCGCGTGTGCAGGTGTGGTCCTTTTGTACGGCGGCGCAAGGGCCGCTGAGCTCGCAACCACGACGTCTCCCATAGCTACTGGATTTCAATACAGAAGACGCAAAGGAGATGTCAACGGTGAATATGAGGACTTATTCCGAAGATAGCTCAGCTAAAAATCTCGTGCGGAGGGGGAAGATATGGGTACAAGAGCGGTACGGAATAGGTTGCAGTTGTTCATTGAGCTTGCTCCAGACAAGTCGAGCTGGAACTGCAAATTGCACAAGGCGACACAGCGCCAAGATTATCACGTGAAGTTCATAACCTCATCCACATTTGGGAGTTATCTCGTCCAGGAGATTAAGCTTGATGGGATGTGATAAATAATAGCTTGAATACTAGTGTAATTTGAAAATGATTAGGGCTTTCGAAATCTCACAGTCTCCAACTTCTTTCTGTCGAAACGGATCTGGTCTAGCATACGGGGTTCTAAATCCACCACTCTTTCGAGATAACATAATATAACCGCCTCAACGTATGTAAATGATATCGTATACACCCATCTGTCCTTGCATCTCACAGTCGATATAGCAGGACTTGTTGCAACGGCACGATTCTAGACATCGATCCAAGTATAAAAGCCTAATATCAAAGCTTACGCACCCCTCACCACACATGATGAGGAATCTTGTAACAATCGGAGCCTGCTATCTTGATACAATCCTAACGTGAGAAATATATGTGAATATATCAAGAGAGGGCGAGAGAGGGAGGGGGTTATTAAACCCCAATACTAACATTTCCACATAGCGTAGACCACTATCCAGGAGAAGACGAAAAACTCCGCGCATCACGCATCTCCCGACGACGGGGCGGAAACACTCTGAACACACTCGAAGTTCTCCAGCAGCTACTCGAATGTGGTTCCTCAAAAGACACGAATACTCCAAATACTGCCAGCGCTGCTCAGATATTATCGGACAGACAGCAGCAGAATACCACCTCCCCGCTATGTGCCATTGCAGTACTACCTGCGAGATCGTCGCCGGCCACCAGGGAGCTCGAAGCATCCTTCGGTCCAGGTTCTCGAGTCGATCTCCAACACTGCATCTACCGTGAACAATGCAGCGACGCGGCGTCAAGCTATATCATTAAGAGTGCTTCTACAGGCAGCAGGACTATTGTAAACTATAATAATTTGCCAGAAATGACAGTATCGGAGTTTGTGGAGATTGCGGAGAGGTTGGCGGCCACTGCTTGTTGTCCTAGATGGTTTCACTTTGAGGCGTGTATATTTTCTTTCTTTCTTTCTCTTTTTGTTTTATTTTGTGCCATATATGTAGCGATATCCTAACCACTTTCTCCAGGGCCGCATACCAGCCGTCACGCGGAAATGCATACAGTACCTCCGCCAGAGCTTCCCCGGTGACAAAGTCAGCGTCGAGGTCGAAAAACCGGGTCGGGAGGGTCTCCAGGACCTCGCTGCGGTAGCAGACGTGGTTTTCTACTCGAAAAGTTGGGCGCAGGTACAGCAAAACAAAACACTCTTATCTACTGTGACACAGGGGCCAAAAAAAATAAACAAATACAATAAAACCGTTCTGCTCACAGGCCTCCTTTCTAGGCAAACGGCTACGGGTCACTCGAGGATTTTCTACGAGCACAATCGCCTCTAACGCCCCGAGCGTATGTCCTTTTTTTTTTTTAATTCCTAAGCCTCCCGACATATTAAGATTCACTCCATCTCACCCTTACATTGGTTGTATCTAACAGATTTTTTAAGGTCGATATTATGTTGCACGTGGGGCGAGCGTGGCGCAGCATGCTTGCACAGGGGCAGCATGGAATATATCCATTCGCCGGCGTATATAGACACGCAACGTCCCGTGGTTGAGTATGCGAAATATCCTTTCCTATGTGTGGTTTTGTGCCTCCTTGAAAAGGAAATAATAAAACACGGGGGAGGATAGTAGAGAGAAGACAGCATATTACCTTTATTACTAACCCATTAAACCCGCAAAATTAAAACAACAGTACGATCGGGGCAGGCGACACCTTCATAGCGGGAATGCTGCACCACTTCATCCGTCGCCCTGAATCTGACGGCGACGATGATTTCAGTCTTCTGCGGGCCATGGATTTCGCGAATCATCTTGCGGGCCGCAAAGTAGTACAGGAAGGGTTTGAGGGGCTTGGTGCCGCTGCCATTTGCTCTGAGACGAGTTAATTTATACTGTACATTCATACCCCATGACGGGTGTTTTTATATGTATCGAGATTCGAGATATGGGATTATGATAGGTCCATCTGGCGCCCAGCTATCCTATCCTGCCACCCATATACGACACCTAGATTAGAGCTGATATTAGTAGGAACGGGGTAAATAATATCGTTTATATGTTGTTGAAAATACTCAAGGATTCGAGGGGAACTGTTAGTTATGGTTTTTGCCGATAAGATAATATCAAAATGGAACAAGGTTTTTTGGGATTCGACAAAGTAAGATAAATGCCTTCTCACATAACTGGGGGTTTGATGCGTTAACTGAGAGTAGTTACGACAAACCAACCTTCCATCTCATGATTTTAATTGATATTGACTAGGATCTCTTCCTCTTTTCTTTAAAGTTCTTTTGAGTGTTTAATGACATTCCATAAACAAATCTCAATCTGTTGTGTTCTTGGTATACTTAAAACCCGTTGAACATAACTCTCAATGATACCAACTATATATTCTATTAATCAAATAGTAGTTGCGACTTGCAGCAGAGTATTTATTTAAATGCTTAAATGTGATGGGATTTAACTTTGTATTCTGATAGTGGATTTAAATGGGTTCGCTTCGTTCTCTTTATGTTATATCAGTGCGTTAAGCATGACTTAATCTATACAAATTTGATGGAAGAGGAATATCTCTATTATCTTTGATTGCTGCGCTCTGTTCTGCCCCAAAACTTATTTGAAGGTCCATTTGCTACCCCCATAACGGGGATGCAAGGGGCAGCCTGCCCCCGGTATTATTTGTCCCTCTCGTAAATAGCAATGATAATAGTAGTCTCAGCGATATCTTCACCCTCGGGCCCTTTATACAATACCTTGTGGGGGGGGGGGAGGGGGGGGAGGGGAAGATTCCAGCAGGGGGGATAAAACTACCCGGCGCAGCTGGAGAACATCCGAGGAATAAGCAAATAGAGTTTTTCCAACAATGATTGACTCTGGGGAAGGCCAATAACGCGCAGCAAATCCACCAAAGTCTCGATAATGATTATCCAGTAGTACATTTCGGAATACATACTATATAGATAAATAGGGATACGTATAAAAGGCGCAGGAGGTGCCCGCCACTTCCCTCCAGTTTTAGTAATTATTTATATTCTTATTGTTGCTTTCCGCTTCCGCTTCGTCGGCTTCTTCTTTCTTTCCTTCTCCTCTCCATTGTTTGTAGCATCTGGACAAAAATTACTGGTTACATCCATATATATTTAATGTTTCCCCCCCCCCCCCAACTCATCGCGACCGCTGCAATACATTACTGATAATATCTTCACTTCCTCGACTTGCTGTCACACAGGACTCCACTGCTTATTCCCTTAAAAGACAACCAGCCCTTCCCTCTCGAGCTAGAATTCCGGGACAATGCTCGCTTAGCTTCCCCCAGAAGATCTCGCGATATCAATCAACATATCTCTGGAAAGAAGAGAGGGAAAAAAAAAAATGGAAAGAAAGAAATGGAAAGGAGATCTGCTGGCACTTTTTGCGAGTTGGAAGCTGAATGATAAATTGCAGCTTTTGGACGCGATGGACTGACTGATTGACAGACTTTCCAATTACTTCCCATTTCTTTTCTTCCCATTATATTACGAGTAATGACGGGGTAATGAAGAACCTGAGTATGGCTGAACGATCTGGCAACGAAGTGGGTATAACCACGGGCCTGGCTGGGGCGTTTGTGAACTCTGCACCGAAGGCTCCCGACCATTGTCGAGATCATATCATCATGGTCAATAAGCTAATATATATTATGACAACCGGGTTCCCTTGCTGCTACCTGCTGCTACATCATGCTGGACCCCAATTATATTGACTGACTGACTGACTGACTGACTGACTGACTGACTAGCGAACTAACTCCTGTTCTTCTCATATCAACCATTGATATCAACTATTCCCGTTATATTCGTTGCTGCTGTCTTTAACTCTCTCCCAATCCAATTTTGATGCGCAGACTTGTGGGAGGATGCACAACCGACTTGCAACAGCACCAATGCGGCCATGCCCAAAGAGGCCTAGGCGAAGGGGCCATCGCGACGCTGATTGGCCGCCATTCGCAGCCACCAGGCGCCACCGGGCTAGCCTCGGCTGGGCATTTCCCCAGGGATCCAGCAGGCGCACCCAAGTGACCCAAACCAACCTTGGAAGGCGGCTCGTTTCCTCTTCCACTGTCTCCAGAGTCAGAGTCAGAGTCTGAGTTGTCCGTCCGTCCGTCTGTCTGTCTGTCTGTCAGTCAGTCATCACCGTCACCGTCACCCGTCACCGTCACCTTCGCTGCCAGCGTTGCCTCGTCTCCCTCTGATCTTTGGCGCTTCGCTTCCCCTTCCAAGTTCCCGCCAACCAGGCTGTCGACCCTGACAAGCTCTGGCCTGACCCGATCTTCCCGGCCTGCAGCAGCAGCGATTGATTTACCCCCTCAGGCAAGTAAGTCTCTTTAACTCTTACGGCCGTGCTCCGACGCCTCTTTACCTGGTTCGAATTTGTTCCCATCCCGGGACTTATTATTATTACTACTGACCGTTCCTGGGCACCTTCATGCCAAACACTACCCCCTCCCCCCCCCAATGATAGGGATTGTTGGATTTAAATTAACCCATAATAATAATTAAATAATACTAGGCCACACCCGCCTCGCCTCTTTCGCCGGCTATTCTAACGCTCGCTCTCCATCCGCCCGGGAAAGACATCCATAAAGCTTCGTTTTAACTCTTTGCCCGTAAAAATAATAATACTTCCTAGGTATGATGACGTCCTATGATGATACATATTTTCTTATGCCCCTTTTTCCCCTTTGTTCCCCTATTTCTGCCCATGCTACCGTTATTTCTCTTCTTGTCGTCCACTCTCTGGGCGGCTAATTTTGGGTGCCATAGACACGCACACGCACACACACACACACACTCACAGCAGCCTCTCTAGATCCCAGTTCCCAGTTCCTGTCTTGTGTGTGCGTTTGACTCCTCAAACTATAATTTCCCAAATTCCCCTCATAGTCTATGTATTACTGTCGTCATTATGGGTATCACCCGATTCATCCTCAGCCCTATCCCCAATGATCAACAGCAGCCTCCCACCGCTGTTAGTTACAATATGTATGCATACTACTGTATACTCCGTACTGTATACTGTATACTGTATACTGCATACTATTCTCGTCGCTATCCTTTGCTGTCCTTTGCCGTCCTTTTTCCTTTTGCCCCCATTCCCCCCTTCTCCCCTTCCTTCCTGGCCTGTCCTGCTCTCCAAAATTCCCACCCCCATCAGTATTAATTCTGCGCGTTCGCACTTTCCCGCTTACTCATCAAACAAAGGTCACATGGCCCATTGCTGATTAGTCACCACATTCCCAATCGGGTTATGCCGTCGTCCACGTGATATCCTTCTTACCATCTCACCGCCTTCTCCTTTCGGCAACCCGGCGTGCCCTTGGTGTCCCTTCTGTCCAGCGAACGAAAACAGTCGGTTGAGTTTAGTCGAACCCGCGACGGCCTTGCCTGGCACTCACTGACCGACCAGAACCTGCGCCTGCGAGCCCGGGGAAGAAGCGCGAGAGCCCGCTTTCTGTTGTCCTGCGCCGGCGAACGAAGAGACGAACAGCCAGAACACGCACATTCACATTTCCCCCCCCAACAAGGAAAAGAAGCATTCCATACCTCCCTCCACTCGCACGCATACACGCACACTCTTGCTCAATCTTCCTTGGCTTTGCCGTAGCCCGGTAGAATCGATCGTGTCAGGTACGTTCTTGCTTTCATATCCGATGCTAAATATTTCTTGCAGCTCCTTTTTGATTGTCGTTTATTATTATTTTTTGCTTTGCCCTAGTTTTATCCTTTGCTTTCCCATGGTCCACATCAATTATAATCATCCCAAATATCTGCTCCATGCCACGCCACATCATAATATTCTACGACTTTTCATCGCTGTGGCTGCGGTGTCTCGTGGGTTCGCGGCTCGTTTTCATCCCACAAACCTCTTGATGCTGTGATATGGCTATTCTTCCTTTTGTCTCCCTCTCCCGCCTAGTGAACGCGTCCATTTGTATTAGCGTTTTTTTCCCTTTTCACTTTTATTATCTGACTTCTTTCTTTCTTCTTCACCTTTTTTTTGGCCTTACTTGCCCCTGGCTACCAACCCCGGCTTCGCCTAACCTAGAGTTTTTATTCCTGGATGCTATTTCCTGTCGCGTTGCCATGCGATTACTGTATTGGTCCCGATTGTTGCTGAGCTTTGCTGACACCTCATGGCTGTTTTTAAGACGGATGGGTAGCTAGAATTTACACGCCATGAATGCCTGGCTCTCCGACGCCGCGACTGCGAACATAACTAACCACGACAATGGCGCTTTCACTAATAACCCGACCATCGACCCATCGATGGCCTTCCTTCATCAATCACCTACCTCTGCCGATCCTGCCCAGTTCCAGCGCATGTTCAATAATGGCGGCCCCCCGACTATGTCGCCCGGCTTCCACAACCCCAACTCAGTGATCCCTTCTAAACGACAGCGTCCCGATGATGGGATGTCCATGTCTCCTAGGCTTGCCCCTGGTGGTTTGCCTAATTCTCGTTCGCACACCCCTCAAGTGCCATATCCGGGTTATCAGGGCCAACAGATAAATGGAGCATCGCAATTTCCTCAGCCGCAGCATGCGCCAACTCCTTACCAGCACCTACAACCGGGAAGCTCGGCTAATGCGAGCCCATCCCCTATACTCCCGGAATTTGATCAGCAAGCTGTGCAACGGGTGCAAACTGCGTCTCCTAGTCCGTTTTCGCCCGCTGGAATCCATGTTGGCCCACAAATTTCTCCTTCACACTCTGATCATGGCAGTCGCGTCAATACTCCACAGAACAGCCCCTTCCCCCCAGGCCAACCTTATGGCCAGGTTGTCGGATCCCATTTCTCGCCATCACCTGCAATGACTTCCGCTGGCATTCATCCTGCGATGCAAGCGCAATTCAACCAAAGCGGTGCTTCCCATCTCCCGCAAGGATTTCCTCATCAGCCACAGCAACAGCAGCAGCAACAACCACCACCACAACAGCAACAGCAAATGTCTTCGAAACAGCGGCCTTATCAAATTCGGCTCCAAAACCAAGCGCGCCAGATGCAGGCAGTTGCCACTCCTGTTTCAGTGGGGCGTCCAATTGGCCCTGGTGGAACGGGGCAGACCCCTATGCAACATCCCCATATGGCGACCATGCGACAAATACAGCAAAATATGGCTAAACCTACGAGTCAAGAAGGGTTTCTACAGGTCCTTCAACGGTTCTGGATGTCACGGGGCCACCCTCAAGTCAACCTGACCCCCGTCGTCAGTGGACGACCTCTCAATCTGATGCAGCTATATGCGACTGTCATGAAGATGGGTGGCTCAAAAAAAGATTATTGCGACAAACTTGTGGCCTGTGTGGACCAACAACTTCAGTTTCCCGCCATGCAGTATCCAACAGCAGCGCAGGAGATCCGTGAACACTACATGAACTCCCTCGCGCAATATGAACAAGCGTGGTTAAGTTCGCAGCAGAAGCAATTCACAGATCAGATGCACGGTAGTTCCCAGCGGGATCCTCTAGAAGGCCCTCTCGGCATTAACCCTCAAGTGTCACCCGCCAAGCCCATGGGCAACCATTCGTTCGACATGCCCATGCCCCAACAATTCTCCCCGGTCTCGGCTCAGAACCAGCAAGTACAATCGCATAACCACGCCCCTCCTATACCGGTAAATGGCTTCGCGACTCCGTCACAATCTAAATCCCAACAGCAGAAGCATACTAGCCATCAGCAACGATCGAGTTTGTCCCGGCCACCAGAGTCGATGTCTCCTAATGGACGGGTTGCCCAGTTTTCAGCATCCCCTATCCAAGCGGAGAAAAAACCCAGTCCCGTTGTAACAAAATCACAATCTGGCAGCGGCGGTATGGCGGGTGAGGAGCTGACGAGCACATCTTGGCGACGACCTATAGAAGACACGTTCAAACCTGCTGTGTTTCCTGAAAGCCAATATCATGGGCCTATTATTGTGGACGAAATGTTCCAACTAGGCGAAGAAATTATACGATTGAAACCTAATGTACCTAGTTTTTTGGAACTTGGGGTAATCGATATTCACGCTCTGACCATGAGCATTAAATCGGGCATTCACGCCGAGATGCGCATGGCGTTGGACACCTTGACGGAGATGTCTAATGAACGATCGATACAGGTTTCACTCGATAATTGCGAAGACCTCGTTGAAGCACTGGTCGAGTGCGCTGAGGAACAAGCAGAGCTTCTTGCGGAGAACGCGGCTGAAGTTTCCGATGTTATGCTCTTTCCGTCGTATGAAGAGGTTTTCCGAGGCTGTCGGCAAGAGATGGAAGCTTTGCTGGATGTACCAGAGTTTGGCAGCCTAGATTATGAACTCGATCGCGCCGTGGACCGGCTCATCTGTATCACCACCATCATACGAAACTTCTCCTTCGCTGAATCGAACCTGGCTTCGCTGGGTATGCCCTTTGTCGTCCGATTTATATCGACGATAATACGGTATTTAGGAACAAGAAACATGTTGTTACGAACTCACCAAAATACCCTGGATTTCATGAAAGACGCCGTCATTTACCTCAGCAATCTGTCTCATTCTATTCAACTTCCTGGAAAGGACGAAGCACTCTGTTTATTACATTTCCTTTTATCCTTTGCCCCGACTCCTGTCCCAACCTCTTTCGGTAATAACACTATTATGTTCACGCCATACAACCCAAGCATACACAAATATTTGCCTGCCGCTGTAGACAGCTTAGCCAAACTACTTGCGCGAGACGACCCAAATCGCACCTACTACAAAGCCATCTTCGCTCAGGACTGCGCCTCATCACCCCCCTATGAACTCCTCACACGAACCTTGGGCCTCTCCATCGCCGCCATCCCAAAGCACATGCGAGGAAACATCGTTGGCCTAGTCGACGCCCGCAAACCACTACTCATGCAGGGCATGCTCGCCGCAGAGATCCTCTCCGGCTTCGCAGATAACACCATCGCGCGCTCCTGGCTCGAATCGACCGATGGCTTTGCCACCAGCCTGCTCCGCCTCGCCTGTCTCCTGAGCATAGATCGCACAGCAGGGAACGCCTCCGCTTCTTCGGTGACCGCGTCGTCAGCAACGGCAGTGTCGCACCGGCACGGTAGCCACCCAGGCGCCCGGGCTGCGGAGGTGGAATTCCATGGCTATGGGTCCATCACGTCGCGGGCACTAGCGACCCTTGTGCGCCTTGCGCGGAAGTCGAGGATGGCGGATTCTACTAGCGGTGGCGGTAATAATAATGCGGGAGGGAGTGGAAGTGGAAGTGGAAATGGGAGTAAAGAGGGTGAAGTTCCGTTGGGAGTGTTGCCGAAGAAGGAGAATTTGCTCGGCGCACTTTTGACGCCAAATATTGACCCAAATGTTGTGAGGCAGCTTTGTGAATATGCGGGGTTGGGAGGTTGAGATTTACCTTGGTCTGTTCTTCCTTTTTGCATTATGCCTTTGCTATTAATTTTTATTCACTTTTGTATTTTTTTGTTCAGCCGGGCTTGGCTGGGTTGGAATGGGGCGTCAATATATATATATACTTTTATCCTTATCTTTATCCTTATCTGTATTTTGTGTGAAGGAGGAGGTATTCTCAACAGGACGGAATGGGCGGATGTGCAACGCAATTCAATGCGAATGCAGAGTACAGGGGGCAAATTGGGGTTGTCGACGAATCCTTTCTCCGTTTATTTCCCCTCTTTCCTTCTTTTTTCGCCTTTTTCTTTCTTCTTTTTTTCGTCCTTCGTCATCTGTCACTGTCTCTCTGTCTCCCCCTCTCAATCTTGAGTGTTTTTATATTTTCCACTGTATTTTTCATTTTCGTTTTTGTCGTGAGTGAGTGAGGGATTGATTGATTGGTTTGGTTTTTTATTGTGTATCTAGCTAGCTATCCTACATATATCATCTTCGTCTTCAATTTTTTGTCTTGTATGTATCCTTCTCATGTTCATTTTTGGCCTTGTCTATCTACGCACACGTGTGTATACGACTGGTGGTATATGTTTCTTACTGTGCAGGGGATTTTATCTATCTTATCTTCTCGTTGCATTTGCTTTTACTTTTAATTTTCAATTTACTTTAAATTCATTTCGAAAAAGAAAATGGGCTGTTCTATTCTCGTTCACCGGTAGCTACTGTAGCTAGCTAGATTGGCTAGGTGCTGGATGGATCCATTGAATGTTAAAGCACTTGATTGATAACTCACTATTATATCCTCATTGTTAAAGGAATGACGTTTACCATGAAAGAATCGACATTCCTTTCCTTTTTCTTTTTCCTTTTCCTTTTTTCTTCTTCTTGTGTCGTGCTGGTTCTGTGCAATGGCGAATTGATACCACACCTACCTACCTACCTACCTACCTATCTGCGTACCTATCTGCGTACCTATCTGCCTACCTACCCATCTACATCGTCGTCTGCTGCTTGGAACAGCTTCGTAAAAAATGTCACTGTACGTGTGACAACATAGTGAGAAGGAGGGGGTGAATACATGACGTGAGAAAATATACAAAAATATAGTATTAGTATGTACAGGACATGTGCAATGTTTACGAACGAGACGCGCGTAAGCAAAATAAGCTGAAATGGAAATGGGAAATGGAAATGGGAACTCTTCTGGAGAAACAACGAGTAAGAAATGGAAATGGAATGGAATGGAATGTTTTGATGATATGATTGATGATGGTGATGAAGGTAACGGTAATTTTGAGATAAGCTCCGCAGGGAACTTAGTCTGAGGGAACAAGAACGAGAACGAGAACGAGAACGAGAACGAGAACCAAGAGTGCAAAGAAGAGCGGTGTCAATTGATACGTTCCACCCCCTCCTGAATAACTCAGACTGACCCAAAAAAAAAAAAAAAAAAAAAAAAAAAAAAAAAAAAAAAAGAAGAAGAAGAAGCACGAAGGAGAAGAAAAGAAAAAAGAAAATGGTATCGCAAAATTTTTTACGTCCCTGCGCAAGCAAACACATACATTCCACCCCTCTTCGTCGTTTATCAATGATTGGTAGGGACGTGTCCTTTCTACCCCCCTTTTCTTTTTCCTTTCCATTTCTATTTTTTCAAGGTGAGTTGTATTGTGCTTAAACTCGTGCGATACGAGTGGGAGGGACGGAATATATACAAATAGGGAGTTGGGAGCTGTGTCGTCGGAATATAGAAATACTTGTTCGGTCTTTCGATATCCCCCCGCCCCCGGGCTAACTCCTCCCGTTGTTCTTCTTTCCTCCTATTAGAATTTTCGATCTAATAAGAATTGTTGGATTTCCGGTTTCCGCCAGCCCTAAATTGGTTTCCAGGTTTTTGTTAGTGCTTTTACAGGTTGGATTTTGTGTTATTCCGTGGACACCAGTTAAATTAATGTTCCCCCTTTGTATAATCTTATAGTATTGAGGGTTTTGGAGTTTATTTTTCTCTTTTCCTCCTCTTTTTCCCTTTTTCTTTTTCTCGTTTTGGGCAAATGACGGGATAACTGAAGAAAGGGTGAGTGCACACAAACACAAATACACACCTTAACAATTACATGTCCATTTAATCGATTGATATATATATCTTTGGAATTCGGCTCTATCCCTAGAGTCTTCGCCAAATCCGAACATAGCGCATCAACATCTCCCTCGGTTTTCTGGATCTTCGTCTCCTGCTTCGTCCCACCAGCTTTTGTCACTAGGTAGACAGGCAATTGGTTTGAAGGAGTGCGACGGATGAAGTAGGGGAGGTTCGTGAGGGGAAGAGGAGGATGGACCGGAGCAGGCTGTGTGGTTGTGGGTGTCGATTTGTTTGCCTTTGTGGAGTTGGATTGTGTGAATGGTCGAGTTATTCTGGTAGTGATGTGACGAGCTTGTGTGGTGAAGGATACGAACGGGCGGTTTAGGGATTCTAGGGAAGGTTAGATATTTTATTTTGAAAAAATAGAATGTAATTGTCAACCAAGCGATCCGTCTATCCACTATGGGTGCGATGGATAGCGTTGCTAGAGTAGAAGGGAAAGGAAAGGGTAAATTTACGCGATCTACATGTCCGAGTCCGTGGCAGACGTTGTGATAGCGACGAAAATGACGGCTTGCTAGATGAATTTGATCTAAGGAATAAAGAGAGCATTGAGTATTGTCGGCGAAGCACCGACGAGACGGGTGATGAAGGGAGGAGAGCGGCCATGTTAAAAGCTTAGAACCAACGGACAGAAGTTGTTGAGGTTAAGGGCTGGGGTTAACGAATTAGACACTAAGTAGAGAGGTATAGAGCTGAGGAACGAGGCTATCGTTACAGTTTGATAGCCTTCAGCTGTTGACAGGAATCGTCTTCCGATTGTTCCCCGCGTGTTGTGGTCGTGATATCAATTTGACGTCGGTTTTTTTATCCAAGCTTGAAGCCAGACACTGCACTATCTTTATTCGGCCTAGTGCGAACTTTTTGCGGCTCCCACTACATTTTGAACTTCCATTTTGAACAGTTTCGCAAAGCTCCCGAACGCATCAGCCAGACACCCTATATCCCATTCCACCGCTGCAGCCGCTATTTCACCATGACAGACAAGACACCCCCGTCTGCTGACACCCTGCTGAAGGGTGCCGCATCGCGTTCCGCAAAGACCCCCGAGGAGATCGCCAAAGAATATGATCTTCTCCCAAAACTCATGCCCTACCTCGATCGTCACCTCGTTTTCCCCTTGCTCGAGTTTGCATCTGGCCAGGAGGAAGGAGATGAACAAGTCGACGAGTTAACCAAGGCAAAATATGAGCTTCTGAAGCAGACAAACATGACAGACTACGTCGCGAACCTGTGGCAGGAAATCAACAACTCCGAGACAATGCCTGAGGAATTCGTCAAGAAGCGGGAAGAAGTTGTAAAGAAATTGCAGCAATACGTTGAGGACAGCAGCAAAATCACAGAGCTTTTGCAGGACGATAATGTGGTCAGCAATCTACGAAACGACAAGGCCGCGAACTTGAAATTTCTTGAGGAACAACATGGTGTGACGATGGATATGGTTAATATTCTTTACGACTATGGCCGGTTTCAATATAGCTGTGGTAGCTACGCAAACGCTGCTGAGCTGCTTTACCAGTTCCGTGTCCTGTCTACTGATAACGACAAGGTTGCGTTTGCTACGTGGGGCAAGCTTGCCTCGGAAATCCTGACCACTAACTGGGAGGCTGCGATGGAGGAAGTCCAAAAAGTAAAGGAATCAATCGATACCCGCCTGTTCAACAACCCGCTCGCCCAGCTCCAGCACCGCACCTGGCTGATCCACTGGTCCCTCTTCCCCTTCTTTAACCACGACCCTGCCCGTGACACTCTGACCGATCTTTTCTTCTCCCCGGCCTACATCAACACGATCCAAACCGCTTGCCCATGGATTCTTCGATATCTTGCTGCTGCAGTTATCACCAGCCGCAGCCGTGCCCATAAGAATACATCACTGTATCAAAAGCAATTGAAAGACCTTATTCGCGTGGTACGACAAGAGCAATATGAATATCAAGATCCCATCGTAGACTTCATTAAGGCGTTGTACATCGATTTCGATTTCGAAGGGGCTCAGCAGAAGCTGGGCGAGGCGGAGGAGATTCTGAGGAATGATTTCTTCCTCGTTGCCGCGGCAGATGCATTTGTCGATGCGGCAAGACATTTGATCTCGGAGAGCTACTGCAAGATTCACCAGCGTATCGATATAAAGTATGTTTTGTTTTTTTTCCTCCAAGAAATATGTACACCAAACTAACAGCGAATTTGTAGGGATCTATCTACCCGACTTGGTCTGAACCAAGACGAAGGCGAGAAGTGGATTGTCAACCTTATCCGTGACACTCGTGTCGATGCGAAAATCGACTACAAAGAAGGGACTGTTCTTATGAACCATCCACCCCAGTCAGTATATCAGCAAGTCATCGAGAGAACCAAGGGTGCATTTTTCAGAACGCAAGTGTTGAGGTAAGTAGTTTTGATTCTTTTCTGTATTTCGTATAATATATAAATTTACTAATTCCACTTCTCGTAATAGTGCGGCTGTCGCCAAATAAGTATAATCGAGAAAGAGATGATAACGGATAGAAGTTAGTAGTTCGATTGAAATAACGAGAGAAGGACTGGAAACGGGATTTAATGACATAACATGCGGTATCCTTTCTTTTATTCTTTTTTTTTAAATCCCTCTGTCTCTATTCTTCTTTTTGTCCTAGAAAAAGAAAAATATCTTGTTGCACGTGAAGTTCCGCTTTTTCCTTTTCGCGACCTTATGTCGATCTACCCCTATGATGAATGGCCGTTGGGCATCTGGCTGGCGTTTAACATTTTTTTTTTTTTTTTTTTTTTAAATTTTTTTTTTGTTATTTGACTCGGAATTTTTGTCGACTATTTGCGCTTCTTCTCAAGGTTTTCTTTCTCCTTGGCCCATGTGATAGAAGATTTTCACAGCAGTCGTAGATCTCAGTGGGGTTGCGGGAATGGACTGGTTATTTGTTAAACTTACTGAGTCTTCTTTTATCATCCTTAGAATGACATCGCATTGTTGTGATTGACCGTATGTAGGATTCATATTACCTACCTACCTACCTATTTCACCCAAGAAACAAAACCTAGCTAAGATCTGCTTTATAAAAGCGATATTACAAGCGATTGCCGTCGGTGAATATGGACATTATAGCAGCAGCAGCAGCAATAGCCATTGTCCGCTGGTTTCCCAAAGTGCACAAAGCTCGTCCGAATACAACCGACTCATGGCAGGATGGGTGGAGCGGGGGAAGGAGAAATGGTTCGGCAGTAGTCGTCTTCCTGTTGCTTCGGCCATCGAGAAATATAGTGGCGAAACTACCGGTCCGCATCCATATATGCAGGGGACGACGGACGACGTGGGTCACGGGTTTACCCTCATAATAGCCGGGGCGATGTTCCGTGGGCGATCAGATAACGATGGTATGTTAGTTGTTCAAGCCCTGGTTCTTGTTTTCTGCTGGAGGTCGGATGCTTGTTTCCGTCTGAAGATACATTGACACAGAAATTTTTGCTGCCTGCACCAAAATATCCATTGAAAGAAATCACATTATCAGATGACCACCGACATCCTCTTCCGCATCATTGGCCCAATGTTCAAGGGCATGTAGCAACACTTTAATGTAGGGTATTGCGATAGAGTGATGGAGCTTCACAGCATATAGTGGACGAAACGTAGTAGGACGATGCAGGTTCCCTGAAATGGAGGTTGCGAGGGGTAAAGCTGAGCTATAGCACTGCAAGCATTTGTCTCTTTGCTAGGGTGGACGGAAGTCGTCTAACGAAATGTGATTTGTGATTTGACGTTAGACTTGAAATCGATTGCCTGGTGAAGGCTAATGCAAGGTTGCAATCCGGGTTGAGAAGTTGTGGGAGCAGTCTCATTGGCACAGAAATCAGATGGGTACACAGTTTGGTGGGTGGCATTTGGTTCAGCCGAAGTCTTCCAGGGAGGCAATGGGGAGATATTGTTGGGAGTAGCGCTGATGCCAGGCAAGAAATTAATGTCTGGCATTCGTCGACGGGCAAGAGACTTAACGGGGCAGATATAGAGACCTTCAAGATGGCTATTTTAAGGCCAAAAAACTTATTTTGCTTTTCTATCCTTTCTATCCTTTTTAAATATACCTATGATATTGCCAAAGAAAAATAGGTAAGTTGGAATGAAACGTGGCCCAGTCCAGGGAATACAAATGGCGATGGAGATCAGCATCTCGTCTCGTAACGGGAACATCCTGAGGAATTGGTAGACTAGATCCTTCTTCCAGACCGGCCTTTCAGATGATATATGATTTTCACACGGGTTTAGCTTTTGTTCACTGGGACAAGATGAGGGAACAGCTAATCAGAAGCTCTATACCATCATCCAATTTAGAAATCCCAAAAGTAGGAAACGCACGGCTTGAAGTGGTTGGTTGTCCGGAGGAATGTGAAGTCCATGGAATTTCCAAGGCCTTAGGGGATGATCCGAGGTCTGTAAAAGTGTTCTGTTGCCCACTGTATCCCCGTTTCTGCTTCAGCCCCGCGATGTATCCCGGGTCCTGTACTGGTGTTTTCGGAGGTAGGATTTCTATGTGCGTATTAGGTTACCACTTGCGGAAGTAAGCCTGAAATCGATATTAGGGTGGAGGAAGGAAGGAGATTCGAAAACACTCATGCACAGAATTGTTCAGCACGAAAAAGTCGATTTGGATAGAAAATAGTGAAACAAGTCGATTACAGATATTTTCGCTATCCAATAACTCCTTCGAAACTCCGTAACGCTTCCATTCCGAAAAAGCCAACGATATCCGTCCTATTCCCATCGCCTGAAAGTAACCGTGACGTTGCCGGCTCCAAATCCCAGGCCCGCTTCCACCCCAACCCCCGAGCGAGTTATTTTGGGAGACGGATCAACGTGTCGCAGGTGAGAAAATTGTTAAGAACTTTCGAAAAGCCCTTCCCTAATGTCCAAACACCTGCAGAGGTTTTTGAACGTAAATGATCGGATGATACGATTGGCAAATATTATTTTCACCACGATTGTTTCTGCCGGGTACGACGGTCCGATGGAACGTATCTGTCTCTATTTCTCTCGGTTTCTCTTTCACGGTCCTTTTTTCGATCGGTGGGAAGTTCTGGTTCCTGATCGCGTGGCCCAAAGCTTACCAATTCATTGATATACTGTGCCGATTTGCCGTTGGTATTAAAATTGGGGTTGTTGTGAGCCATCCTCATAGCAGCACCTTTCTCGTATTCCAAAGACATGGTCGTTAGATCCTCGATTTGTTGCTATGCAAAATGTTAGATCATAACCTTGAGAACGGAAGGGAGCTTCCCCTTTTAACTTGAGGTCAGAACATACCCGAGTCAGACGCGTCCCAGTTATAAGGTAGCCTTCACGTCCCTGCAATCTGGGTTAGATCTAATAGCACTTAATTCACGCAATGGGTGCCCATACCTGAAAACTAAACGGCCTGGCCGAAGAAGCAGGCCCCAGGAAAAATTGTATTTGGGTAACGACGACATGACGTGATAGCCCATATCCGGGGAGCCAATATTGCTGAGATTGGGGCATTCTGCAAAAGGTCAAGATTGGAGGTATCAATGAACCTATGAGTCGGTTTGATCAATGTGGTTTAAGCAAGAAGAGTAGATAGATAGATGTTGAGAGACGAAGAGACTGATATACAAGGAATACACGGAGAGTGACATAAGTAAGGCAAACTAAATCCATTTCACAGAGGGAATGAGTGGCCGTATTTATATGAAGCTTGCGGATACAACCTGAAGTCCCATTTCGGATGTTGAATGACCTTCATCCAAGCTTTAGGCAGGGCTGACGGCGCTAGACCTGAAATTGCATGGCGGCATATTTCCCGTTTTGGATGTCTGGGCCCTTCCAAGTCGAACATGCAAAACCAAACAAGGGTCGCCCCGTTTACGCCGCCTCACTTTGAATCGAGTTTGGCGGTGTCCATCCAGATCGTTCCTACTTGGCCCATACGAAACATTGTGAGAGCTTTGTATGCACTTCGCTTCTCCCGGTGCAGGAGTGAAAGTATCGTGTTCTTCCGCGATTTGGCCATTATTCCTTCCGCGGTCTCGAATTACTATTTTGATGCAGATATTCCTGTAAGACTACTGCGAACCTTTTGGCCTGCGTGTTTCTTCGCCCGGGCGCCTCCGCTCCTCTGTGCATCCTGGAAAAGGCTACAAAGTTAAAAGGATGTAAAGTGGAAGGAAGGGGGGTTGAGGCAAGAGTGCAAGTGAGGTTAAATTGTAGAAAACCATGTCAACAAAGTTGATGTAGCTGGAAGACGGTCTACTCAGAAGAAAGAAAATAGCAATATCTTTATTGCACTCCAAATCCTACAAATACACAGTTATTAAGGTCATGAGCTTGCATTGGATGGCGAACCCCATCAAGCAAAGTGGTAGAAATGCCTGCAAGGACTTGCAAAATTCATGCATGGTGCGCGTGAAAGAATGTCATACTAAGTTAACATACAATAATGGTGCAGGAATGGAATAGGTCAACATTGGTGGTCCCTCTCAAAAGTAGTTTTGGCATCGTTATCGAGGAGCTATAGTCGCAGCAAGACTACTAGGGGCAGGACTGAAGAAAGGCCCAATATGCAACTGTAACATCTGACTTTGGGTTGGCGAGATAGCCTTCTTCAAAATTTGAAGTTTCAAGGGCCTTTATGAAGTTGACAAACAGGTCGTTAAACTTCGTAGGAAGCTCGATATTCTTGTCAGCGACAGTAGTAGCGTGTCTATTGAGGAGGTCAATTGTCGGACGATATGCTTTAAATTTATTAGCACCAGTCAATCGCTATCCCAGCTGCAAAAATACTTACAGATTGAAGAGCGGACAACTCCAGGATGAAGGCCGTAAAGCTTGGTGTAGATAACAAAATCGAGACGAAGTGCTGGAGCTTCATATAATTCTGCATCTCTTTTACAGTCCCCTCCATGCACAAAATGATTTCCAGTCCTGATGGTCACCTTATCTTTCTCGGTGTTGTTGGAAAGTATATCCCATTTGTAAGTGCTGATGAACCGGTTTCTGAAGCTTTAAGATCGAAAACTGACTCCTCGAGGTTAGAGATACAGCATTCTGCTAACTCTAGTTTGTTCTCGATGTCGGCCAAGCGGGATTCTGTCGCATTCAAGCGGTCCTCGAGGATCGGTCTGTTGAAATGCGACTAGCTCCTCTTTGTTGACTGAGTCCAATAAGGCCTCTTCGGCACGCTCAATCATTGTGGATGGGTCCCCGACTTCGATTCTCCTGCCATGAGTGCATCGCAGTGGCCGTCGGGTGAACTTCTCCTTGGCTGTCTGTAGTCGCTGCTCGAGGACAGCTTTCCTGCCTGTCGAACACAGGCAGAGAGCCCTAAGTTTACTTCTCAATTCTTTGACTGTTGGCATGTTTGCAGTTGAGAAAGCATACTTACAGGAGTTTACAGGAGTCTTTTTTCAAAAGATGTTTTTGAATGTGTGGTTTGGCCAACCGTTGACGGATGAGGAAGGGGTCACACGGGGGGGGGGAGATGCAAGTACAGGTCTGTTAGTATTTTCAGTTGCAGAAGCAAGAGACACTGTTCGAGGGGTTGTGCAACAAGAGGAAGAACAACTAACTGATGAATTTGACCATGTCAGAAGATAACCTTTTAGGATATCTTGTTAAATTCGCATTGCCTCCCTCATTCATGCGGGTTACAGTTGAACGTGGTTTAATAAAGTGGGTCTTGTAGATATTTAAACCATGCTCAATTTTTCACACTGGTAACTAATAACTAGTGGCTATAGATCATTGCTAGCTATCATCGCTAGCTATCATCAATAGATATCATTAATAGATATTATCATTGATATCATCATTGATATATATATATATATATATATCATCACAGGGCATCATCTGAACATAGTTTTTCAAAAACATACAATTTAACAAAAACCATGTTCAACATTTTAACCAAGATGCATTAACGTAATCAACCACTCAACGCCCGTCTACACTCAACGCCCGCTATTTTGCCACCACTACAATGAAATCTTTTCATTAATATCTCAACAACGCAATTAGATTTTAATATGATATATTATATGATGAAAATATATATAGAAAATTACATATAAAAATATATAGCTAATTCAAAAGATGTTTGTTGGGCTTAATAACTCGCCCGGAACGCGAAATCTTGGGTGGAGGCAGATTCAATGAGCAGGCAGCGGTCAAATCCGTAGGGGTTGCAATATCATCCGGACCCCCCGGCGGCGGACCCGCGGGCAACCTGGCAGAGCTCTGAAAACGCGATTTAGCCACTCTTTGCGAAATCGAGGGTCTGATTTCCCGATTAGGAAGGTGATTTTTGGACCCCCGAACCTGGGCCCCCCCCAACCGCGATTGCTGCCGCGCAGCAGCTCGTTCTTCCTTTTCCTTTTGCTCTTGGGCCTTCTTTGCATCCCTAAGCTCCCTGTCAATCTGCCGTTGAGCGGCTCTTGCGGCCTTATCCATCTCCTTTTGCTCCTTAGCTGCCTGGCGAGCTGCCTCCCGCTCCATTCGCTGTAACATGATATCTGTCTCCTTCTGCTCCTTAAGAATAGCGTGTTGCAACTTGGCATCCTCCTTACGAGCCTGTTCATCCTTTTTGGCGGCCTCTGCGGCAGTCATCTGCTCGCGGATGCTCTGCACCTTTGCCGGTGAAAAGAACTGTGCCAATGACGGATTTGAAGAATCTAGCAACCCCATTGCCCTGCCACGCTTGCGACGTCTTCTTTCCTGATTTCTGGGTCGATATTGCGCGTCTGGGGGGGGTGCAAGGGCGTATTGCAAGCTTTTTAAGAACCTGTTCTGGATCAAATGGATGTAGGCCAACCGCAGCGAACGCGGATATAATATTTGAGGATGTAACTGATTCCTTCCAAGCAGCATCAAATAGCTGCCAAAAAGACCTCTTTGTAGTGCGTACAAATCCCATACCGGTTCTCATTCGCTCATTCAAATGCTTAGAATATGATTTGCTCAATGGTCCAAATATCCCAACATCTAGCGGTTGTAATCGGTGTGTAGAGTGGGGAGGAAAGACAGCAAGTAAAATCTTATGCTGAGCCGCGTAATTGATGAATGCCATATTAACATGGGATGAGTGGCCATCTAATATAAGAAGCCTGTATCCACGCCCTGCTTTCTTTTTTGTATGAGGTTCAAAGATCTTCTTTAACCACATTAACCCATATTCATCATTGCTCCATCCATTCTCTGAAGCAGCAAAGTAGACCTGATCCTTTTTGCTATCAAAATCTTCCAGCCAAGTATCTTGTATATCCCTTGATTCCCCTTGATATATGAGAGCAGGTGGGAGTGAGGTTCCATCGGCGCAAATTGAGGCAAGTAGTGTAATGAATTCGCGGCTGCCATCCTGGCTGGCACCTATTGTACGGCCGGATTTGAGCGCATTAATTGATACAATACGCTTGAGGGGTGTGGATGAAGCCCAATAGGAATCCTTTTTCATCGAAGTTGTAGATATTCCCAGGTTCAATATTGTATTTAGTGATCTTTTCCTGTAGCTGCAAATCAACAATAAATTAGCAAGATAAAAGTAAGAAAAGCAGTAGAGAAAAGCAATATATACAAGATCAAAATAATGCTTAAAGTATGTAGAATTGTCCGCAATCTTGCGTTTTTGGTCGATATTTCGCAGGTAAACTGACTTGATTACATCCTTGTGGCGTTGACAGAACCTTGCCACCCAGTTGGCTCCAATAGGTTCTTTTAATATCTCAACAACAAGATTATGAAGGATTTGGGGCGTACAAGGGAAACCGCGATCTGCCAATCGATTGATATGAAAAAGGAGTCGATTTTCTTGCGAATCTGTGAGGATTTTGCGGTGGATAGAGGTTGCTTCCTTTCTTGACGTTTGAACACCTCTATAGCGCCGTGAGAGTGTATAACGACTGATTCCATATTTCTCAGCGGTCACAGTGTAATTAGGAACCAATTGGGCATTCAAATCATCAATCGCGGACAATATAACTGCCTCGTGGTGCATCTTGTGGGTGTTTGAAGATAGATGAAAAAATGAGGATTGGGTGGGCGTTGAGTGTAGACGGGCGTTGAGTGGTTGATTACGTTAACCATGCCAAAAATTGTTCCGGTCCGAAAAATTAAACATGTCCAATATGCCCTATATAGAATATTCTTCTGCCCATGTAATCGAGCATTCCTTTCCTTATAAATAATGCTTTCTTTAACTTGTAATTATCAGGATGTAGATGATTAAGTCAATTCAATTCAATTCATTCGTTATATACCCATATTCAGTAATTGGGTCAATATTCGGACGATTAATCACCGCTCCGACACGACCATCAATAAAAACAGCTTGATCATGATTTTAATCCTTGCCGGGAGGGGGGAGGGGGAGGGGGGGGACTGGATAGGAAACCTTGGAAGATCGCCTCACTTTCCGCGTTTTCCAATTCATACTCAAGTCTTTCCAAAGTTTAGCCAGTTTACAGCATATCCCAACTGGCAGGCTCCGAAAGGGCCATTCACTCTCGATACCCAGAAGCAAAACCGGAAATATGCTTTTTTCGCAAGGCGCCCAGGGGCATAAACCGGAAGTAGCTAAGGAAGGTTCGACAAGAGGCAACTTTTCTGCTCACCCAGCTACGTCCCTGTGGTTCTGAATGGCTGACCCCAATACAGAGATGGAGGGTAGCCTGAACAAGTGAGGCGCGCAATAACAGTGGGGGAAGAGTCCCGGAAGGTTTTGCAAGTATTAATTTGACGGGTTGGGTAAGATGTACGGTAACTGGAGCTTCCTTTGTTTTTCTTGTTCTTTATACCTCCAGACTCAACGTGGGGCCTATTCTTGCCTTCATCGAGTGGCCCTTTTCCGCGAAAATGAATAAGTTAAGAGCATATACCGGACGACATGTAGATGTTTCAAGCAATCGTGATGCCATGGAATTATAGTCCGAAGAGCAGAAGAAAGCAATGATTTCTTTCGGTTGCCCCCGAACATTCAGACACTGCCCCTGGAGCGTCGATAAATTGCACCCCCTGGGTTCGTCCCGATGGAGCCAGAGGAAATAAAAAGAGGGAGATTCTAAATGGACAGCATTGGTTAGTTGGGTGAGTCCTTAATCATATAAACAGATATATATATGATGAGAGAGAGAGAGGGCCTCTGCAAAGTGTAGCTTGTTTCGGGATGCATTTCCAAGCCCGGCTGTTTGCTTACTCGTGGGTGTATGAAGGACATGGGAATTTTTGAGAGAATGTTCCGTTACGACGACAACGAATTGGGATAGAGCGTAGGTATGGGGTGAAAAAGTTCAAGTGGGAAAAGGAAAACTGGCTTCGTTCAAAATATATATATATTTTTTCTATTCTTTCTCTTTTTATACATAAGACCTAGGATCACGATGGCTATTTATTTTTATTATGAATCAATCAGTCAATCACTCTTCAGGTGGAACGTATGGGTTTACAAGCATATTGCTAAACCTAGAGTTCGGAGGGGGGAAAAGGAAGGTTTTACTGGTTAGCAAAGCGCCTTTCATTCGTTTTCGATGCTCAATACTCCCCTCTCTCAGAGACAACAATCGCCACAAACACGGAACTAACTTACTTCTCAAGTTTCTCTTTCCCCCGCACTTCCTCCACCAACATCGGCATCCGCACGACGTTAAAATCCTCATACAGATCTTCGATCTCATTCAAATACTTTTTCTGCATTTTCCTTCTGGCCTTGCACTGCTCGCACGAGCTGTCCTTACCGGGGAATAGCAGTTGGTTGACCACAATGCAGTGTGTATCGATTTGGTAACTTGTAAGCTCCTGGATCATCCGCTCGGTTTCATACAGGGACAGGAACTCTGCGATGCATACGCAGACGAAAGTTGTGAGGTCGGCATCTTTAAACTGCGCATTCACTTCTCCAATCGTTTCTCGGAGCGATTCCATCTTCGAGAGGATCTCGTCTAGGTTTTGGCCACCGGGGAGCCCACCACGCGCACCAAGGATGGAGTTCAGCATCGGGCCGAATTGGGACGACAGTTGAGATAGTTTCGCAAGAGCCTTTTCTAGTACAGTGGGGAATTGAAGGAAGCGGAGGGTATGGCCGGTTGGCGCAGTGTCGAATACGATTACCTCGTATGAGAGGGATTTGACTTGTTTCAGGACTTCAGCGAACGACATGGCTTCGTCGACACCGGGTATCTATTAAAAAATTTTTATTACATATTCGCCATCCTTCCTACTACATACCATACTCCCAAAAAAAAAAGAAGTAAAAGAACTTACGCTAAATGCCAAATCCTGCATCATGCCACCCAGCCCCAGCCCAGCCATGGGGTCATCTGCCTGATCACCCCCCGTAGCGAGCAGATCTTGTATGCTCCCATTAGGGTCAATTTCCATGGCACTCAGATTGTCGAAGCCGTCGACCAGCCTCGCCTCTTTTCCGAATTTTTGTCCGAACGCATCACTCAGGTTATGGGCTGGGTCAGTGGAGATGAGCAGTACAGATTTGCGGACTTTGGCAAGCTGGATTGCTAGTGAACATGAGGTAGTTGTCTTGCCGACACCTCCTTTCCCACCGACAAATACCCATCGAAGCGTCTTTTGGTCCAGGAGGCTTTGCAGGGTGGGCTCGAGCGAGTCGTCTCCGGAGACCATGGCGGTGGATGACATGGTAGGCAGCGATATTGCAATTCGTTGGTTTGGTGTTTGTGCATAGATTTAGGGGACTGGAGAGTGAATGTTTGAGACTAGGCTAGGATGTATGTTGCCCAAATATGTCTCTTGGAGCAGTTCGAAAGAATGGGTCTCGTATCGGGAATGTGATGGTGGGTATGTGGGCGAAGAAACTGAGCTCGATTGCTCTAAAGACGAGTGTCGCCGGGGAACTGAAGGACGGAAAAATATAATAGGAAAACTAGCCATTGCCAGTTAGTTTACTCTCAAGAAGTCTATTTGCATTGAGCACAGCGACAACTCTGAACTATTTCTCCCTGGATGATAGGCAATCGAATCGCTTCTCGGCAGGAAGCTTCTCGGCTTACCTAGAAATCAAAGGCTTTTTTGTAGGACCTATGAGGAAGAAACGAGGTAATGTGATTCCTCTTTAATGTTTCTAAGATTATTGTTTGTCTCCCAAGCAACTTGCCAACTTATCCTGAAGCCTGATGTATACTTGTTGAGGTGAGGGAAGACGTTGCGCCACTAGGCAGAGGCGACCGGCATTATGATATTCCAGTCCGTGTAAGCGATGACAGGCGTGATAGGCGCCACTCTAGGCAGCGATATCGAGACTTGGATTTACGTCATGCCTTGAACTCTCCCGGCAGGATAAAGCATTCCACATCGGCTTCTCTGCCTTCCCTCCAAAGCTCTTGAGTGCATTAACTATCCACCTGGGGAGAGGGTTTGAGATCCGAGCTTAACTGTAGTCGTGTGTTGGGACTTCCATTGTGCAGATGGTTTGACGCCCCACAAAAACGACGGAGGGGCCAGTATTTGTTCCAGACACTACAGCTGCGGTTGCGGAGTTTACTCACTTCCAGAGTCAATCTTCTGTTTCTTTCCCTTCTTCATTCTAATATTCAAAGCCAGCCGCTACTCGTAACCAACTCATTTTAAGTCGTTCACCCTCTTGCTTGCTACCTACAATTACCTGCCCGAAAAAATTCCACCCCTTGCCAAAAGGAACTAGCAAACGGGCCAAGTCTCCACATCCCTGAACTGAGCCTCGAATTCAAAAATTAAGGAAAGCAGATGAAAGAAAATAAAATTAATAAAAATACAAAAATAATCAAAAACTTTCCCATTCAAAGAAACACCACAGCTTGCGCTGGGGAACCTGAAAAACCGCCCCTCTTCCACAAGAACTTGAATAGCACAAACAAATACACATAAAAAAATGGCAGACCGCGACCCAATAACCTGCCATATCCTCAACACCTTTAACGGCACCCCGGCTCCCGGCCTCGCCTGCACCCTCACGCTCCACAGCATCCTCCTGCCCGCTGGCGCCCCGCAACCCGCCAACCTCCCCGCGACCCTCCACGCCGTCACCGACGTCGACGGTCGTATCAAACACTGGCACCCTTCTCCCCATCCTCCTTCTTCTGTTACTACTACTGCTACTACGACGACGACATCCCCTGCTACCCCAGGAACAGGAACAGGAACAGGAACCACATCCTCCGCAGCAGTCGACACAACAGCAGCACCAGCACCAGGCCCCTCAATCCGTTCCCTCCTCGCGTCCATCCACGAACAGCGCGGCGGCCAGCAGCGCTCGATCTGGACCCTGCGCATTCGGAACGTGGGCGAGTGGTACGCCGAGCAAGGGGTGGAGAGCTTCTGGCGCGAAATCGAGGTGGAGTTTTTGGTCAAGGGCAGCGAGCGGTGGGATGGGTGGAGGCATTACCATGTCCCTGTGCTATTGGGGCCGTGGAATTATACGACGTATCGGGGGTCGTAGGGGCGGAGATTTGTAGCAGGCGCGGTGTAGATTCCCCAGGTTTTTCTTTTCCCTTTTTTCCTAACTACTTATCTACCCCTTCCATGTCCTTTTTCCGGATATGGTAAAATTGAAAATGGCGTAGTTGGTTAATTGTCTCCAATTATCATTTTATGGTTGTTTTATGGTTATTTTTTTCTTCTTTTTTCTTTCAACTATCGCTCTGCGTATGTTAACCCCCAAGTTGCATCTGTTGGGAGAATCTTTTGATATTCATTTTCCTGTTCCTTCTTTTCCGTCTTTGGGAGTTTCAATTTTATTTATCGCGATAATGACTCCATGTATGTACTGTACATACCGCGCGCACAATTTATGATAATGGTAATAATAACACGTCTAATTGTGCTCGTTCCATCCCCCCAAAGCCTGCAGAGAAGAGCTCTCTGCCAGTGGGCGGCTTGCACTGTACGTATACCCTAAATACCACCTTTATTTCCTACGGGGGGCAAAGCTTCGTCGAATAAATGTTATGTTATATATGCTTTGAATGATATGCATCTACGTATTGTTATTATGCCACTGGTACATTATTATGCCCATCCCACTGGGCAGAGCTCTATGGCACACGGTGTTTCAGCAGCCGGTTATCGCGGGGTAGGGGAGGAAATGAAGGGGTATAGCTGAAGATTTACAAGTACTAGTAGTATTAAGAATTTCTGAAATATCTAAAAATAAATTTTTGCCTAGTTATTCATTGACTGAAAGGTGGCACGGTACCTGGAGGGTTGTTTCATTTTCGCAGGTGAGAATTGAGGATCGAGAATGAGAATGATGACTACCAGTAGTTTAGCGACTGCTAGTACGTAACATGCAGAGTAAGAGAGCTTGATAGCTTGGGCGGCTGCTGGGACTTTTATGGTCTAGTTGTACTAACCATCCGACGGCAAAACCCCCCGCCATTTCGTCTCCTCGACACATCGGCTAGAGGCCACTAAGTAGTACCTAAAGTTTAGCAACATTTGAGGCAGGCAGGTACAGATACTCCAGCATTTTAATGGTCCATAAATCGTTCCCAAAGGGAGGGCAGAGAGGTAAACAACCTCTTCCCCCAACCACCTCCCCACCGCTTTGATCTGACACAAAAATTCCGCCGGCAGAAAACAAAGCAACGCTAACCCCATCGACCCATGGGAGATGGAGCCCAACCCTGAAAGAAATCCCTGGAACAACCATACAACACGTCATCACCCCCCAAACGAGATGCCAATCCAGCGATTCAGCGATGGTTCAGCGCCGGGCTCGCCAGCCCAATACAGTCTAGCGGGGACCCGTTCGTTGTTCCCTGTTTTGAGGGTTGATGAGGTAAGTCGCTTCTTTTCTTAGGAGAATTTGGTCGCAGCGAGGTTCATAAATACATTTTTCTCAGGGGGGTGTGGGGGGGGAGGAAGAGGAAGAGACAAGTAAAACGTTCTAAGAAAGCCCCTGTTGGAAGATCAGAGTGGTGGTTGGTTATCGAACGAACGAGCTGAGATGCCAGCTGTGGTTCGTTCAATCCAATGCGGTAGGAAGGCATTTTTGTTTTTCCCTTCGTCGAACCCAGGTTAAGGGTCTGTATGGATGGGCGGGCCAACCGTTCCCGGGAGCATTTGCGCTCGAGCTACGTCATCACCGAGGCCGGAGCAATCGATGTCTCCAGAGGAGGGAAGAGAGGAGAAGGAAGAGGAAGACAAAGAGGAAGAGGAGGAGGAGGAGGAGGGCGAGGAGGAATTACAATATCACAGGCATCCAGAGTACCTTTAACAATAAACCGAATGATAATCTACAATTCATTCCTAGAACGTTATGATATATATCTCTCTGAAATGGTCAACTTGGCAAGCATGCGTGAACATGAATATGAACACAATTCGATCTTCCTGCCTACCTATGATCAGATACAGGTTCGGAAGGTTGCAAGATGATAGTTATATTTTTCCTATCAAACCTTCTCGAACCAACATTTGGCTTTGGGGATGATCTATGGTCTTCTAATTTAACTCTCTAAACACCAAACGGAACAATAAAAAGAAAGAAAAAATCGCCAAAAAAAAAAGAGAAGAGAAAAAAAGCTTGAATCTACAACGTGAACCCGTGCCGGTTCGAGACGGGTATTGGCGTGGTGAGTCGAGGACGAAGAAATGCACGAAATAAAAATAAAATAAAAATAAAAAGAAGTTAAATTGTTGTTCCTATCTGCTTCTTTCTTTTTTCGAAGGAGGAGACTCGGGGTTGGTGATACTAATGCTTCTTCTGTTCTCGCCAACAACGGGCATGGGCATGGACTATCTTATCTTCCACGCCACAACGGCTGACGCGCCTGGACTGGGACTCCGTGTCTGCTCCCGTAATCCGCAGCGCACAGTTTCCCCCGTGTAGCAGGTGTAGAAGGCGTAGAAGACATCCATTATCGTAGTTATACACCGCGTTAGGATATTCGGTTGCTGTGGGTTGCTTGGAGGCTGCTTACATAACAACCACATCATCGGTGTCGTCAGATTTCCCATTTTTCCGCCGAACAACCCAATTTTTTTTTCTCTCTCCTCGCCGTCATCATCACTATCGCATCATCAAGCCATCATCATCCCATCCATCTGCCTCCCCGCCCCCATCGAATCGCCTGGCGCTCGCGCCGCCCTCAATCCAAACTTCGCCGCTTCTGCCCCTTTCTGCTTTTGCTTTCCCCTTTTTCTTTAATTCCTTCTGGCCTTGCTTCCCGGCTCCATTGGCTCGAGCTCGCTTGCTGGAACTACTTCTCTGTCGTCATCCACCAACCACCACCCCAAAAGTGTTCGAGTCTTTCCACACCCGCCCTCCCCGCGCTCCCTCGTGTTGTGCCGACTTACTTCCGCCGCTGTTATCATCGTTTGCAGTGAGCCTTCGCCTTCGTTTTCTCCTCCTTATTCTCTTTGTTGCGCGGTGTCATGTCCGCTGCGATTGCTACCAGGCCTTCTCCTCGCATCGGGCGCCCGGCCTCCCACGCTGACTCGACCATGGACCCCAAAAAGGGCTCTTGGAAGTCAGAAGGTATGTGTTTATTTTAATGTCTTCATTGTTCATATCTCCTCTCGCATCTTAAATTCTACTATGTGATGTCTTTTTAATTGTTAATTATGAATTTTCCCCCCTACATCTTCTGCCATGCCTTGGGCTTGGGTGGCGCAATACCCCCTACCTACCTAGGTCGTAGCCTTTACATCTATTGCAGCTCAACACGTTATCAACCACAACCACTCCATTTGACCCTTCCGCCCCAGCAACCTCCTTGTTCTTCTCATATGGACACATTCCTGGTTGTATCCATCGTTTTTGGATATTTCATTTTTTATACTTTAGGGAACCGTAGTTGCATGTTTCCATGACGGACAAATACATTTATCCTCTGCGATTCTAATCTAACTATTTTCACAACCATTCGGTGATATAGATGCGCAAAGTACTACCTCTGATCAAAAGGATACCACGCAGCCTAGCGACGCTGAAGGATCCCAATCCCTCTCCAATAATCATCGCCAGGGACAACAGCAACAGCAACAGCAACAGCAACAGGGATCTGACACACCCGATTATTTCTCCGGCGTTCATGGCACCACTCAATTCTCCCTAGAGCCCAATCCTTTCGAACAATCCTTTGGGAATCAGCCCGCTGATACGCCCGGAAAGTCTATCCTGCCTCCCGTCGCGGCGCTCACGTCGCCTGCCTTGCCCGGTACATCCTCAGCGGGTGGTTTCAATTGGAGCAATTCTCTTCGCGCGGGACCACTCAGTCCCGCTATGCTTGCTGGACCGGCTGCCCCCAGCGACTATTTCGACGGTATCGGTCGCGGTTTCCCCACACCACAAGAGTCGTCGCTGCGCACAGGGCTCACCCCTGGCGGTGGAGGCTCGATGTTTCCTGCCGCATCGAGCCCCAATACACAGGCTCTAATGCAACAATTCCAAAGTGGTGGTGCCACTCCATCAACCATAGATTTTCACCGGACAGCTCTAAATGCTGCAAGGAAGAATACCCGAAGCTCCAACCCGCAAGATTCAGACCAACTTCTCCAACAACCCACCAATCTAGAAGTTGCCAAGTCTGATGCGCATGTAGATCCTTTTGCGCATCACGATGCGACGGATGCTGCCAACGGTCTTTTTATGCTAGCCAAAGGAGGTCAGCCAAACAACCAATTTCCTGTCCCTACCTCGCAGCCTCTCGCCCAGAATCCATCAAACGAATCGACCTCAAATATGCAGAACGGAAGTAACCCTGCCCATGATATGAACGGTGGCGCCTCGGACAGCGCTGGTGACCAGTCAAAATCAAATGCTCGTGGAGTTAAAGGGCGGAAAGCCAGTTCTGGAAAGAATAATGGCCGACGGAAGGCTGACGATAACAACAACGCCAGCAAGGGTGCAAATAAAAGGGCGAAAGGGAATAGTGGCTCCGCAATGGACCAAAGTGTTGATGAGTCAGAGGAAGAGGAAGATACAAAACCCCAACAATCTGAGCCCGGGAATACCAAGAAGATGACTGATGAAGAAAAACGGAAGAATTTCCTGGAACGGAATCGGTATGGCTTTTTGACTTTCTCCAAGACTACTGTGGCCAAGTGCTCTAATTGCATGACTAACATGACTGCTTGCTTGTTAAAAGTGTCGCGGCTTTGAAATGCCGACAACGCAAGAAACAGTGGCTCCAGAGTCTGCAAACTAAAGTCGAATACTACAGTAATGAGAATGACGCTCTCTCGTCAACCGTGACCCAACTGCGAGAGGAAATCGTCAACCTGAAGACATTGCTTTTGGCCCATAAGGATTGTCCCGTTTCTCAAGCCCAGGGACTAAATAGTATCATGGTGAATGGCATGAATGGCGAATATGCGCAACATGCCAATCCTTATATGGCCATGCAGGCAGGTGGTCCTGGTATTTCTACACAGCCCATGCCACGACGATAAAGGAAATGGTGTTTTCCAAAAAAAAACAAAAGTGCGACGAAAAGTAAAAATGAATAAAACGAAGTTCCGAAGTCCCGCACACACATACGTACATACTCATTTGCATATGTACACCCACACACACTCTCTCTCTCCATCCACACAAGGCAAAAGCGACCCTTTTATATATAATTGATTTCTCAAGCCCTGCAAAACCTTCCAGCCACCAAGAGATATACCGCGTCAGCCTTCTATACCTGCCGTACGTGCCTACCTACCTATAACGAGGAAATTTTCTGATTCGCCAGGGAGTGTATCTTTTCCTCTCCCTCCCTTGGCTTTCTTCTACTTCTACTTCTTGGAAATAATTATTTAGATTGGCTGCTACACAGTGATAATTTGTGTTTCTTCTGCTTCATCTTCATCTTCTCTTCCTCATCTTCGTCTCCCTTTTTTTTCACGTCATTTTTGCCTTTTCACACATCACTTCTATTCATTTTCATCTCTTTGTTCTCTCTTCTTGTCCGTTCTTCGTTGAGGTAGTACTTTTTTCGTGGGGGAGGGCAAAAATTAATCGGGTCGGTTGGTGGAGTTAGTAATCGAAAATTTGCACATTATTTTCCCTCTTTTTCTTCTAACCTTTCTTGCGAATTTTTGCTTTATATCCTGTGTACTCCTTGTTTTCTTGTTTCCGTGTATGTTTTGTATCCTTGGGGAGCTGTCGGGTAGGAGTTCATATGGAAAAGGTTTTTTGTTCCCTCGTCGTTTTCTTTTTCCCCTTTCTATCGTTCTCCTTATTTTCTTCCCCCACCCCTCATCATTGCGCTGCACAAAATACAATTTGATTTGGGAAAGATATGTACGTATGGGCGATGCGGTGGTGGAAATGAGTATGATGGTTTTACTAGTTGGGAGTCCGGTCTGAACCACGCTCCCCCTCGACTCTCCAAAAAGCATATAGTTTCCGGGTGGAGGGAGAGAGACGGATCTTGAAACGGAGGGCCATGGAATGAGAACGACAGGCGGTGATGGGATGGATGGGGTATTCAAGGGCAGGGCGGGGCGTCGCAGGAACTGAAATTTCAAAAAGAAGGAATAGTAATAAACGGGTGCGGCTATTTGTTCGATGGGCGATATTTGATCGGGTTTTTTTTTTTTTTTTTTTTTTTTCAAACACTTTTACTTTCTTTCTTGTTTATATCTTTGTCTAATCGTTTTTTGAAATCTTGGTTGTATGAAATTTCGACAACGTTCTTTTTTTCATTCCATTTCATTCCATCTCCCTTTTTTCCCTCTAACTATGATGAATAACTTCCATGGTTTCGTCTGTTTGTGTAAGGTAATTATCGGTATCCTATGTTCTTCTTCTTCTCTTCCAGCCCCTTTTTCAACTTTCACTTTTCATTTCCCTTTTGAGTTGATTTGGGTCAAGATAGTAAGGTTGTCATTTCTTAACCATTTGTATTGTTCAAAAAGGAGGGTTTCTAAGGGTATATTGTCTTCGATATCTCACCAAGCAGCAGCGCACACCCGAAAACGATGAGATGGAAATGTGATGTAAAGCCATTGATTGACTGTTAAGAGCCTGTTCAGTGTGGCTGTGTGTACTTGTTCTTTTTGTACAGATCTCTACTTTTTTTAAAAAGTACAGCTTAATATGACAACTGTTCAGTGAGCAGAGCAGCTGTATTAATATTATAACTTTTTTTGTAAAGTACAGATGAAAAAGATCAGATGTTCAGTGAATTGAGCAGTTGTACTCACATATTTCATCAAAATCATATAAATAAGCAGTATTTAACTTCAATAATGTGTGACAATGTAGAATAATATAGAATAACATTCATAGTGAAGATAGTTAATTAATATTGATTAAAAAAAAATTTACAAAAATACATTTTTTCAAAATGAAGTTCAGAATCAATTCAAAAAAAATGTGGCGTTCCGCCCCTAGTCTCCCTTCCGCCCTGCTCCTTCCGCCCCTGCATTATTATTCCTCCTATTCTTCCCGTATGCTGCGATCGCTCCTTCCTCTGGATTGGATCGCTGACGGGATGACTACGTATATATATAGGGGCGTTCGCCCACCCTTCTAGATTAGAGAAACTCAGACATGAATTATCCTACCAATTGAACGGCGTACGCCATACATGGAGTGATCTCAATTATGAAATAGTGTGATGGTGCAACACTGGCTTGCTACTAATTAATTGATAAATACTCCGTACACTATTTTTAATGAGATCCACTATTGCATTCAAAAAGTACAGACGCACTGAAACAGGCTCTAAATATTTTCAATCTTCCATTTTTGCCATTTTTCCTTTTCTTTTTGTTTCCTTTTTACTTGCTCTTTGGACGTGTGTTTCCGTCCCATCTGCTCCGATGTAAATACTGTCCTATCTATGTTCTGTACCATACATAGATGCTTCCAATTTATATAACTACTAACCAATATCCGTCGCCTCGAACGGACTCTCGAGGCGTGGAGCGAGCGAGCTGTCTCAGCGAATGCCATTGTACGCTTCTTTTCTTTCAATTTGGTACTACTTTCCTTCTCCTCTTCCGCTTCTACAAACTTGATTTTGATGCGGTGGATGGTCTTTACTCTTTATACATGATTGTTGTTGTCGTTGAGAAATAGGAGTTCAGTTTAGGGGTTGTTGTTGCGGATGACGTCGAGGCCCACTGCAAACAAGCCAAACAGGGCCTTCATTGTTTCCTCGATTCATCTTTGGAACGCCTGAAGACAAAATTGGTAAACATCAGAACATCGTTTTTTTGCCCCTTCTTTTGCCTGTCAACGACGCGAAATTGTTTCCTGTTCCCAAAGCGAAAGAGAACCGGAGTCGCAAGGAAGACGGGAAAAAAAGGAGAGATAAGGACTGAGGGATGCACACCCCAATACCCTTCACCCAGCTTCTTCTTCTTCCAACAACCCGGTCCCCTCATCCCCTTGCGTCGTAACAAGATAACCACGACCCGGCTCAAGGGGAAAATTGAAAAATTTGAAACGCAAAAAACAAAGCAAAGCAACAAACAAAATTTCTCATTTATGCAAGGGGCCAGCCGTAGGACGAGCCGCTATTCATTCCCTTTGGTGCGGAGTGTGTGGGTGGGATGGTGGTGGATATATATCTAGATACTATATACACCAACGTCGCTTGAAAATCTGCGTCGCGTCTCTCTCTCTCTTTGTGTGTGTGGTTCTTACGCGTGCGGTAGGGTGTCCTAATTTTTTTTTCCCCCGCCTTCTCTCGCGATTTAGTGCTACTCGCGCACATTTGATTGATTGCGGCGGATAAGGCAGTATCGGGTGCCGGAGCTGGATTTAAGGGGACAAAGAAGGGGGAAGAGAGGGAAGAGGAAGCAAAAGGACAAAGATTGAATGAGAGTCCGAGTCAATTTCATCCGCTTTTCCAACTTTCTCTCTCTCTCTCTCTCTCTATTTTAAGCATATAGATTTTCAAGCTCGTTGTTATTTTATTATAACCATGCCACCGCCGACCTCCTCCGCCTTTTCAACTCCCCACTCCCATCCTCACCGCTCGCGCCGCATCGAAGACGCGCTAAGCCAACTCGTCGACTCCCTCATCCCCGCCACCATCCCCCGCCGCAATGAAGACGATGAAACCCTTTCCGAAACATCGACGGACGAATATGCGCGTCTCGAAGCGGCCGAGGCCGACGAGCAACGGCACAGACGCTGTTTGGAAATGGCATGGCGGGTTCTGGATTCCCACACAGCAGCCGCGGCTGCGGCCAGTTCTACAGGGATAGGTGGTAGTGGCGGTGTCGTTTCAGCGGACGTTATCAACAATGCGCCAGACCTGATCAAGCGCAAGTTGCTGAGAGAAAATGCGTCGCCGGACAAAGCGGTGCGGTTCTCGAATTTGTATTCGAGGCTGTTGACGCAGCCAGTGCTGGGGCAGAAGTGGGCGATTTTGTACTTGCTTTATCGGATCGGGGAGGGTAATGGACCTGCGGGGAGGAGTGGGGGTGCGGAGACTGCTGCTGCTGATAGGGGGAATGTTCGGCGCACCACCGTTACGACCAGAGTGGAGGATGGGGGTTGGAAAAGGGATGATGGCGCGAGGAGCCCGTTGATGGATGAGCATCAGTTGGATCATCTGCTGTTTCGGGATAAATTTGGTCGAAGATCTGTGGTTGATGATATCGCGCCTGGCTCGTCCGTTTCCGCTGTGGGTTTGGATAGTCCCTCTGCGGCGGCTGCTGCTGCGCATGATGGCGCATCGGCGCTCACGAGGAATGGAAAGGATAGAGGTTCATATAGCCCCAGGGCAGTGGAACGGAAACGAGTTGTGGAAAGGAGAGAGAGAGAAAAAGAGAGAGAAGGTATACCAGCCACTAGTCGGGGAGCTGTTTCTATCACTCCGGATGGGGAATCGAAGTCCCGAAGTCATAGCCAAGCGGAACAACGCCAGGAGGAGGAGCAGCAGCGGCAACAGAAAAATAAAGGAGGGGTTGAGGGTGGGCTCGCCAAACCTGATGAATCGATTATATTACGGGATTTATCCTTCACTCTTCAAGGGGTGTCATCTACGAATATGAAATTCGTATCGCCTACTTCATTAAAACTACCACAGACTTTGCCAGTACCGCTTGTGTCTCTTTTACATACGTTAGCAGAACCTTGTCTACTATACCGTGGTTTATCAGCTTTTGTCGAAGAAACGGAAGGCGGCCTTGTGAAGCAGAGTGTACGGGCAGCGATTGGAAACGAGCTTCGATCGTACCTAGGCTTAGTTGCCACTCTTGAAGGCGAGATCAGATCGGCATTAGCGACTGTTTCGGACAACTCCACAGAACCCAAGGGAACCTTGAAAGCCGGCGTTACGTTGAAAAGATGCGTTGTTTGGATGAGAGAGGCCACAATGGCGCTAAGACTGATGAGTTTGATAGTAGAAGAGTCAAGAGGCAAAAGGGGTGGACAGTTAATCACCATGATACACGAATTTTCTTCGTCTCACGGTGATCCTTTCGTCGGGGCGTTTGCTGAGCGTCTTCTGGCCCATGTAACCCGGCCATTCTACGGAATGTTGAGGCAGTGGATATACGACGGTGAACTTTCAGACCCATATCGGGAATTTTTCGTCGTGGAGCCGGAGGTTCGGCCGAGTGTTGATCCACGACGCGTTGCAACAAGCGTTTGGGATGACAAGTACAAGCTCGACGATGACCTGGTGCCGACGATTATGACGCCGGAATTAGCGAAGAAAATTTTCCTAATTGGGAAGTCTCTGAACTTCATTAGGTATGGCTGTGGGGATTCGGCGTGGGTAGCGGCGTATTCAAGAGATGCATCAAAGGAATTAAAATACGGGGATACCGCTACCCTCGAGACATCGATCGATGAAGCGTATAAAACAACGATGGCTCGCCTGATTTATCTTATGGACTCGAAGTTCAAACTCTTCGATCATCTTATGGCGCTTAAAAAGTATCTTCTACTAGGTCAGGGGGATTTCATTGCCTTGCTCATGGAATCGCTAGCATCCAACCTTGATCGCCCGGCGAACTCCCAATACCGCCATACCCTGACAGCACAGCTGGAGCATGCCATCCGATCATCAAATGCACAATATGACTCTCCCGATGTCTTACGTCGCCTTGACGCTCGCATGTTGGAGCTAAGCCATGGCGAAATTGGCTGGGACTGTTTTACTCTTGAATATAAAATTGATGCTCCAGTGGACGTTGTAATAACACCTTGGGGTTCAACTCAGTATCTAAAAGTCTTCAACTTTCTCTGGCGCGTCAAGAGAGTGGAATTCGCCCTGGGTAGCACCTGGAGACGTTGCATGACAGGTGCCAGGGGGGTGCTAGGCAGCGTCGAGGACAAGGTCGGCCAGGACTGGAAACGCGCTCGTTGCGTGATTTCTGAGATGAATCATTTCATCAGCCAGCTTCAATACTATATCTTATTTGAAGTCATTGAAGCAAGCTGGGACCAATTGCAAGTAGCCATCTCAAAACCGGGCTGCACTCTGGACGACCTCATCGAAGCACACACCAAATACCTCAACTCCATCACCCACAAGGGCCTTCTTGGCTCCTCCTCCTCCAGTAATCCTGCCGGCAACAACAGAGAAGACTCTTTTCTCTCTCAACTCCACCAAATTCTCAAAATAATGCTCACCTACAAAGACGCTGTAGACGGCCTCTACTCTTTCTCCGTCGCAGAATTCACCCGCCGCCAAGAATTCACTGCAAAGATCGAAACGCGCACCGCCCAAGGCCAATGGGGTGTGACCGAAAAGGACCTCCTCCAACAATCCCAGTCCCTATTTCCTTTCACCACCTCCACTACAAGCAACATCAACCGCCCTAACCGCTCAGACTCCGCCACGCGCAAGGTCCCCGGCTCCGCTTCCGAATCTCCCTCAGCCGACTCATCATTTCCCCTTAGTGGCCGTGGTGGCGGCGCACATTCAAAATCGCCCTCTGAACCCATAACCCCAACAGCAGCGGCAGCGCTACTTGGTGGCATCGGCACGGCGGGCGATGAAGATCATCTCCTCCCCTCTTTACGCACGCGTCTGCGCGACCTCGCAGCGGACTTCCGCATACGCCTTCTCACGCTCCTTGGCGACTTGGCGTATCAGCCAGACGTGGATATGCGGTTTTTGGGCGTGGTCATGAATTTTAATGATGTATATCAGGTTGTTAGGAGGAGACGGGGGACGGGAGCTGGGAAGGATAGGGAAAGGCGGAAGGTTGGTGGCGAAGGGGAGAGTAGGGAGAGGGAGAGGGAGAAGGAGAAGGATAAGGAGAAAGGGAGTGGTTGATGCCACTTACACTTTTTCTTTTTTTCCTTTTATTTATTAATTTATTTGTTTATTTTTTATTGTATAGATGTCTAGGTGGAGGGTGGAGTTTCTTTCCTCTTTTTGATGCTTATATCTGTGTTGTCTGTCCATGGGGAGGGGAGGCTTTTAGTTTCTAGGTCCTCCCGTTTAGGTGCCTTAGTCTTGATTTTCGTTGCTTTTTAACGGTCTGATTCGCGAACTTTCTTCACGATACCTTTTGAATTGATAATTTATTATGCATACGTATTCGTGATTTTATTCTAGTATGCGCAAATACGGATATACTAAGATGGAAAAATACAAAGGTCATTTGATATAGACGCTGAAGTCAAGAGTCAAGAATCCAAGCTTGTTTGCTTTCTACCTAAAGCGGGTATATAGCGAGGTAGTGTACTGTTTTAAGGTATCGTAGGTATGGCAAAGGGAAGTGGGAATGACGAATGTTTTTTACCGTTCTCGAAATAGGCTTATATATACCCCGTCACGAGATGTTTGTCGGGTCCATAGTTTGCGACAGGTATTTCTTTTTAAGTGGAAGATGTAAAGTAAATCCCCCCTTCAATCCGAGTCTAAAAAGCGGATGTGAATTGTTAGCATCAATGTAGAAGCTGGAGATGGGAATATAGGTTGCGTAGCTGACTTACCCGAATCCGAGCTGGAGTTTGATGAAGTTTCTGATTCTTGTAAAATATTATGTTGGCTGCTGAATATCGACGTAACCGAAAAATGGGAAGGGCATACCTGTATCTGAATCCGAATCCGAGCTCGAATCGGATGATGAAATCTCTGACTCCGATGAGGAGGAAGAGTCATTGTGAAGTCCGTTTGTTGTGCTTTTCGTAATTTCACTCACTTGTTCCGTAGTAGGCTTTGAGTTGAAATCATCGCTATCACTGTCGCTATCACTATCGGTCTCGCTGCTGCTGCTGCTACCACTACTGCTGCTGCTGGTATCCTCTATAACGTTCGTCCTATTCTTCTTCCGCTTCTGCTTTTTCTGCTTCTTCTTCTCACTCACCCCTGGTCTCGACTCTGCTTGAAGCTTGGCCGCTTCAGCAGCCGGTACACTGCCACCAACAAAATGAAGAACCAATTCTGCTCTCCGCCTCCTTTCTAGCTTTTTAAGCCAATCGGCATTTAGGTCTGTAGCTTCGTCACCAAACATGTCTCCTTCCCAACTGTGTGGATCTGCGGCCACTAGCCCCACCAACCGTTTCCTGAACGACGATATCGAATTTCTATACCTATCCTTCTCAGACGCATCACTACCACCACCACCATTCTCCCCCGAATCGACATCAGCATCATCTGCTTTGATAGCTTCTACGGCAGCCTCTGCAACTCTCTTCTTCGCCCCTTCACTCTTTATGCCGGCAAGATATGCAGCCAATGAAGCGTTGTATGTCGAAGGTATTCGATCTACCGATAGCGCGTGCTTAAGCAGATGTGTTTCGCGATTCTTCTGGAATTTCCATTGAGCACGGGATTTGTGGTAGAGCGTAAGGTATTGCAGGGTCGGGTCGATTGGAGGGGGAGGGGCATTGGAGGTTGAGTCCGGGCGATTCTTTGCGCGCTGTTCTCGCTTCAGTTTCCTCTTCTCCGCCTTTCTTGCAACGGCTGGGCTAGGTTCGCGAGCATCCTCGTGCTCGTTTTCAAGTTCCAATGCGACAACTCCATCCCCATCTTCCAATTTTGTATCCTCAGCGAAGGAAACGGATTTTATTTTCTTGGATTTGGGCTTGGAGAGAGGTTTGTTATCTTGATTTTCCACAGAGGATGACTCAAGGGACAATACCAATTCCGGATTTGTGGCCTTATTTCTGGGTGTCTTGTCATTTGTATTCTCTTTGGTGTTTTCCCGTTTCGTTTTTTCATTGATCTTGACATTCTCTACCCGGGGTTTTTTTCCATTAGATTCCTCGCTCTCCGACGTCAGAGGTCTCTTCTTGGTTCCCTTTGACTGAAAAGAGGTATTCTCAATAACAGAGGTAGCGGCGTTCTTGAGCTGCAATCCGAGCTTCTTCCACGCCGGAATTCGGGCGGCCATTATTGGAGATTGATGCGAGACAGGAGGCAAATGTACGCGAGCGAGGAATTCCTCAATTGAAGAAGAATTAGCTGAGCTTAGGTTCCTAAAACATGTGGTATCGAAGATATCTCACATATCCCGTTCGTGTTCGCGGCAGAAAATATTTATAAAAGTGGATGCTCTGAGGGTAAATAGGAATTTTAAGATATCACTGCGTATCTAATACGGGTAAAATTTCCCGTAATAATGGAATGAGAAGGTCAGCTTTTCTGGAATGATACATATCAATACACAGCTTCGCAGAGCCAAAACCAGAAGTAATGATTCAAGTACGAGCAACAACAAGAGGTTAGATTAAAAGGGCTATTATACTTGAAAGAAATTCGAATATGCCACCACCAACATATTTATTATATATATTCATTGTACGCGGCTGTTTTGCTTTGTGGCTCGCAATACCTCGAGGCACGCCTTACCCGATTGGGTGAAGATGGCGCCAACATCAACTCTGGAGCTTTCCCCGTCCAAGGCAGCTTTTACCTATACGCGTTCACCTACCATGAATTAACCAGCATTTTCGTCTCAATCTTTTCTCTATATTAGTTCGCTACTACCTGTTACTTTTCTAGAATCTACTTTGAATCTTCGTATTTATTGGTTTGATCTGAATCTTGTCCCTTGAGCCACGATGTCAGGTCGGTAATTTGTTCTTCAGTCGGTTGGGCTTGTCTTTGTAAACCAGCAACTGACTGGCGTTGCTCGAAACAGGAAGCGCAGGCTACGATAGACACATTACCATATTTTCGGATCAAGGCCGGTTGTATCAAGTCGGTAAGTAATCCTCTGATGGTGGTATGTCGCTGAAGCTATTAAGGTGCTTTGGAAACTAACGGAGGTTTACTTCCAGAATATGCCTTCAAATCTATCACCGCTGCCAATATCACGTCGCTCGGGATCAAGGGAAAGGACTGCGCTGTTGTACTGTCTCAGAAGAAAGTCCCAGTGCGTATAACTTGGAAACACGGTGATCATCCATGGGTCAATTTGGTTAACGACCATAATCTTGAATCACAGGACAAACTGATCGATCCTTCATCCGTTACCCATATTTTCCAACTCTCTCCATCAGTTGGATGTGTCATGACCGGTTCGATAGCGGATGCTAGAGCATCAGTAACCAGAGCACAGAGCGAAGCCGCGGAATTTCGATACAAATTTGGATATGAGATGCCATGTGATGTCCTCGCCAAACGGCTGGCGAATATCAACCAAGTCTACACCCAAAGAGTCCGCAAATAAACTCCTACTCCGCATTTCTTTCTTTCTTTTTTTCTTTCTTTCTTTTTTTAAACCTTTCACCGGGTCCCGCATAATTGAGTTGGATTGCTGCTGACAGACCTTGCGTGATTTCAGGCATACATGCGACCACTGGGTGTTGCCATAACACTGGTGTCTGTGGATTCAGAATTCGGTCCACAGCTATACAAGTGTGATCCTGCAGGGTATTACGTGGGATATCGAGCCACAGCTTCCGGTCCCAAACAACAGGATATATTCAACCATTTGGAGAAGAAGCTCAAAAACAAGGAGTATGCGGAGGGATCATGGGAAGACGTCGTTGAACTTGCCATATCGACTTTAAGCACTGTCCTCAGTGTAGACTTCAAGAAGAATGAGATAGAGGTGGGCATCGTTGGTGGGCCTCGAGCTGATGGCAAGGAAGGGACGCAGACAGAGTTCCGCTCTCTTACAGAGGACGAGATCGATGAACGACTACAAGCAATTAGTGAGAAGGATTGAGGGCCGTCAGAGTATATTTTCTTACTTAACTCTTCATTCTACGGTGAATCTGTAAAGCCGGGGATGGCAAAGAGCTTCGTGATTGCTAGAGATATTTGTGACGAATTGAACCGATCGATACGTTGATCCCTATTTATTTTGATTTCTTTTTCCTCCCCTAGATTTTGCGTTTTTAATATCCAATGCAGAATTACAATTCAAACGTCTAGGTCGTGGCAATTATCTCCTTAGCCCATTTCTCTCTCATTTCATATTTCGTTCCCTTTGAACTTAACACATCTCAAACCAGACTATGCAAAACCATATCCAATCGATCGGACAACCATCGATAGCGCAGTTCGTTTCGCCATATGATGTTTGTTTCTTTTTTGTTGTTTGTCACTGTGAGTGATGATACGATAGAATCATGAGCCGCTACTCCACTACCTTTTTCGGCAAGCATTAAAACGGCACATTTGTCCCGAGGGAAAAAAATGTTTGCTCACTTTTGGTTTGTGGTTTGTGGAAGCTGCAGCGGGGATAGACAAAGCATCGACCGGAATAATTGGACCCTAGGAAGGATCATTCAGCTATGATCAAGGCCAAATTGCCTCAGGTTACGATGTGGTGTCAACGTCGTGCATGAGCTCCTCAGTGGAAATCCTCGGCACAACACAGGCTTGACCAGAGATAGGCGCCGCCCTTGGTTTTTGGCCACGCAGACAACACCACGGTCAGCTCGCTCAACCCGGCGCCATACCAGATGCGGCTAGCGCGACCCACCAAGGCCAGGTCCCACAGCCCTGGGTGGCGTTGGCCTGTGTGGCTTGCCGGGATTAAGCTGTGGCTGGAGCACCATCGATTTTTCCTAGCCCATCGTGCTCAATTGCATTTCCAGCTCTGATCGAACGCTGCGTTGGATTTGGCTCTCGGCCATAGTTGCTTCTTCTTATGCACTACCTTTTAGTTGCTTGTTTGGCCATGGCTTTGTTTCCCATGCGAAACGAACCATTGAATGCTCCACTTCAATGTTTCTCCAAATGGCCCTTGCTTGCCTCCCTCGCGCGGGATCTTCTATCCCCCCCCCCCCCCGAGTTTGACTTCTTGTCTATATTCTATTTTATATTTAAAGGTGCCACAGGCGCCATCTTGTCCTTGCTAATGGGGAGTCCGATAACAAATGAGGCGAGGAATCAATGAATATCGCTGGCTTCGATCAATCACATGTTGGCATTTGCTCTACCCTACGGGGACCCTGCTCCTATAATGTCTGACCCTTGTGAGTGCTCTCGGCTTTATCTTATACCTAAACTCATAGACGTGGTTTGCAAGGTTGCTGATTTCCCCTGCAGTCAATGATGCCCGGGCTTTAAGGGTCACCGAATTAATGAATGATTTCCGAACCATACATATCAATATTGTGCAGCTTAGGACAGACCCTGCCCCAGAGGAACAGTTCAGCGAAGGATATGTTGTAATGAACCAATGCCTTGCTGATGCGCAAACACTCCTCAATTCGTCTTTTGATATAGCCCAGATCCAGGGCTCGTCAACCGAGAGCGAAAATGCGAAAGCAAATCTCCAGAGGTACTGAATTCTGCAGCGTCAATACCTGTGAGAACCACTCTCATCTCTAATTGCCATTCAATTTGCCAGGGTGATCGTCGACGCAAGCGCTCGGCGTTTCCAAGCGCACAAAATCTATCTCAGAATGGCTGCAGCAAGCCGATGGGTATTGCGTCGAAATCAAATACTTCAAGGACAAAAAATGAGTGCTCAGCATGTTAGCGGCTTACGCTCTGCCAGTGAAGCTCTTCACACTGTGAGATTGTTCTCTTTATCGGGGTTTCTCGTCTTCGCTGGCGCGCAACCTGGAACTGATGTGGGCTATTTCCCCTAGGAACTTGTAGCCATAACTGACAGCGTTGTGGTCAATGACTTACGATCGGCTGATGTCCGTGCCGGCTACTGGCTAGTCGACGATCCGCCATTAAGCACCATTTTAAATTGGATTCGCTCGCAACACTACACCTCCTGAAGCTGCGCTCCGTTTCCCTACGACAGGGATCCAAAAACAATTTATCTGCTACGATACCTACCATCGACTTCGTCAGACTGCTTCTTGCTCTTTTGCCTTTTGTGACTGGAAAAACAAAAGCTCCTCCGATTTTTGAGTTGCTGCTATATACCCTTGCTCGACGTTTATTATTACATTCAGGTGTATACTTTCCTTTTTCTAAGACGGGCTTGCCCTCTCATGGATTTGCTTACAACTGCGTTTTGTTTTGGGTGCTTTTTGGTGCCTTGCATACCCGCATACCCGGATGGATTATGTTGTGATGGTTATTTTCACGAAGCGGCTCATGACGACATGTGTGCTCTAATCTGACCGTCACAACGAATGATAACTTTTGGGTGGTGATGGAAGAGTGGGGGGAAGGAGGACTGGAATCCTCGTTCGGAGAAATGCTGGACTTTTCTCACCTTTTTATCTATTTTTTTTCGCTTTTTCTAGATAGCTTTGGTCTATCTTTTTGTGCTGGCTTTTAGCGCTTTCTTCTGGGTGTTTTTAATAGATCATACTTGTTTTTTTCTTGCTCTGGAGCATCATTTTGCTCCTTTCACACTTTTCTAGGGTTAGGATAGGATCCATGGGGTTTACTGATGTTGTGTTTCCTTTAGCCGATTGTTCATTGTTTACCATTGATTTTTCTATCTTTTCTTCCATTTTCCTCTTCGTTTAGGTCTTAACATTTTTAATGTATACCTTTCTATTTTCCTTGTTCCTGTCTTGGCAATGTGATGTAACTATGTTGTGTTTTATAATTACTCCATTTCAGACGGGAGTCCGCAGCGCTCTTGCAATGACGCAATTCCTCAATTGCTTCGAATTGAAGTGTTTCCCTTATTATTCGCCATTTAACCGAGGAATTGCGTCTATAGTTTTAACAGATAAAAAATGGGGAGCTAAGGATTTGATATACGTATTTTGGAGCCTCGGCCTTGGCATCGCGACGCGTTTACTTGCGTTCAATGCGGTAGATAGGGTTACATTTTTGATATTCAATGGCTCAGTGAAATTGAACATACATGAAACATATCTGCCGCATACGATCATTCTCGGAAGTACGGTCTTCTGCTGTTTCCTGCTAAGTATGACATCAGTTCACAGAAAAGGGTTAACTAATAATAAGTGGGCTAGTTGTATTCCATCATCATTGATTATTCTGTACAAAATTAATCAGATCAACCTGGTCCTGGGAATCCCCGGAAGTAGCAACGCCAATGAGGACAAACAATGACTTTCTTGCTTTATTTACACAGGCAGGCATATTTAATTTCCTTGAGATGTATCACCTCTTTCCGAGTAGTGCCATGATATAAAAAAAATAGAAGATAAAGTTCAGATACGCGATAACTTAGATCAGCTGACCTCCACTAGCGTCCACTAGTTCGCTATCGACTAAATAAAGTTGTGGCGGTGTGGCGGTGCACTCGCTCACTGCCGAATGTGGATGTTGATCGGTGCACTTTGGACGGATGGAAATATTTTTCTAGATCATGACAATTATTAATCATGAGCTGCGTAGCATTGTGGATGCGCGTTTGGCTCTCTCCGCGGCTTGTTAGATAGACTATTTGCCCGGCTTGACCGGTTTCAAGAGACTATTGACAGGCAAAGCTGCAATGCACCACACATACATACATATCGGTTTGGCCGAAGTCCATCATGAGCTGCTAATCCCTGCAATTTTTTTTCTTCTTCTTGTTTTCTATCGAGGCTGGGGTTGGGAAGGATTCAGATCTCCTGCATCTCTCCTTCTTTTCAAGGTTTGAAGGAGGAAGAGAAAGTGGACCTCAGTTGATAAGACAAGATCTAATTAACTCGAGTGGTCGTCGATCCAGACTCGCTATTGTGAAAAGAAATTTCTAATTTTTTAAATTTAAAAATGCCGAGGGGGACCCAAATCTCCATGGATTGCATATTGTAACAGGCATGGGTCACACACGTGGCCATCGGCCATTTCTGCCTGCGCATGTCGTATCATTGGCTGGTGATGAAGCAAACAGATATCAGGGGGACTTAACGTACAGCAATAGATCCCGGCGTCATAGATATCGGAGCGGCGGGGAAAATGGGTTGATTTCCGAGTCGATCAGCCCGATGAAATCCGAGGTTACCTCTCCTGGACCTGATAGGTTTGTATTTGCTGCTCATTACGGAAGACATGTGACAATCTCTGTGGTTCGCCTCTCTTTTCAGGAGAGGGCGTCAGTGTCATGGAACGTGGTCGAACCCGCGTTCTGTAATTATGACAAATATGAAAATTTAAAATGCATAAACAAAATGCTCAAGTGGAGGGGTGTTGAAAATGGTTTCTCCTGTTGACAACGTAGGTAGAGGAGAGCAGGGTTACACAGAAGCATTCAGCTTCCGTGTGTCACTCGTTTTAGGAATAAAATCCTTTGCAGGTTCCGGACTAGCGCTTCAAGTCAAGGACATGGGTATACCTTTGCTTAGGAAAGTGGCGATTAAGCCGTATGCGCCTTGTAATATTTAAGCATTGGGAGAGTGATATTGATGGGGGGGGAACAACTTTCCTCATTGCAAGTTATATATCCGTTTGGCTGTACAGATCAGCTTAGTCTAGGTACCATACGCACCTAGGCAACCAGCAAGACGACATAGAGACAGTATATGAAGTTTACTTGGTCAGTTGAATGATTCGTTTTGGACAGGGCCAAGATTTGTATATGAGGCCTTGGCCAAAGTATATCCAGCTATCAGTTCACTTAATAGCAGTTGATAAACTTGGCATGCACTGGAATATTTTGCAAATGAACCTTTGCTCTGATAAGACGCAGTGGTAAGGTATATGTATGAACGAAGGTTCCCGCAAAATGGAGAGGTTGGAATAGGAATGGAGTTCGTTGCAGACACCACGGTTAAATTCGATAGTACACGAGTGTTTTCCTTGCCATTGGTAAAATAGGAGAAGGGGATATGGACTAAAGGAAGAAGAAAAAATGCCATGCCATAGCATTTGCATACAAGTATAGCTAATTTTTTAAGCTTTTGCTTTTTTATATTTTATTTTGAATCTGCTATGCAGTACTCCGTTATTTTGCTATATGGTGTACCTATGAATAAAGCAGAAATTCAATCACAAGTAGAACCCATCCCAAGCAAAAAAAAAAAAAAAGAAAAAAGAAAATAACTCCCGTTTAGAATCCTAGAAGCAAATTAATCCGATTAGCAAAACTTCCCTCAAATTTCGTTGACCCCTCATGGCCAAAATAGCATTGCACCGACGTATACGTACTCAGAGGGGTGAAGAACCATTTGTTCTTCCCACTGGTGTACCGCTCCTCCAACGATTTCTTGACGACCTTCTTAGCCTCCTCCCGTTGCGATACCTCCTTGAAGGTATCATTTGTGATAACGCCTTTGAGTCCCTCAAGCTCGAGCGTATAGCGAGTGGGCATAAGGTGATTGTAGTTGACGGTCTTGATGAATGGCTTGACCTTGCTTCGCTTCGCGACCTTCTTGGCGCCCATTCTGCGAGTCACTTTCGAAGGATATCGCTCAATGCCAGCGACGAGGGCGTAGGGGAACGGGTGGGCCTTTGAACCAGCATCGTACGGCTGAATGATTACGACCTGGAGATGGTGGAAAGAAAGAACAATGTCAGTTCGTCGTTGATCCGAATTTCTGTATGGAGATGTTCTCCTTCGTTCTCTCTTTTTTCCCTCCGCAATTTGATATCGCCTTTTACAAATTCGAAATCATTGTACACGATTCCCTCTCCCTCTCCGTTTCCTTTCTTTTCCTTTCTTTGAAGAGTCCTCTAGAAATTGGCAAAGCGGCCATTTTCGTGTATGGCACGAAGGGAGGAAATTTTATCGTACCTTCTTGCCGGCATAACGTCCTCGTGTGATGATGGCCACACGGCCCACTTTCATGACTGTTTTCGCATTGTCAGCGGGGACAAAAAAATCCAGATACCTCCCCAAATATAACTAGCGGAGCGGAACGTACACTTCATTTTAAAAGTCCTGACGATAGTGAGCAAGGTCGACAAATGATGTTTGGTGTACTGGGTCGGTAGTCTGTCGTTTGTTCTCCGCGCTCTTTTTTTCGAAGTGAGCGGCGGAGTTTGTGTGCTCAAGGTTGATTGGTCCGCTTACCGATCAACTACACTAACTTTATATGGGATATTTCTCCATCCGGAAGCCGGAAAAACTTGCTATATCACGTGCATCAGAGTTACGGCCCGGCTTCCAATCCTTGGGCGTTGGTTCCCCGGTAACCCTGGAATTGTTTGTTTACATCCATGGATCAGCCTCCAAGCCGTGGGCCGATATCAAACTCTATCGCTCCACCGTGACTGCATTACCTTCACACATCACTCCCCTTTGTATGACTTCTGCCTCATATTTTTTTTTTTTTTTTTTTTTTGAGTTGTCCGTCTGTTTTTGTTTGTTTTGGTTTTTGCGCACTTGTTCATATATTTTTTCCCTCCCTATTTACCGAAAAACCTCCTATCTGACTTGAGATATCCCATCCCGACCACTGTTTTCAGAGTACGTTACGACGATGGTCCTTGTGGCATAGAGACGCCCATAGCCACACTTATTTACACAAGAGAGATAAACGTGTTTCCTCCTCATCTCCATCCAGATTTCTAAACGACTGGCTTTCGGTGTTGCTTTTTGGAAGACTCATTGATTATGAAACCAACTGAAATGGAACCGTCCCGAGATCGAGAGCTGGTATTGAAGGACAGGCACTCATTTTCAGAGATGTCCAACAGGCCAGCTATCCCAATGTACGTTAATAAAGATCGTTATGCTTTTGCCATTGCACGTATTTCAAACCAATGAGGCTAATATCATTCTGTTTGCGTAGGTGGGATAGTGCAGACCCAGAGCGAGCTCCACCTCCACTCCCTTTAAACCCCGGTTCGGGTAGTCCGACAACCCGACCAAATGTTTCCGCATCTATACAGGCTGTCGCCGCTGCATTATCAGAGAAAAGCAATGAAAATGTTCCAAGCTCTTACACGGTCAATCCTATGGTGCTCAAGTCATCACCAGAAAAATCTCTGGTCAAAGGACAATTCCATAAGCGCATACAATCACTTCAGCCGGCAATAAACAGCCGAGAGCTCACACCTTACGTAGAACGACGCTCTCCCGAGAGAAATTCCAGGTCAAGCCCATTTGATGCTGATGGGGGACGAACGCGAGAGAAAAGTCCATCTCGCGTAAAGACCCCTATTTCCGCTGGAAAAGATCCTTCCAATTTTCGTGCGTCAAGTCGCTATCTGTCTAAGCCAATCCTTGGGGAGAACACTCCTCCGTCTGCAACAATGCTTGCTTTGCAGAACATGCAGCTCCCAATAGAGATAGATTCCCCTACCAAGGGTGCCAGCAACTACACTCCGTCATCACAGCCTCAAGATTTTAGTTCACTGTCTAGCCAAATTTCGAGTTTGACTTCTATCGCGACGGCCTTGCAACAAGAGATGTCACAATTAAGCAGACGCAGTAAAGATAATGCCACCGACCTACTAAGTCTCAAGGCTGCAACAAATGCACGAGATGAAGATATACGGCGAAGTCTCAAAGACCTGGCAACAAACTTGACTGGCAAATTGCTCGAAAATGAATCGTCACAATCTACTGGCCTTTATGGCCATTCTGGTTCCGCGGGCTTCATGCTCGATAGCAAGGCCCACGATGCAACGTCTCCTTGTTCCAGGAAAAGTTATACACTCCCTCGGATGCAAAGTCCCAATAGCTTCGCAGCCACGATAGAAAGGGAGTTAACTGCCTCACCCTCCATCTCCACGGATGGCTCCGCAAGCATCGCGTTGCTCGAAAAGGTTTTGCGTGAGATGGCCACAAAAGAAGGTCAGGAGAAGCTGCTCAAGCTGATGGATGAAGTAAAATCCAGACCTAGTGGGGCACAGAGTACCGACAATGCCATGTCCCGAATGCTCGAAGAGATCCTCAACCTAATCAAGCAAAATTCTAACAACCACGCCCTTGTACCTTCAAGACATGGGCCTGGAGCAAATGGCAGTGGCGACAAACCCCCGTCCCTAGAACTTGATTATGAATCACCACGGTCAGGTCCTTTGAGCCGTAATACTGAGACGGAGACTCCTAACCGAAACAAAAACCGGAGCTTAGATAGTAGTTCCACAACCCAAGCTACTGAAACCGTCTCTAGGGAGATTTTAACCATCCTTAACAAGGTGAAAAGCAGTGTTGCCGACGGTGGTGGTTTAACGAACGAGGTCAAAGCGCTCGTGCGAGAACTCAGAGGCGAGGTTTTGGGAATGGGACGAGAGATCGCGCGGAAATTAGAAGAAGCCGATGCAGAACATGCATCAGACCAAGCAATACCACCAGGCGCCAGGGCGGAGGAAGTTGCACATATTGTCAATAGTGCTTTAATGGACCTGAGGGTGCATATGGAACAGGTGATAAATGAAAACCAACATCGGTTATCATCGACAATTCCTCGCGCGATCGACAGTCAGGAAGTATATATGGCTGTTAAGAAAGCGCTCGAAGATCATCCTCTGCCGGAACCTGCCCCGCCTCAGATAACTGGATCAGTCTTAGAAAGGGAGGAGATCCTTGAAGCCGTTCGGGAGGCCTGGGAGACATACAAGCCCGAGATTGAGCTTCAAAACTTTGGCCTTGAGAGGGATGAGATTTTGGAATGTTTGACTGAAGGCTTGAAGGCGTACCAGCCCCCAAAAGAGCCAGCCGAACCAGGTATCACCTATAACGAAGTTGTCGAAGCTGTCCAACAGGGTTTAGAAAATTTCACACCACCACGTATTGAGCATGACGGAGCAATAACAAGGGAAGAAATAACAGCGACAATAAGGGATTGTTTAGAGAGTTTTGAGTGGCCAGTTCCTCCTGCTGTGCTTGATAGAGAAGTTGCAATCAACCGCGACGATGTTCTAAACGCAGTCAAAGAGGGATTAGCTTCTCACGACGGTATTTCCAAAGAGATTGAATTCAATCGAGAAGATATTGCAGATGCCATAAAGGCCGGGTTCGGTGAAGTTTCCGGGTCGTTGCATAACAACATTAGCGATCAGTTGTTGGACCAGCTCCATTCCTTGTTGGGTGAGATAAAGGATGAATTCAACCAGTATTCTGCGGCAGGTGGAAGGGACACGGAACAGGTGCTGGATGCCATTAAGGACGGGCTCGAAGCTCTCAGAGGCGAAATCGAATCCTATGTGGATCGTGCTTCAGATGTTACCGGGAAAGATGAGATTATTCATACTGTTAAGGATGGATTCCACTTGTTACAGTCAGACCTTGAAAAGTCCATTGTTGAAGCTGCTCGAGCATCTGATGGTGGGCATTCTAATACAATCGAACTACTCGACGCGATGGAAAAAGAGTTTGAGCATCTCCGGCAAACAATGAGCAACCTGCTGATTAGAAACAGCGCTTCGAGTGACAAGGATGAAATTCTTGATGCTATCCGCGATCTTGCAGAAAGTGATACTTCAAAAAACAACAGTTCGGAAACTTCTCAGATGGTTAAAGAGGAATTCGAGCATCTACGGGAAACCCTTACCCTCACAATTATGAAACCAAATTCGACTCTTGAAAGAGACGAATTAATTTCCATTCTCAGGGAGAGTTTTGAAGCAATTCAAGACGAGCACAACAGAAGGAAAGATGGAAATGAGAGCGTCCTTTCTAACACTGGGGAACTCCTCGACGCCTTCAATGACGGAATCGATATCCTCCGCTCTGATATGGAAAAGATCATGAATAGGCCAGCGGAGACAACCACAAGCGCAAATGAGGAGCTTCTCACTTCACTAAGGGACGGTTTAGCAAGCGTCAAGTTTGAAATTGAACAACTCCGCCATGGCCAGAAAGAGGCCGAAGGCACTCAAACCGCACGCGGCCAAGAGGTTATGCTTGCGAACGAATCCTTGATTGGAAGCGACATTGAAAGTCTGAAAGTTCTCGTTACTCAGCTCCAGAATAAGGTCGAAGCAATTGAACCCCGACCACGTGACTCGGAAAACCTTGCCAATCTTGTGGAAAAAAATGACCTTGTGGATGTCCTAAACTCTATTAAAGAAGTACAAGAACTAGTGATCGAAGTTGCTAGTCGTGAACCCCTCCCAGCCGCAGTGGATGAAAATGCTGTCAAAAAGGAGGATACTGAAGCGATTGAAACCCTGCTCGTAAACATGAAAGCCAAGGTTGACGAGCTAGTAGAGACAAGTAGCCCGAATGGCATAACGGCAGATAGGGCTGATGCGCTGGAGGCGCTCGCAAAGGAGACAAAGGAAATTTTGGATGGCTTTGCTGCTCATGTGGAAACACACGGTGCATCAAAATCAGAACTAGAGAATCTCGAAACCATCGTCAAGGATATCTGGGTCGTTGTGGAAGAGTTGAAAACAAACGCCGCGCAGCCCGAAGACGCCTCAGAGAAGGTGATCAAGGAGGATGTGCGAACCCTCGAGGCGATGTTGCTTGAAATCAAATCGCAGCTTGAGGATTTCGTTCTGCCCGACGTTGAAACTCTTCCGACGAAAGACGACATAGGTGCCATTTGCCATATGGTAACTGAGTTCAAGGAAAAGGTGGAGGTGGAAAACGACCTCACGGCTCAGGCGTTTGAGTCCCGAAAAATCGAGCATGGTGGATTGGCAGAAAAAATCGACGAAGCTAAGCAGCTTATTACTGATTTGAGGGATGAACTCAAGAGCAAACTCACCGACAGCGATGAAGGCCTTGTCGACATCAAGACAATTCTGGGAGCGTTGAGTGATGCGTCAGAGTCATTCGCTACCGCTGAAAGCCTCAAGGAGCTTAGTGATCTCATCACTCGCGAATTTGACCGATCCCATGGTGATCGGGAGGCTGAGAAAATTGAAACGTCGGAAAGAGAAATTTCCTCGTCTGCAAAACACGAGGAAGCCCGAGCAGCAATAGTGCTGGACCTTGGAACGAAAATCGACGAGAAGTTTGCTGAGTTGTTGGCTAAGTACGAAGACGCGCAGATGCTAGCAGATTCAAAATTTACTGCTATCGAACAGCGTGATGTCCAAAGTCTGGACACCTTGACGAACACCAAAAACATAGCAGAAGATCTCAAGCTCGTTATAGGTGGCATGGGAGACAGCGTAACTCAGGTTTGTGAGAGGATGAGCGACGATGCTAAGACCTTTTTCCATCGTGTCGATGAATCCTTTTCGAAAGTGGACGACCTCCGCTCTGACGTCCAATCACAGCATGATCATCTCAAGGGAGAATTAACACGAGCACTTGAAGCAACAAATCGACTAGAAAACCAACTCGCTGACTCCCATCCAAAAATTCTCACTACTATCCAAGATATCTTGTCCATGGTCTCAAAGCATTATGACCACTCGCAACAGACTAGCGAGGAACTCCAACGAAACGTCTCAGCCATCCCATCAGCCATTCCTCCTTTATTACCAGCTCTTCCCCCACTACCTCCTCCAGTGGAGCTTCGAGAGATTGTTATCCCGGAAAAGTACGACGACACACAAGTCCACGACAAGTTAAACACTCTTCTTGACCACGCTGCCTCTACTGGCAAATCTATATCTCAAATTGAAAAGCTGGACCAAATCCAAGACCAGATTTCGTCAACATCAAATGAGTTGCGTGAAATGATGGTGGCTCAAGCAGCTCTATTGACCGAAAGTCAGGCAAAGAAGGATGAAGAGGCTCAAGATGTAGCCTTCGCGCTCGAGAAGAGATTGGCACAGAAAGAGAGAGTAGAGGCAGAGGTAGTCGAACTGAATGACCAAAAGGGATCTCTTTTCCGTATGGTCACGGAGCTAAAGGAGGAAAAGGAAGCACTTAGTAAAGAAAATCTGAAGCTTCATAAAGAATTGGCAGGGCTGGAGACTGCATTGCGTATCCGGAGAGAAGAAATGCAGCTTATGGAGGACCGTGCAGAAGGCCTGGAGCGAAGGATTGTCGAAGGTGTTCTCGAGCATGCGAGAAGTCTTTTGATCAGTCGACCTGGTAGCACTCAGGCCATGAATCTAAAACGAGTTCCGAGTTCAGCGAGCACGGTAACGCGTGGAAGTGTTGCGAGTACTGCCAAAGAGAATAGCGTGCTCAGTAGTGGCGTTGGCATGGCTCTGAAGCGGCGACGAAACCCTTTGAAAACCACTGAGGGATCTGCAGTGTCATCACACACGAAGCAAGAGCGGAGAATTCTTAGCCTCAGCAACGTCACCGGTAACAAAAGGTCGACAGATCGACAGATGCTCCCTTCGGCAAGGAGTGGATTAACCAACTTGAAACGGAGCCATTCAGTCAAGTCAAGTTATCCGGTAGTCAAGCCTTTGTGGGATATTCGGAAGCCCACTTCCAATAAAGAAAATGAATTGGTCAAGGAGGAGGAGGATGAGGAAGTTAGCGGAGATGAAAGCGATGCTGCAACAGAAAGGAGGACCAGCTATACGGGAACTTGCACAGACAGCATGTCCTATGCAACGACGATGTCGACGACAGATAGGCAATCGAGCTACAGCAGCTCCACCAACGGCTTAGTGAGTGCGGAGCCGGGGATTTGGGTCGAAGAATATGAAAGTGGGAGCGAGGGCGAACAGAGCCCGGATGAAGACGGGGATGGTCTACGGGATTTAGACACCAAGAGCTTCGCAAGCGCGGAGCTCCTGGAACCGCAACCTCACGACGATGAAAGTGGCGTGGATCCCGGCGGAATGGTAGTTTATATGCCGCAAAGTGACAGCGGCCTAGGAACCGAATTGCCCGGCTCAGCCAGCGAAAAGGGGTTCGCACAGGAATCGGTCTATAGCGAGTGCGATTGATTGGGCAGAAACCCGAGCATTTGGCCCTCTTTTCCTTCTTCTATTCATGATTATGATGATATGTTGTTTTCTTTTCTTGTTTAATTGTTTATGTCCGTTACGTTGATGTGCCCTCCTTTTGAAATATTTTTGCCTTTGCTTTTCCGGCGTGATAGCGTTCAGTTATGTATGTGGTATTGAGCATATGGGAGTCGCCTACCTTTCGTGATGTCTGTGATGTGTGAGGAAATCGCCACAATTGATCATTGGCAATTGGCAGGAGACTCTGTTTTTGATGTTCTTGTTTTTTTAGTTACATTTTTTGCCCTCCACTTCTTTCCCTCTTTTTTTTTTTTTTTGTGTTGACGTGCTTCATTGCCTACCGTAGACGATATCATTAGTGTTAGGTCGTTGCTTTGTTGCTTATTACTAGTATGTATGCGAATGAAAAGATTTCGGTTGTATCTGATAACTGATAACTGCCTTCGATCCAATCCATGGATGGATGCGCTTTGGAAATCACATGAGTTCCCGACAAGGGGCCCAACAGTCTGGGGGCCTTGGCGGTCTTGGCGGTCTTGGCAGGCGGTTGGCTGGACAGGCGGCTGAAATGTGGCAGCAACCATTTGCGAGCACACGAGACTCATCGGAATGCCAGACGCTGGCACCAGACTCCAGCCACCACAAGACCAGGCAGCATGGCTGAGATTTAACAGTGGCTCTCTTTCTGTCCCTGTCCCTGTACCGTCTGCCTCGATGGATATTTAATCTCGTCATTCCTTCAAACTGGAGATTTTCACGTCACTACTAGTACTGCTCCTGGAAAGGTACACCCTCCCAAATTCAGCCATAGAGAGCGTGGATACCGTGGAGAGGACATAGCCGTACTCCATGTTGGACCCCATCCCATCACCGCCCAAATGGCTGCAAGATGCCATCCTCCCCGTTGCAGAGAAGTTGGGTCTCCATTCCATGACGCTTCACATCCATGAGGTCATCTTTTTTTTTGCGTTCTACCAGCTCATCCAGTCCGTGGTGTCGCCGCTTCTCTCGACCGCTCTGTTCCCCAAATTTTACCCTCACTTTAACCGTCGAACGAAGCTGAACTGGGATGTTCATGTAGTGTCTCTTATTCAAAGCTGCCTCGTTAATGCCGCCGCTCTTTGGGTTATGTTTGCGGACAAGGAGCGTCAGGCGATGACTTCGTCTGAGAGGGTCCGTGGCTATTCAGGCACATGTGGCCTGGTACAGGCGATGGCGGTGGGATATTTTATTTGGGACCTGATTGTTAGCACGCGGTACATTGGTGTGTTTGGTATTGGGCTTTGGTTCCATGCCGTCAGCGCGTTGTGGGTGTTTAGCTTGGGCTTTGTAAGTCGTCTTTTTTTCCATCGTCTATAGGTTCTCGCGACCTCGGAAAAATACCAATTTTGCCCTAGATGGGCACCTCGCTATTTTTTGGCTCCCATTTCCTTGCTTCCCTCAATTTGTGAATTCCCAATAAAATACATTTGGACTAATTGAGTTAACCTGGTATCTTGGTTGGTAGCGGCCTTTCGTAAACTACTACGCCCCAACTTTCATCCTTTATGAACTCTCCAGCCCGTTTCTCAATTTCCACTGGTTTTTCGATAAAGTCAACATGACGGGCAGTAAGGCACAATGGTACAATGGAATGATGCTGCTATTGGTGTTCTTTTGCTGTCGCCTTGTTTGGGGTACATGGCAGTCCTTCCGGGTTTTCATCGACATCTTCACGGTTTATTCAGGAGCCAGTGGTGGCTCTACCCGGATCTCAGTAAATGCAACAAATGCAGAAGCTTCCAAATTCGCGGATGACTCAATGGCTGGTAGCGTCCCCCTCTGGCTTGTCGCGACGTACCTCAGCAGCAACTTCACCCTCAACTCCTTGAATTTCTTCTGGTTCTGGAGAATGATCGAAACCGTCATGAAGCGATTTAGAGCGCCAGCACCAGACACGAAGACGAAAGTGGAAACGGAAGAGCCCGCTACAGCGGCCAAAAGGGAAGCTTCCGATAGCAGTGACGCCGTGCTTGAAGCAGCTGCTAAACTTGAGGAACAAGAGAGACTCTTCATCAACGGCGGCATGCCTGAATATTCTGATGGGGAGAAAACAACAGTAACATCATCGACTGGCACTGCAACTGCTCCTTCAGCTCGGAGGCGGAAAGGGTAGATTGATATTTTCCCAACCATACATCTCGCTACACCGGAGATGTATTTGGCGCCTTTTTTTTTTTTTTTTTTTTTTTTTTTTTTTTTTTTTTTTGAGCCTAGTTCTTTTTCCTCCCCTATCCTACCTACCTGCTATACTTACGATGCTATTTTCTGAGGACTCTCCCCTTTTTTTGGGGGGGAATCCCCTGCACTACTTACTTTTAATTTTCATTTTCAGTCAAACGAAACAAGGCCCCATCAGCCTAGTTTCACTTGGTTCCAGTTCATAGAAATTTCCTGTACGCTTTCCAATTGCTGTTTCTTTCCCTTTCTTTTCGGAGCATTGATGAACCAAATTGGTACAGTTATAGAATGGATAGCGCCCATGACTTGATTTGTCTCATGCTCTCTCTCTTTTTTTCGTTTTTTTAAATTATAATTTTTAAATTATATATTTATGCCCAGGGTGTACCTATTCTTTAACTTTGTTCAGGCGAATAGTTTCTTCTCTCTCCTTTTGATTTTCTATTACTATTACTCTACTGCTGAGTATTTCGATTGCAAATCAGCTGCATTATAATATCCGCTTGCTAATCATTAGGTTGAAACTACTATGAAAGTCATAACCTTAGGCTAATGTTTAACAGCCGCTCCAGTGCAAGATGAAAGTATTGTTCCACCCCGTTCTATAGGTAGAAACACACAATGAAACGGAAACACAAGCACGTACAACAAACGTACAGCAAAACCCCATGGTAATTAAGTTTGAAGCCAGCTTACACCCAGCAAGCCAACCCAGCGCCCACCAGTCACAGCCACAAGTTGAAAAACGAGCATTAGAAAATGTAAGCTCATGAGCAGCTCCCACCTAAGACAATGCATCATGAAAACAGCTGTTATGGAGGGGAGGAAATCGAGTCTACAAAGAGCTTAAGCTGCACCACTGATCGGTAAGCCGCCTGAGCCCAGTAGCCTTGCCTTTGCCGGGCCATGGAGGGCGTGGCTGAATGTGGTGCACGCCGGATCTTCAAGGAGCATGTCCAGATCCTCTGAGTCAGGGGGCAGGCGGAAACCATTTCCAGCCTTGGGGTATAGCCGGTGATCTTCTACATACATATATTCATCATCGTCACTGAGTTCGTCGTCATCCCTTCCGGTTAAGCTACTCTGCTCTGGGACGGCTGAGGGATCAGTGGAGGCAGGTGGTAAAGGCGGGTTGTCTGCGGCGGAGAATTGAGGGGTTGTTAGGGAATCCTGAGTAGCGATGGCTGGAGCCGACGGGGTGGACCCGCCGGGTATAAGAGATGATCTGTCAATTGCGTTGGTCTGTATTGCTGGTGCTTGTGCTGTTGGTTGGAGCAGAGTGGATGATGGTAGATCTGGAAGGTTATCGGGGAAGATGGGTAACTCAGGCGTAGCGGTGCAAAGGTCTAGTAGAATGCCAACGAGGTGGGAGTGGGAAAGACTGGATAGATATCCTCGTTTCTGCTCCAGCGAGAACTGCGCGCCGCTAACTTTAATCTCCGATGGGAGAGTGGGTAGATGATTGGAGGTATCTATCCTATTATTAGTAGAGGCTTGTTGAGGGCACGGCATCTCATCTGGCTGAGCATCAGCCGGAGGCTGACACTCTTTGCAGAACCACTCCAGCTCTTTCACGGTAACCACTTCCTTCTCAATCGGAGGATCGTGGCAAAACTGGTGCCAGGGACGATTGCAATCATCACAAAACACAATCGCATTCCCGGCAGAGCTATGGGCTCTCTCGCAATGTTTGCATGTGATATTCATTTCTTTGCCCTTACGATAGACTCGTCTTCGCTTTCGTGCTTGTGACGACGATGACGCATCGGGCCCAGTTGGCGATCCTGATCCAGCACCAGGAAGTGTGGGACAAAATGCTGTCGGCCGATGAATTTGTCGACCCGACTTGGTTTGTGTGGTGACCGGCGTAGCTTCATTGGAGGATCCATCAGAACTAGAATCACCGGCTTCGACTTCCTCGTCGTCATCATCCATACCATTATTCCTCCCCGTTCTGCGCCTTTTGGAGCCTCTCTGGTCACTTCTACGACGACGAGTTGTTGTTACCGCCATCCTCTGCCGTTTGGATGCAGCTGTTGATGTGGCAAGAGGTATACTACTCGGGCGAGGAGCAATATTTCTCAGGTGAATATTTTTTGCAGCAGTTAGATCGGGCGCTGTTGGAGTAACATCGCCATTCGATATCACAGAGCTGTGAATACCTTCTTGGCCTGGAGTGGCAGGTAGTTGGGGTTGCTGCTGGAGCATTATATCTGTGGAGGCCATCGTTTCAGAGCTCGATGTAATCAATGCAACTTTCGCGCACTCCTTCTCATTATTTTCACCGTATTCCAGAGCTGCGGAACCGGCCACTCCTATGTTCGATCCGCTTGGGATGGAACATGTAGCGTCTCCCATGTTATTGTTGCTGTTCATGAGCGCATTGGCTGCGTTGCTAGCACAGATTTGTGGAGTCATCCAGCTCCTATTTGGCGGTCTTGAAGTTCCGCAATGGCAGCGGAAATCTTTTGAGATGTCGAAAGAATATACTATAGAAGAATCTGCCGTGCCAGATCTTTCAGAAGAAAATTGAAGAGTGATCGTGGAAATTGATACAGATGTTGGCGTAGAGGTTCGGTTCCCCTGAAAAGGTGGAGGATTAGGACTTGTCAGGTGACAGGGAGCTGATATTGGTCCTGCGATGCCATAGCGATAGTTGCAACATAATGGAAGTCATACGGATATAAGCCGACTTATTGTTTCTATGTATTTGAAGAATGAATGCATAACATCTCTTTTCCATCTTCCGATTTTGGCGTTACGATCACGTGATATAAAATTGGCATCTGGCTGACACTTCACCTTAAGGATTCATATCTTCTTGTTGTTTACTGTTTACTGCTTACTGTTTACTTTTCCCAATGATATCTCCTTATCTTCGTCCCGCTTTCACTCAAATTTGCCTCCATTGCATTCCCTACCCTCTGTGGTAGAATTGCGCGTGTTTCCATCCTACATTCTTATCGCGGCTCGGATGGAGTCCTCTGCGATACTACCAAGACTGCTGCTATGACACTGCTCAGGGTAGCTCCTTATTTGACAGTCAAGCCGATCAGCATAAATCCCTCTGACGAGTTTAAATGGCAGAATCAGCGTTTGCCTACCATGAGCCAACGATTCTCACTCTTCTCAACCAAGCTGGTCTTCTATTGGTCTTGAATCTAATCAACGCCTGTCTTGACAAACTTCTATACTGTGGCTTGATCGGTCAATTGGTTACCGGTATCCTGTGGGGTACACCTGGAGCCAAATGGCTCAACCGCGACATGGAAACTGTGATTCAGCAACTCGGCTACTTGGGATTGATCATGCTCGGGTATGAGGGCGGCTTGTCAACTCCCCTGTCTTCGCTCCGCGCCAATATGTACCTCGCTCTTGCTGTTGCCGTTACCGGAATCAGTGTTCCTATAGGACTGTCGTTTATTCTCATGGAATTGGTTTCAGCAACGCCGCTCCAGGCATTCACTGCTGGTGCGGCTCTCAGCGCGACAAGTCTCGGGACCACGTTCACTATCCTTTCAACAACGCAGCTGATCACCTCGCGCCTTGGCACTGTAACTACCAGTGCTGCGATGTTTGATGACGTTATCGGCCTTGTGCTGGTTCAGATCATCTCAAACCTTGGCGGGAATGGTGACTCGTTCAGCGCTGTGACTGTTCTCAGGCCGCTGTTTGTTTCGATCGGGTTTGGTGTTGGCATCGTCTTGGCGTGTAAATTCGTGGCGCGCCCGATTCTGATCAAGATTTTCGAGTCCAAAGGTAAGTTGCCAAAGTTTACTCACAAGCCTCAGTTCGCGTTTCTCGGATATATCTTCTTGCTTCTAGGGTTGGTGGCTGGCGCTGCATATGCTGGGACGTCAAGTTTGTTCGCCGCATATCTTGCTGGTGTTATCACATCGTGGTTTGATACATTGATATACACAACTCCGGATTCTACGGCGGCACAATTGCAACAAAACAATGACAGCCATTCTCAAGACCAGGCTCAACCTGAACAAGCAGCCTCCTCCGGAACCTCCCGCCAATCTCCCCGCTCAGGTAAGGATGGTAAGATTACTGGTCTGTACATCTATGAGCACTACCACCATGGGCCCGTCAATCGAATCTTGATTCCAATGTTCTTTGTAAGCATTACCCTTCGAGCAGCTGTGCGCAATAGGCTGACCAACCACAGGCTTCAATCGGCTTCTCGATTCCAATCAGAGACATGCTCCGGGGAAATGTTATCTGGCGTGGTGTTGTGTATGCTATCCTGATGGCCTTCGGGAAGATGTGCACTGGACTGTGGCTAGTTAACCTTCCACCTGGTTCCGGCCTTCACGTCTTCGTTCGCGCTCTGAAGACACCTCTGATGTACCCGGCTTCCTGTATTCGGAGTCGCCCATCAAAGGAAACTAGTGAGACAGGTCCTATACAAGCCGCTACGAACAACCAACTCCGAGAAGCCACAGAAAATGCGGAGTCCGATGAGGTTGTTCAAAGCGCCAACGCGGACTCCCAGAGAAATGCCATCGCAACGGCAAAGGATAAAGCAACTGTCCCCAAACAAGAGGAAGAACAACATGCCACTGCCCCTCTGCCACCACCAAAGCCGAAGTCACTCTATCCGGCCTCAATCCTCGCATTAGCCATGACTGCCCGTGGAGAGATAGGCTACCTCATCGCCTCCATCGCAGAGTCAAACGGTATCTTTGGCGACACTTCTGAACATTCTTCCGAGACCTATTTAGTTGTCGTATGGGCCATTTCTCTCTGCACGTTGATCGGACCCATCTCGGTTGGAACCCTCGTCAATCGAGTTAAAACTTTGCAGCAGGCACGTGCGAGCTCTGCTGGACCTGATCCCTTGGGTGCCTGGGGAATCTAATCAATGGCGAATCCGTGATCAAATAATTGATGGCGATGATTGTGCTTGCCGGCTGGGACGCTAGGGCTCTGTTATCGTAAATGGAGTTATATCACAAATAATCTCAAAACAGATATTGGTTGGTAGATCGATTGTTTTAGACTACTAATAAATATATCTTGGCGTTGCTGGCCCGATTGTTTTGCTTCCCATTGACTGACTATTATTATGTTCACCTTGATGCTTAGCCAAGAATAAAAAGATATTCAGTTGATCACGAACAGGTTATGTTACCCTTTTTGATTAAACTCTTCCGCTATCGCGAAGCAGATTAAGCACTTTAATCGCTCACTGCTCGTGTTGCGCCCGCCTTACCGTGCTGCCTCCCTTAATCGCAGGTAGTACCAAGTTTCGAAAAACGCATCTTCTTAAATAGATTGAAGGTGTTCGTTACTTTTCAAAATTGAAAAATTTCATCAAGGTACCTCAAAAGAAGTTTGATGCCGCCTAAACCAACTCCTAGAGAAGGACCTCGGCAATGATCATTGAATTCTTGAATTCATCATCCCGAAAGACGACAAAGCAGCAGAGGTGTTTCTCCACAGGACTCAGAACTTGCCATTTAATTATTTTAAGCAGCCGACTACCATCAAGCCAAATATGCTTCCAACCTCTATGCTTAGAGGGATATATACACGCACGCCTGTTAAAGAACTACCTGAACATAACATCTCTATATCTTCGTCTTCAGTATCCATGAACCCACTGCCAATATCTCCTTTCCAAATAAATGACGATTATTTAGCCTCTATTTCCCTTAATGCGTAAACACAGAATAAATTGCATCTATTGCCATGGATAGGATAGCGATAACGGAAAAAGAGCCCATAATTTGCGCCCGCTGAAAGATAATATATATATATATATATGTCTATGCAACGATTTTCTGTTCCTTCAATTGCGCAATCTTGTCCTCTCCAAGACCCACAAGATCTCTAAGGACATCGTCGCTATGCTGACCCAGCATTGGTGGCGATGTTCTTATACCTGGCTTAGCATCGGAAAACTTAACAGGAGTGTTGACCAACTTTATAGGTCCGCAGCTCGGATGCTCTATCTCCACAACCATCCCTCGGGCCAGCACTGGTTATTGATGTCAGCAATTAATTCTCGGAAGTCATATAATGGTTAAAGTAGAGATAAACCTGCAAACTTACCATGTGGGTTGTTCAGGGTCCCCTGAATGTCATTGATAGCGGAATACGGTATGCCGCTGCCTTCGAATATCTCGAGCCACTCCTGAGTAGTCTTCTGTTTTGTCTTGTTTTCGATCATAATATCCAAGACCTCTCTATTCTTTACTCGAAGGTTATTGCTGACGAAACGCTCGTCTACTTTCCATTCCGGTTGGCCTAGTCTGTCACACAGTACCCCGAAGAGTTTGTCGTTTCCGCCACCAAGAAGTATATCGCTGTCTTTCGTTTCATATGCACGATAAGGTACGATGGAAGCTAGAAGGTTTTTTTTTTTTTTTTTTTTTTTTTATTTTTTTTTAAGTTTCGGTACGAGTGCACGGTTAACAAAGCGGGGAAACAAAAAATGAAATGCTTACGATGAGCAGTTCCCCATCGCCCCGAATCCTTTTCGCCGCTAATCAGTGCAGAACTTGCCAGATTCGATAGCGTAGCGACCTGGCAGTCACTCAAACACGCGTCGATATGTTGGCCCTTCCCAGTTTTCGCTCGTGCCAGCAATGCCGCCATGATTGCATTGGATGTGTAAAGTCCAGTGGTTAGATCCGTGACAGCGACACCAACTTTCACTGGAGGTCCGTCTCGAGAACCAGTAATGTGCATCAAGCCCATCTCAGCCTCGACAATGACATCGTACCCTCCCCGTTGGCTATAAGGTCCAGTCTGCCCATACCCCGTAATACTCGCGTAAATCAACTTTGGGTTTATAACTTTCACGGTATCGTAGTCCATTTTGTATTTCTTTAGTGATCCGGGGATGTAGTTCTCCACCAGAATGTCGCACTCCTTCACGAGCTTATGGAGGATTTCGATACCGGAAGGATGGGCGAAAGACAGTCCCAGAGATTTCTTGTTGCGGTTTACCTACATATCAGGAGGGTGAGTCGGACTGGACGTATTTAAAAGACAATAGGAGTAGAATTTTTTGGACATACCGATAGATAATATGCGCTTTCTCCTGGTCCCTCTTTGCCGTCTTCTTTATATTTGGCGAAAGGTGGTCCCCATGCCCTGGTGTCATCGCCGCGGGTTGGGTGCTCGATCTTGATGACTTCCGCACTGCATGGTTGGTATTTTGTTAGCACGTTAAAGCCAATCAAGAAATTGAAGCTTCGAGCAAGTGAAGTATCAATTACTCCGCCATGTTATTATTCCAGAGTGCGGTTGCTTACCCTAAATCCCCAAGTATTTGCGTACAATATGGCTGGGAAAGAAAGCAGCAGAATAGCCGTCAATTCATAGAAATATCCAAATAGATTCTTATACAACTAAAAACAAAAACTTACTCCCGCAAGAACTCGTGACATATCTAAAACGCGAATGCCCGCAAGTGGGAGATTATCAACGCTCTGAGCAGTTGTTGTAGCGGCAGTTACGAAACTCCGCCATTTAGCCGGTGTTGCCAGAGCATGGTTCCTTGATAGCAAAGGGTTGTATCTCCTCGCGATACTTCTCAATGTCAGATACGACTTCATCATGAAAGGAGAGAGCGCGTACACTTCAACCCATAAGCAGATCTCAGCTGGTAAAGTTCATTGGTGCAGGTTGTTTTCTCGACTTATTTGTTTATTTATTAATACAGAATTGCGGAGCACTATTTAACACCGACGGCACGGTTCCGAAAGCTTGAAAGCAACCGAGAAACCAGCAAGAGCCGGAAACATACCCGATCTTCCAGGAGATACCATGGTAAAAGCCAAACAATATTTGATTCATTTGTGAAAGCGTTAAACGTAACGCCCATGTTTACCGGCTTGGTTGAGAAGATCGGCGGTAAGTAAGGAGCATTCTTATAAACCCCACTACCACAGTCATCCACCCTGCTAACTGTGCACCAAAGCGGTCACGTCGCTAGAAGCTCAGGATGAGACAGCTAGTGGCGGTGGCGGAACGTCTTTGACAATATCCAATTGCGAGGAAATACTTACGGACTGCCATCTGGGTGACAGCATCTGTGTCAATGGTAAGAAGCAGACCATATTACCCTGCGCCAACGAAGATACTGGGAGAGCACTAACAACAGCCCACAGGAACATGCCTAACCGTAACCGCCTTCGACAAATCCTCCTTTAAGGTAGGAGTCGCTCCGGAAACCCTACGCCGCACGAACTTAGGCTCCCTCACAAACGGGTCCTATGTCAATCTTGAACGTTCTGTTACTGCCTCGACACGGATGGGCGGCCACTTCGTCCAAGGCCATGTCGACACTGTCGCAAAAATCTTATCTGTCACGCCAGATGGCAATGCGCTGACCTTCCGCCTCCAGCCACGGGACAAAAGCTTGTTGAGATACATTGTTGAGAAAGGATATGTTACATTGGACGGCGCAAGTTTAACGGTGACGAAAGTGGTGGATGGTGAAGCAGGATGGTTTGAGATTATGCTGATTGCCTATACCCAAGAGAAGATTGTGACGGCTAAGAAGCGTCCTGGAGAGGAGGTCAACGTTGAAATTGATATCGTTGGTAAGTATGTCGAGAAGAGCGTTCAATGCTACTTTGAAGGACACGGAGGTGGAAGTGATTTTGCTATCCTGGAGAAGATGGTGGGAAGGCTGGTGGAAGAAAAGCTACGGACTCCAAAATCTTAAGATATTTCCTTACAATGGTATATCTCTATTTCATGTCATGAAATACAATTCCGATTGCATAGATGGTGTCGGGGTTGAAGTGCAAGCCCAGCGGGCAAAAGGATTCAGTGGGAGAAGAATAGCCCAATAAATTATAAAACCGTGAAAATTAATCGGAATCGTTGTTTTGTCCAAGTCGGGTTACAAGCCTGCGAATTTAGTGAAGAATTCCTTTAAAACTCCTAACATTTCCCCTTTATCCATCCCACAAGGTGAATGCAAACAGGAAGGAAAGGAAAAGTTGTGTTCAAAACAACGATTCATCAAGCAGAAAATATAGGTTTCTAACTATCATCAGGTGCGTCTTCCATCTCTTCATCAACGTCGTCGAAATCCTCGCTGTCCCAATATTCATCGAGATCCTCATCCTCATCCTCTTTATCTATATCCTTTGCCCCCTTGCCTCTTTCTTTCCGCTTCCTTTCAATAGATTCCTTCTGCTCTTTTCGTCTCTGCTCTTTCTCCCTGCGCTTTTTCTCCCAGGCCTCATCCAGTTGTCGAGTCTCTTCCTCCGACTTGGTCAGAATATGATGCCACAAAACTTTTCCACTACACAACCCCTCTTCGACCTTGGTCAATTTCAATTTCATCCGTGGACCCAATTCTACCAATTTCACTGCCCTTTTTTCGACATTAGGATCCGATGAAGTCGATGGCTTTTTATCGCCCTCCTTCATACGTTGTATTTGGCGCTTATTCAGAACTTTTTTGGCCGTTGTTTCCATCACCTCGACTTCAGCATCAGTGTCCAGCTCAGTTTCGCTAGCAGAGGTATATCCAGCAGCTGATGGGTCGAGGAGATAATCTGCCACATCATCTAGTTTTCCAAGGTTTGGGAGAACCGCCGTCTTTCGGTCCCTATGCCGTTGTTCCTTGGGATCAAGGCGCCGTATTCGTTTCGGTATGCCGATCCTTTTGGTGGTGATGGCATAATGGCGAAGATTTATGACATATGAGCCATTCTCTGTTTGATCTGGGGACAGTTCCCTATTTAACAGGATGATGCGACGAATTGAAGAAAATGTTGTGGTTTGGGGAGAAATAGGGGGAAAAAGAGACTGGAAAACAGTAGTCGTAAGGGATTCGAGGTGTTTAGGGACGACTTTCGAGGAGGATGGTTCATCATCTGTTCTCGGAGACATGAAGTTATTCATTACTAGCAATGGATGAGTTCGATGGAGCTTGTCCGATCCCTTTGGATGTTTTAACGCCTTGATGACGTCTTTGCATAGGGAATAATTTTCTATCCTAAAGTGAAGAGTAGGTCCACGAGGAGCAAGTGCAAGGCGAAGGCTGGTATTTCCTATACTGGACTTTGAGAATAAGAGCAGATGTGTCACTCCTAAAGGCCCTGTCATCACTGTATAGTCCTTCAGTTTGTTCGATTTCCGCTCCTGTACGATGCGAGTCGCGCATGTCAGAATGGGATAAAGACCGCAAATATTGTCATCTCTCAAATTGAAAAGTCAATTCTTACCTTCAAGCGACTGGCTGTATCCGGCTCCATCATGGCCCGCACATCTTTCACCAACTGGCTAACACTGGGTCCAATTTCTCCAGCACCGACCCGAATCACCATACTCTTTGGGGACTTTTGCATTGACGCGGAGCCACTTTTAGGAGTGGCATTGCTCACATTTGCAGCACGGAGGTGAGTCCGCTTCTTTGTGCGCCTTTTCGCCATGATCAAAGCTCGATTCTTTTTTTTTTTTGTTTTTTTTTAATTGTTCTGTTTGAGAATCTCAACTTTTTTTGGGGAGATTTAACGTGCCCGGAACAATGATTTTGCGGGTTATCAAAAATATTTTGGTGGAAAATCACCATTCACCATCACCAACCCAGACACTCTTACTTATCTGCGGATTAATATCCATCATACAGAATGCCGGTCTTGAAGAAGCGGAAACTTGCCCACACAGCTCAGCCAGACCCCATTGTGAGCGACCTGGAATCCTCCAGTTCAGAAGCCTCACAGCAATCGCACGATGAGCAACTCACCGCAGCCAATGAACAAGATGACGAAAGCCCGCAGGTGCAGCGAGAAGAGGCTGTGACGAAGTCTTTCAAAGATCTAGGCATTATTGATTCATTATGTGAAGCATGTGAAGCTTTAGGCTACAAATCGCCCACTCCGATTCAAGCAGAATCAATCCCGCTCGCACTTCAAGGGCGGGATCTCATTGGGCTGGCAGAGACAGGAAGTGGAAAGACGGCCGCATTTGCCTTGCCTATTCTCCAAGGTAAATAGCGAACAGCTCAACCCGTTTACGAGAGCCCTCCAAGCGACGAACCTTGACTAATTACACGAACCTTGACTAATTACCTGTGTACGATAGCTCTGATGAACAAACCTCAATCCCTTTTTGGCCTCATACTAGCTCCCACCCGAGAACTAGCCTGCCAAATATCAGAAGCATTCGAGGCGCTCGGCTCCCTTATCTCAGTCCGATGTGCCGTCATCGTTGGTGGAATGGACATGGTTTCCCAAGCAATTTCACTGGGGAAGAAACCTCACATCATCGTCGCAACACCAGGTCGTCTTCTAGACCACCTTGAAAATACAAAGGGCTTCTCCCTCCGCAGCCTCAAATACCTCGTGATGGACGAAGCCGACCGCCTCCTCGATCTTGACTTTGGACCCATCCTTGACAAAATCCTCAAAGTTCTTCCCCGTGAACGCCGCACATACCTATTCTCCGCAACCATGAGCTCAAAAGTTGAGTCTCTCCAACGCGCATCCCTCTCCAACCCGCTCCGCGTTTCCATCTCCAGCAACAAATATCAAACCGTCGCCACCCTGCTCCAAAGCTACCTCTTCATTCCCCACAAATACAAAGATATCTATCTCGTCTACCTCCTCAACGAATACGCAGGCCAATCCGCCATCGTCTTTACCCGCACAGTAAACGAGACTCAACGCCTAGCCATCTTGCTTCGCGCTCTCGGCTTCGGCTCCATCCCTCTCCACGGCCAGCTCTCGCAGTCCTCCCGCTTAGGCGCACTCAGTAAATTCCGCTCACGCAGCCGCGACATCCTCGTAGCGACAGACGTCGCCGCACGCGGCCTCGACATCCCCTCTGTTGACGTGGTGCTCAACTTCGATCTACCCTCGGACAGCAAGACGTATATCCATCGCGTAGGCAGGACCGCGCGCGCAGGTAAGAGTGGACATGCCTTTAGCATTGTAACTCAGTACGACATTGAGGTCTGGCTGCGGATCGAAAATGCGCTGGGTAAGAAATTGGACGAGTATAAAGTTGAGAAGGAGGAGGTGATGGTGCTGAGTGATAGGGTGGGCGAGGCGCAGCGGCATGCGATTACCGAGATGAAGGATTTACATGAGAAGAGAGGCTCCAGGGGGGCCACGTTAAAGGGGAGAAGGCCGGCGAAGGGGGCGAAGAGGGGGCGGGATGAAATGGATCGTGAGGAAGGGTAGATAGGGTTAGATTAATGGTAGTCATTATGATGAAAAGAAGTAAATCCAGTGTCTAATTTTATTCTGTTAGGTCATTGCTTGGCCACTCTTGTATATGTATGTTTTTGGTATAGTAATACTTCATTTTTCGATTGTGACTAAGTATCCTCGACTTGCCACGGGTATACAAAGGGTGGAGAGAGTGAAAGACTAATGTCTGAAATTTCATCGGATTTATTTAATCTTTCAGTTCATTCAATCATTCTCAGGACGCTTTTCAAATCTCTGATCGCCTCCTTAAGTAAATGGCTCGAAAGGAGTATTGGAAAACAAGAAAAGAAAAAAGGTAACTAAAGAAAACATAAAACACAGATAGGAGACACAATAATATATGGCTCCAGAGCGTTGAATAAAACAAAGTAAAACAATGTATCAGGAGTAGCTGTGAATTAGGGGTCTGATTTTGTGATATGAAATGAAGGAAACGAAGGAACTGTCGTTCGTCACAAATACTTAATCCGGACCCTGAGGGATCCGGGAAGGTGGTTGGACTTTTCAGACTCTGTTGTCTCGGTTTCGCATGTCGACTGAATTGACATTGACACACATTCGAAGTATGGAATAAAGGGATGTATTGTCAATTGTCTATGTGTATGTTCGACGCCAAGTTTGCTTTTTGTCATTTACGTTATTAATTCCTTTCTTTTTCTATTGCAGAGTCTTGGCTATCTTGCCAGCATCTTGTACTGAGCTGGCGACTCGGGTAGCCAGATCATCAGCCTCAGATCGAGTCGCAGCCTCAGCATACACTCGAACCGCATCCTCCGTCCCGCTGGCACGGGCAAAACTCCGGCCCCTATTATATCTTGATTGAAGAGCATCGATACGTCCTTGCAAACCAGCTGGCGATTCAAGCTTCCGTTCCGCATCAACGGTCTTAAATATTGATCTATCAGCTACCTCAATGCGAACGAGGCGTGATGGGAGATCAGTGTAGGTTGATATCCATTCCTTGAGGCCCCAGCTTTTATGTGCTAGGATCACCTCGACAAGCAGCAAGTCCGACAGTGCGTCACCCACGGCTTGATTTATCAATTCGGTTAGGGCAATAAGACTTTCCAAGGCATACTGCTGCGCTGGGGATTGGGGCTCAGTGGATTTGATGGTCTTGAGCGCGTGCTCTGAGAAAGTTACGGTTCCGTGTCCGTTGGCTTCAAAATAAACTCCCACATCAAATCTTAAAGCGGCATGATGGAGATGCTTTACGCCAGTGGGAGTGCAAATAACTGGGAGTTTAAGGACTTTCTCGATGTACTCAGTACTTGAGCCGTTCGCATATGCCGTTTGAACAACGCCAATCTTGAGTTTGTGTCCTATTCCAGCATTCCTTGTTAACTCTCCAATGAACGAGGCCGCGAGCGTTGCGATTCGGTCACCGTCAAGAAGTTTGAAAATATTGCCTGTGTCAAGATAATAGTAAACTAATCGATCTGCATCACCATCCAACGAAGCGTAGCGGTCATGGGTCGAGGCCTTAGACGATGGTGGGGCGCGCTGTTTCGTTTTGACAAAATCTGCACCGCACTGCGTGAAACATTAACATCAGCCAAAAGTACACAAAAAAGATGGTGGATATTTGGATAGATAGTTTACCTCATAATTCAGGCTATCAGGATTGATCACATTGTCGTTAACAATGTTGATATCCACACCACCTTCCTGAGCACTGGGCAGGTACTTCATCAGCTCTCTGAGTTTAGGGCCTCCGACGCCATTAGCGCAGTCAACGGTCACTGGCCCGCTAGTGGTTCGTCCTTTCATCACTTTTTTGAATGCCTCACTGAGTTTCTGGTAATACCCTTTCTCAGTAGGTTCGCCATATTCATACGGTGTTCCCAGAGTATTCTTGCAGCGTACAATGTAATGAAGCTGGGGGGTGGTCAAGTATTTGAAATCTTCAAACTCGACTTCGGATGCTCTGAGCGCAGTAGAAATCACGCCCACAAGACGGGAGCCTGAAGCACGAGTATCCCGGGCGAAAACTACGCGAGCAGGGTTCTCCATTTTGACTTCAATCTCGTCGATAAGGCTGTTGTATACATCTCCCAAAGCCTCAAGGGGTGCATTTGCCAATCGGGTCGCGTATTTTTCCCAATCAGCCTGAAAAGTTATGGTTTTATGGTGAATAAGCCAACAGATCTCCAAGGAGACGTGATGAGGTATGGCACCTACCTCTAGCATCTCACCCTAAATAAAGCAAAGCATGAGTTTGTCAGTACTTCGAGTAAACCCTTACTCAAATCATGGGAAGAATTAGGACTTACCATTGGGTCCACAAGCTTAATGCCATTGTCTTCCGCCGGGTTATGACTGGCGGTGATCATAACGCCAATATACTGGCCATTTAGCTTTCTCGAGCGAAGCCCAGCCAAAAGCCCGACTGCGAAAACAACAGTATTGAGCATATCCCTGAATTGTCATAGAAATATGAGCAGCGTCCTAACTTGCGCGTTTCTGCTGGGGAAACAAAGGAAGAAAAGAATTTAAAGATTAAATAACTGGGGGAGGTTAAAGCAACAATGAGATAACACCGGCTTATCTTACGCTTTCATGCGGAACTGTACGGTAAATTATCAATAGGGGTACAATTCATATGGAGGCTGCAAGGCTGAAGCAGGCAAAACTCACCCCGGCTGTGCCATACTCAAACACCTTGCCCTCAGGCTTGGTGTACGCTGCAGCAGCATCGACAATGGCTTGCTTGACCATTGGAGACGCCATGGTGACTGAGGGATAAATAATGATCTGCCGGGTCACCGTGGATGGCTGGTGGTGGGTGGGAACGAGGGGCTTTATAAGGAGGGGAATGCGGGCATGGTTGGTTGGTTGGGTTGTGTTGGTGAGATGACTGTGGCTGAATGGCGGCTGATCTGCCAAGGCCCGGGTCAGGTGCTGCAAGGACGCCAAGCTCTGGAGGAGGAAAGTTTGCTGTGTTTGTGACTGGTGTAGGAATAGTATACATCCAAGAGGTTAAGCGAGCAACTGCTTGCATGTCTGGAGTTGGTTATAAAAAAGCAAAAGAAAATGGGGGAAAAAAAGAAGAAAAGCATCCCAATGAACTTCCAAAAAATAGATATATCTGTACATATCTGTAACGAAAACTTAAAGAGCATATATGCAAATGTCGCGAATAAAATATCTATGTAAAATTATAAATCCCCCTATCTTCCCAATTGAATAACGCTACAAAGAAGGCTGAATACACACGGCGGAAACATAATTCAAGCCTTCAGCCGCTCTCCGGCTATGTCATCCAGAGCATCTCTAACAATAAATCTAGTTGTTTACCAATCTCAGGTTAGGGAATGCAATGTACACTCGTCAAGTTATGAAAATGGGATTGTGTCAAACTTACGAATACCACCAAGCAGTAGGCACCACAGTCCCTAAATGCCATAGGCTATGGGCATCAACCAGTCCATGCCAAGGCGGAAAGTCCAAAAGCTCCAAACTCATAGCTACGATAATCCACGCAACTATCATTCCAGGCCATGCCGTCCACGATTTCATGTACTTCCGGTATCGCGAGATACTAAACCACGTCCACAACGAATTCTGCACAATTCCAACAGCCACATTTGCCGCCATGTTATACGTATAGTCCCAGGACCAAAAGCTCAAGTAGGAGACATGCGCAATGAACAGTCCTGTACAGGTGAACGTCCAGTATCGGAGAAGCTTCGGCTTCTGGCGGGGCCTTGTCTGGTCGAGGCGGAATATTCGAACGACGGACAGATATAACCCATATAACACACTTGCGCCTGCACCGTAGTAATCGAGCTTTTCAGTTAAGGGCAGATCCCGTGTATGGAACACCATGCTGAAAATCCAACTAGCCAAGCCGAAATATCCAAAGGCAAGATAAAACCTGCGCATCGGATACGAATGTGGTATCGACTCTCGAACGCGCGACATACCATGGCGATGAGCGAGGAAATTCATGAAGGAGAAGAGGACGGAAAACGGTTCTTGCATGCCAAGTATTCGGTAGAAGGGCCATTTTCCGTGGAATTGGACGACGGGTTCGAGCATTGGCGGGTCCCGGTTAACCCGTCGGTCCGTGATGATGTGTTGGCATGTGTAGTCGCATTCCGCTGGGCAGTCCCAGAGGAGGAGGCGGAGGTAGAATGCTATATTAAAAGCCCCAAAAAGGGTCAGCGACAGATATGGAATGAGCGAAAGAGATATATCCTTACGTATGTATGTCTTTCCATTTTCGCAATTTTCGGTTTTGCATATCTATTTTGTGAACCAAGCATTAGTGATTAACAATCTATTTCCTGTTTCTATTTATTTTCGCTGCTTACGGGTAGGAGAAGGCTTACCGTCACGCACTCGTTGAAATCCGGGAGCCTGTCCCCTAGAGACGCGGAGGACATACCAATTAAGAATATCAAACTTGTAAACACAAATAATCGCCAGTACGATGGCCTCCCACTCCCCGTCATGGCCGTGGTTGTTGCGGATACTTGATTGTGTTTCCCGTTTATTTGGAAGTGGCAAGGCAGTTAGTTACGTACTCGTTCAACGAGCTGCATTAAAGAGTCCTATGTAATAACATTCAAACTCCCTCGGGTCGGGAGTTCCAAAAATAAAATAGTAGGAAATAAAAATAAAAATAGAGGTAATGAGTGAGAAATTCGAATAATGAAAACCGAAGAAAAAAAAAATGACAAAAAACCGAGGGTCAAAAATTTATGGACAATGTGATAATCGAAATCACGACCTTTCGCAGGCGGAGAGTGCAAAGCGAACGCTCTACCAACTGAGCTAATTGCCCAATGGTTTGCATGATGGACAGATGTAACCAAGATGAGCCATTCATTTAAGCGATTTAGCTATTCATCGAATCAAATCCTCCGCCAATCACCTTTCAAGCCGCTAATTTATTATGGACTAGTAACCTCAAACATTGAGCCTCATCTGAACATCCAAACTCAAAGTTCAATATTTTTTCCCAAGGATTGCTTGCCAAGCTAACCCTGATATCAATTACCTTTATTAGGCTCTCTCTGCCTGATTTTTTTTTCTCTTCCACCTCCTTAGGTTTCGTTCTTTTGTCCTGGGTGTTTATCATTCTTTTAACTTTCCCTTCCTGCAGTCGATCATGAACGGAACTTCAAATCCAATGGACATCACACCCACAGCCCCTCAACTGCCGTCCAGCACAGACAGGATGGCTGGAATGGACCACGCGGAAGTTCGCTATTTTACGAGGTTTTTTTGTCCTCATTTTGAATTCATTTTCTTACGAACAGAAATCTAATCCGTTCTATACTAGTTACGACCACCATGGTAAATTGGCCTTTTCGCCTACATCACCCCTCTTCTCAAATTCATAGCTGACAAAACAAACCCAACGGGAAGGCATTCATGAGGAAATGCTTGTAAGTGCATTTCATCCCAATGAATATATTCGCTGCTATTGTTTTCGAAATCAAACGAAATAAGAAATAGCCATTACTAATTTGTGCACTTTTCCCCATGCCCAGAAAGACGAGGTTCGGACGAGATCATACAGAGATGCCATCTACCAAAACCGACATCTTTTCAAAGATAAGATAGTACTTGATGTGGGATGTGGAACTGGGATTCTCAGCATGTATGTCGTGAGAGAATAGGAAAAGAAATCCGTCTAAAGCAACACAACACCTTCCTGAAAACTTTCTAAGGCATTATATATTTTCTCAGGTTTGCGGTTCGCGCTGGAGCCAAACACGTTATTGGCGTGGATATGTCTTCCATCATCGAAAAGGCCCGTGAAATCGTGGCAGTAAACGGGATGGCGGACCACATCACCCTTCTGCAGGGTAAGATGGAAGAAGTGCAACTCCCCTATCCAAAAGTCGATATCATTATATCCGAATGGATGGGATATTTCCTTCTCTACGAATCTATGCTTGACACTGTTCTGTATGCTCGTGACAATTATCTTGTTGCCGACGGCAAGATCTTCCCAGACAAAGCCACCGTCTACCTCGCCGGTATTGAAGATGGTGAATACAAGGACGATAAGATCGGATGTATGTTTGCCCCCTCGAAAGTCCTGAACTGAGTTCTGCCCCTTCATTCAAAATATAGGCCAATTCTAACCAATTACCTGATAGTTTGGGATAATGTCTGGGGATTCAATTACTCCCCTATGAAAAACGTGGCTCTGACAGAACCCCTCGTTGACACTGTCGAGCTTAAAGCCCTAGTCACCGACCCTTGTCCCGTCCTCACTCTCGATTTATATACAGTCACCACTGCTGATCTCGTATTCACCGTCCCCTTCAGGCTCACCGCGAAACGCAACGATTTCATCCACGCGATCATCGCGTGGTTTGATATCGATTTCACAGCCTGCCACAAAAAGATTCGATTTTCCACTGGGCCCCACGCCAAGTACACCCACTGGAAGCAAACTGTGTTCTATATTCGGGAAGTCCTTACAATTGAGGAAAATGAATGTGTCACTGGGTTCCTGGACAATAAGCCTAATGAGAAAAACAAGCGGGATCTGGACATTAAGATCTCGTACACCTTTGAGACAGAAGATGAAACACGTGCTGCCCAGGGCAGCTGTGAGTATAAAATGTATGGCATATGACATCCACTTCCTTTCTATACTTTCCTCATTATTGGACAAGTAAAATACTAATTCTGGTCTCAGGTGTTAAACGTTCAACTTTTGAAAAAAATTCTACTATTCTGCGAAGAATTTATGCTTTGCATATTTTCCTTGCGTTGATTCTTTCTTTTTTCAATTTTTTGTTTGACTTTTTGATACTCTACCTTTTTTCCTTCTTTATCCCTTCTTTCTTATATGTTCAGCCCTGAATGCGGAGATGGCGTTACTTCAAAAACAAGCAGCATTGCGTCGCCTGCATGCGCCTATCTATGGCCAGGGAAAAGGAAGTGACAATGATGACGAACTTTTATAGGAGCAAGGAAGTGTAGAGAGGGAAAGAGCGAAAAAAAGGTACTGCAGGCGTTTTGGGGAAAATAGCATATAATGTGGCGTCCGATTATATGGAGCAAATGATATATAGGACATGATTTCTCAAGCTCCTCGATTTGTTAGAGATACCCCGAGTTGACGCTTAATCTTACTGCTTCATTCAGCACTTTCGTTTTCTTGTAGATGCTCAAGACTCCGTCCAGAGCTTTTCTATTTTTGCGATTTCAAAAATAACCGACGGCTGTACCTCTCCGCAACCTCGGCATAATTTCTCAGCCCGAGCTGCATGTTGGGGGAGGGGAAAGTCATCACCCTCAAAATTAAGAGAGAACTCGCAGGCTCTCCTCCTTTAATGTTGTATTCCTATCATCATAGATTGCAAGTCCAGATTTGGTATTATTGACTGTTTGTCTCCCAACGTTTCCAATTATTCCAGGCTATATTCATACTGTGCATCCATCATCATGAGCGGACCCGGAGTTGGGCATCAGTTCCCAAGCCAGGATGTGAGCTGGACCAAAAGAGACGCACTTCTCTTCGCAAATAGTATTGGGGCAAAGGCAGATGAACTTCATTTTCTCTATGTACGTTTGTCTCAAATTATATTTTTCACGTCGAAATTTTAACGGAAAAAGGGATGACACAGGCAATATTTGGTTGTTAACATCCTCCGCTCATTAGGAACTACATCCAAACTTCACCCTATTCCCAACATATCCTATCATCCTCCGTACGTGCCAGCTTTACCCAAGCAAGAAGAAAAAGAAAGAAAGGAAATGCAACAAAGGAATCCAACCCGAACTTTGAAACACAAACTGATATAAAACCATCCGCTGCAGCTTTCAAGCTCACAAACCAAGAAGTAACCGACTTCTACGCGCAAAAGACTGGAAATGCCATCCCTGGTGTTCCCAACTTCGACTCCCGCCGCGTTGTTGACGGACAGCGCAAAATGACCTTTCTCAAGCCCCTACCTGTCTCTAGTGCGGGTCGCCAGTTCGAACTGCGGAGCTCAGTTATTGGCGTCTATGATAAAGGAAAGGTGGGATCTATCGTTGAGACGGAGCAGCAGATTGTCGATAAAGAAACCGGGGAAATCTATACCAAGGCTGTTGGGAGTGGGTTCTTTGTTGGGCAGGGAAATTGGGGTGGCCCGAAAGGTGATTATTTAAACTCAATCCCTCCCCTTTTGTTTCTTTGGGAATCGCCAAAGGGCTGGGGTAAGGTTCAGGAGCGCTCGGGTTATGTATACGTATAACCCACCAGCTGAAGGATAATAATTCATGCTGTTGTTTTCTTATGTAGGTCCGGCTACGGTGAATTATCCTCCTCCTAAGGGGAAGGAGCCGGATGTTGTCTACAAGCACCAGACAGATGCGAATACACCGTTGCTCTACCGGTATGTTCTGTCTAACAATTTACTTTTTACATATTTTTTCCACTCCAAGCACTAAAAATTGTCTTCTAATTCACAGTTTGAACGGTGACTATAACCCTCTCCACGCCACGCCGGAGCCAGGACAGAAAATGGGTTTTGGCGGTGTCATTATCCACGGCCTGTTCAGCTGGAACATGGCAGCCCACGCAATCCTGAAGACATTGGGTGGTAGTGACCCGAAGAATCTCAAAGAGTTCCAGGCACGATTTGCGTCCCCGGTGATCCCCGGGGTAAAGCTGATCACTGAGATTTGGAGGACGGGGAAGCCCGAAGGTGGATTTGAAGAAGTTGTGTTTGTAGTTAAGAATGGCGAGGGAAAAGTTGTGTTGAGCAATGGTCGGGCATTGGTCAATGTTGTTGGTGGGAATAGTAAGCTGTAAGCTCAGGTAGGTTTTTTGCTCTGATGAGAGATTTAACCTAGGCTGCAGAAATAAATAATAAGTCTTGACAGTCTCACCAGTCACCACTCAGCTCCAGTCCCTATTTTATTCATTCCCACCGCCAAGATCCTAAAATCACGGCACCACACAGTCTTTATGGCACGACTTATGAATGTAAAAGATTTTTCCCAGTCAGATCGGCTAGAAGATCCGGGCGAGAGAACAGAGTTTCGGATTGACTGGTTATGTCAAGCCCGGACATTTTGACGTGCACTGATTGACAAAGAGGCAAAGGAAGTTGTTGGCCAAGGGGGATGGATATAGAACGATCATCCTTGATGGCCTGAGTCAAGGGTGCTCAGCAGGGGTTTTCGCATTTCTTGCTGGTGGCTTGGGAGAAGAGTATAGTAACGAAATGGAAGGTTGCAACAGAAGGCAAGTGGGATGGTTTGTGGGAATGAGTGGCTGGTTGCCATATCACAGACAGCTAGAAGATATTTTCCAACCTTTTTCAGGAGATTTCATGGATGAGAACACATTCGACCCGTTCACCTAATCTCCTCCACTGAGAGCCGATGACGGATCCGACAATAATGACAGCAAATCTGCAGAACTATTAATACAAGCAATCAACCACATCCGCGACATCCCTGACCCCCCAATGATGCCTGCCCTTGCAACACACAATTTTCAAAGTCCTGTATTTCTCGGGCATAGTTCAGCAGATGAGAAGGTCTCAGTGAATCTGGGGCAGTTTATGGATGACTTTCTGCAAAAGAGGCTCGACATTGGATGTTACATGGAAGGCGTATGGAGATTTTGAGTCATCGGTACAAGGTTCCTGATGAGATTGATGACATTGTTCAGTTTTTTGAAGGAGAAGGTTGGTTTGCCGTCCTGAAGAGCTGAACTTGAAACTCAACTCTCAATGCATGCGCCTACCAGTAGATATCATCTGTCTTAGACCTACTGATTTTGCCCCCTCAGTACAATGGCATCGGCACCCTGTTGGGTGGATTCAGAATTAATCATATCATTTCAATGTTTCATCTATAATATGAAAAGCTTGTTGTATCAATTGAGAGAGCTTGTCATATGAAGATTTTGAGTTTGTAGGCTGGCGGTTCACCACATTTATGGCCGCCTCGGCAAGACGAAAGCCGTCGAAAGCATCCAGGGCTGCGTGCTACAAACCCCAAACAACAATTTGTTACCATTCAACGAATGAAGTACACCATCAATTACATACAGAAGCAGCCATTGGTAGAATCACATCAGCCATGAATTCTTCCTCCTTCGTGCCTGTCAAAAGAGCCATTCAGGTTGTAGGCGAAAGGTGAGAACCATGTTTAGTGTGCCCCGCAGCATAGCTGACGATGGAAACTCAGAATTCCAAGAAGCAGCTTTGTATATCAAGCATGCAGAGGACAACCGGTAAGTGTACACCGGATTAACGTGCGCCTGCATATGTTTTTGATCATCTGTTATCGTGCCCCGACCAATGGGGGACTTGCTGCGGCTGCAACGCAACGTTTAACTATCAAGTAATTACTGCTGACCTCCTTTTCAGGCAATCACATCGTGGTCTGTTAGAAAGGCGTGTCCGTATGGTCTTAGTTTGCCTAGACGAGCCCGTATGGGGTCTACAGGATTATTTTCATCCCTTGCTGCCAATCATCACCCAGCAGCGCTCGCCGGAGCTGCGAAACATTCCGGCGCTGTGAGCGAGCAAGGTTATGCACCTGTCTCGGTTGACCTTCCTGGGGGGGTTACGGGCAAATGGTAAGCCAATTGGATCATTTGCTGTCATTTCACTCTGGCAACTCTATAAGTAAATATCATTTTGCTCTGTTGGAAGCATTTTGCTTTGAAAATTGTTGACAGTATTACCTAGGCCGAGTCTATGGTTAAGGTTGGTATCTTTCAGGTTACTTGTGAGAATAGTATACTCACCAAGACGCAGAGATAACTGCCAGTGCAAGAAATGCATTCATCCTGACACGAGGCAACGGCTTGTGGATACATTTTCGGTAAAAGCAGCCTGGCATTGAGAAGAAAATAGTTGTTCTTTTCTGCAAGATCCTAACCGAATGGAACATTAGATACCTGGGGATATTCATCCATCAACCGTGAGAAAATTGGACAATTTTTTAGAGATTGAATGTATGTCAATGATGATCATTTCCTAGATGCTTCATTCCTGCTTACCTCCTTTCTAGGGGCAAATGACGGCCATACCAGTACCTATAGCTACTCCTGGTTATCAGAACATCATCTCAAGCAGAGGGGAAAATCAGACATTGTTAGATTCGGGTATTCAAGACCCTCCTACAACCTTTGCTCTTACAAATTCCTGATTATTAACATTGGTGCCAGGGCTGAGAAACAATCTGTTTCGAATGATCCTAATACATACCCCACTGTCTTGTACGACGAGGTCATGCTATCAGATGATGGCGTTCGAAAATGGACAGATCAAATTGTTTGCCTCCCTCATTTCGCCGAGGATGGTTTTGGTACTGATGATCTACCATAACAGTACCGGTGGGGCTTTTCCTTTGTCAAGGGATGCCCGGCAACCCCTGAAGCTACGGAGAAGCTCCTGGAACGAATAGCATTCATCAGACCTACACACTATGGTAGGCTTCGCAGCTCATTGACTTCCATATGGGAGTGGAATATGAAACTAAAATAACCTTGTCAGGTGGATTTTGGGACTTCACATCCGATCTTTCTCTGAAGGACATGGCCTACACAACAGAAGGTCTTGGCGGCCATACCGATACCACGTATTTTACCGATCCGGCAGGCCTTCAGATGTTCCATATGCTTTCCCATACAAACGGCTCTGGTGGAGAATCACTGCTCGTCGATGGCTTTGAGGCTGCTAAGACCCTCTACAATGAGGACCCAGAGGCTTATGAGGTTCTGAAAGAATTTGGCGTCGATGGGCATGCTAGTGGCAATGAACATGTATGTATCCAACCGGCGTGTCCGTTTCCAGTCTTTAATCATCACCCGATTACTGGAGAACTGTATCAAGTCCGATGGAATAATGAGGATAGGAGGCCAATGGTCAACGGGTCTCTGGAGGAAATAAGCAAATGGTACGCTGCAGCACGGAAATGGAATGAAATAATTACGAGGAAGGATATGGAACATTGGTTTCAGTTGGATCCAGGTTCCCCAATGAGTAAGCCCCTTTTAGCCAACCATATCATGTGTTGTCTATGATATCACTACTCCTGGACGATTCGCTAACTGATACCCAGTATTCGACAACTGGAGAATGCTCCATGGTCGGGCTCCATTTTCGGGAAAGCGGAGGATATGTGGTGGCTACGGTGAGTCTCGCTTCTATCCGCCCATTTATTTTAATATTTGATCAATTTACTGTGTATTAATAATACATTTCAATAGTGAATCACGACGATTTCATGTCTCGATACTGGTTGCTTAGGGATGGGCGAGAGAAAGTATTGAATAAAATATAGTTGGTTAGATATGTCGGATATAAAAGTATACAGGATCCTCGTAAATATGTATTCTTCTTGAGAATATGTATGCTTTGAAAATAATAAGGATGGAGTCTGTTTGTATATCACATGACCCATAATGGAAGTAGGCTAGTTGAGATCTGGAATAGGAACATTGACCTCATTTGATCTGTAAAGCTCCAGAGAGCACCAACTTCTGACTGAGCACCTACAACCAACTCTCCCTTCTATTGCTAACCATCACGTTTCTACACCTTACTGTTTCTTGATCTCTGTATAGCATACGAATTTGTAAATTTCCTAGCCCACACTGATTTTTTTATATCTCCACCGCAGTCATGTCAACTCTAGAGGATCTCGATGATCTTGAGCGTGAAGACAGGGACAAGAAGGACCAGGGTGATGATAAGGGGGAAAAAAAAGACCGGGATGGTGATGCTGAAATGAAAGATTCAGAAGAATGCAAGAAGGAGGAAGAGGAAGAAGTGTTAATAGACGATGAAATCCTGCGATCAAGTACCAGAGATATCATCAATCGACGGAAACTGCTAGAGAATGACATGAGAGTCATGAAGAGCGAGTTCCAGCGTTTGTCACATGAGCAGAATACGATGCAGGAGAAAATAAAGGATAACATGGATAAGATTGAGAATAACCGGTATGTCTGCCTGGGTTGTCACAACTGCATTCAAATTCAATTGCGGCTATTAGATTGACTCATACTCATGCCTAACGTCTTTGCATTGCCTTTACAGACAACTACCATATCTCGTAGGCAACGTTGTTGAACTCCTTGATCTTGATGTTGAAAAAGAAGCTGCAGAGGAGGGTGCCAATATTGACCTGGACGCCACTCGGGTTGGAAAATCTGCTGTTATCAAGACTTCGACCCGCCAAACTATCTTCCTCCCCCTCATCGGCCTTGTCGACCATGAGAAGTTGAAACCAGGCGACCTCATCGGTGTTAATAAGGATTCATACCTTGTATTGGATACTCTACCAGCTGAATATGACAGTAGGGTGAAAGCCATGGAAGTTGACGAGAAGCCAACAGAGAAGTATACCGACGTTGGAGGATTGGATAAGCAAATCGAGGAGCTTGTTGAGGCAGTGGTATGGCCGATGAAAGAGGCTGAGCGGTTCAAGAATATTGGTATCAAAGCACCAAAAGGTTCTCCCTCCATTAATCCCTTTTTATTATTTTTACTCCCCTAATCATCAAAATATACCCCTGGCTAACTACTAATGACTCTAACAGGAGCCCTCATGTATGGCCCGCCCGGCACAGGTAAAACTCTTCTTGCCCGTGCCTGCGCTGCTCAAACAAACGCCACCTTCCTCAAACTCGCCGGGCCACAGCTTGTCCAGATGTTCATCGGAGACGGCGCGAAACTTGTCCGTGACTGCTTTGCCTTAGCCAAAGAAAAGGCTCCGTCAATTATCTTTATCGACGAACTTGACGCTATAGGTACAAAACGCTTCGACTCGGAAAAGTCCGGTGACCGCGAGGTCCAGCGAACTATGCTCGAACTCCTCAACCAACTGGATGGCTTCGCCTCTGACGACCGCGTCAAGGTGCTTGCTGCTACGAATCGTATAGATGTGCTTGATCCAGCCCTCTTGCGCTCGGGTCGTCTGGATCGCAAGATTGAATTTCCTCTCCCGAACGAGGAAGCTCGCGCTCAGATCTTACGCATTCATTCCCGTAAGATGGCTGTCGACGACGGCGTAAACTGGGCCGAACTGGCGCGGAGTACAGATGAGTTTGGTGGTGCGCAGTTGAAGGCTGTGTGTGTGGAAGCTGGAATGATCGCCTTGCGAAAGGGAATGAATAAGGTTGGCCATGAGCATTACGTTGATGCCATTGCTGAGGTGATGGCGAAGAAGAAGGATTCAAGCACAGGCATCTATGTCTGATTATTATTTGTTCCCTATTATCTACAATCGTTATTCCTTTGCTGTGAACAGCACTTGCTGACGCCTCTTCTCTCGTTTCCGTGGTGAGGTTTGTGTTATTCATGTGTGAGAATAGCAAAATGAATTCAACACTGAAACCGAAGGTTTCTTAGAACAGATTGGATCCATCCTGGTGTTAAGCATATTAAGCGGTTATTTTAAACATAGTTCCTGCGAGGCGGGCGATATCTTTGCAAGAAAGCAACAGCAAATGACCTCCTAGTATTGTCATCGCAAAAATATGCTGAGCGCGTTGTGCATGTTCACCTACATGGACGCTGGAGCAGATCACCCGTATTGTCAAAGAACACCCGATACATATAGTAAAATTACAAGAATTTACATATACAATGTCGACAGAAACAAGGCCAGCTTCATTTCAAAATGCCGAATAAGGAAATGAGAATGAAAGGGGAATATATCAATCAGTCTTTCGAGATGAAATACATAGAAATACATCCACGTTTCCAACAGGAATCTAGGAAACGGCGAATACTACGGTGTGGAACATAAACCTTTGCATGCGCTAGAAATTTATATGGTAAGCATGGTACAAACCAGTTAACAAGGGCCCCCAGAGTTATGCTGTAAGGACTGTATTCATTTGAGCTCCAATATTGAGATTTCCGCTTAAGTTTCTAGCATGTGCAAGGACTTCTGTTCCACACCTCCATAGAGTGGTTTATTTCTCACCTCTGAACCGGTGGTTCTGGGTTAAAAAGAGGCGATTCCAAAAACAATTCTCAAAGCAAAGGACCAATAGGAGCCAGGGAAACGGGTGGAAATGAAACCGCAAGCGCACAAGAGATGCTCAGCAGCCAGGGGTAAACTCAGAATGTTAACCATGCAAAATATATCCACCTCGATATTAACGTAAATTTTTTTTCAAAATAATTGTTCCAGCCTCACTATATCTGCCGAGACATTGTTGGTTAATGGTCTGTCACGCTCGACATGCCACCACCAATCCTTCCCCAATTTATGCCTCCGATTCCAGGAACCGTCGCAGGTCTCTCTAGTGGTCCAAAACGGCTGGCCTGACCAAGCGCCGGAGCCGACACCGATGCCCGTGGTAGTTTGGGAACCACACATCTGCAACGTCGGAGACAAGGGGTCTGGCGTACGCGGAGATAACGGCTGCCTCAATTTATGATTTGAATTGTTGTGTCCAGAACTGCTACCAGCACCCCAGGAGCTGAATAGAGATGAAGATGGGGACGATGAGGGAGTTGATGTGTCATCATTCATGCTCGACCCGGTATTTCTTCTGTCGGTGGAAGATGGTGATGCTGCTACTGCATTTGTTCCTGCAGCTGTCAAGTATGCTGGCGTTTGATTTGAGGACAAGTAATGACGCCAGCTTATTAAACCGCCGTCAGCGTCTGAGCCGGGGATGTCAGGGGTGAGTATAAAACGGGGGGGCGGTGCAGCCACCGTTGTACTTGATGATGTGCACACTCGTCCGATGCACAATGGAATGGTAAATTCATGCACAGTAATGCCATGTGAATCTCGCTCAGATGAAGGAATAAATTCTTTGTTTGTTGATGGGGCCAATACGTCATATGTATCACCCGGTCCTGGTTCGGAAGTAAGGTCGGAAAATGTGGATGGTGTTGGTAGCTTGAACGCCCCTGAGTGATCACTAACAACAACCTTAATACCCGTTTCGTTGCTTTTAGCAGCCTTGTCGATAAGTGTTTGGCCGCGTATGCGCGCCGAAGTTAAGTTGTTTCCACCTGGGAGTGCTAGAGGTCGCTTTGGGATTGAACCATGCGAGCTTCGTGGGAGGGAATAGCGGTCTGCGGGCACCATGATCTGGCCGTTTCGCGCAGGCCGACAAACGGCCTGCAACGCCCCAAGGGGTTCCACGTCATGAGGTGCACGGAGAGACTCCAAGCACGGAAACCCCGAATTCAAGATGCTCTGAGCGAGATGGGAGTTGGCCGTGTTGGACTTGCTGAGCGATGACAGGGGTGTGAAAGAGTGAAAATCAGTTAGAGAACCATTGGTATCTGAACATGCCACGTCCCAATGGAGGTGCTTCAAGGTTGATGAAGCGAGTAATGGTTGGAATATCATCCCTCCGTCAGAAAGTATCGGCACAGTCTTGGTCTGGACAATGCTGAAGCGTTCGAGTCTTCTCAAAGACGCAAGAATCTTAGAAATTATCAAGAGAGAGCTAATTTTCAATTCTACTAAGGTTAATGATTTGAGGGCGCGAGCCTCTGGACGAGTTGAATAATGGGCCAGTCCGTGCTGCGTCAATCCTGGGAGATTCTCGAGACGGAGCGATATCAACTGAGGCAAAAATAATAATGTACGATGTGTAAAATCATCAGCTTGGAAACCGCTAACTGTCAAATGACGTAAGGATGGAAGGAAGTTGAGTATCCGTAAGAATATGCCATGTCCCACTACTCCACTGGAATCCAAAGAATGTACCATGAGGGTGTCGAGGTTAGACCATGAAGCGTGGTAGTTGAGGAACTGGAAAACTTGTTCATTATCTAAAATTTGGGCAGATTGGCTCGTTGACCGTTCGCTGGTTTCGGGGTTGCCCGCAAAGATCCACGCGTGCTCCTTGAGTTTCTTCCGCGTTGAAAGAGCTTGTGTCAAGCGGTCAAACTCGTGGTTATAGGGCAACGAAAGCCCGACTAGGCGTTCCAAGTTCGGGCACACCATCACGACTGATGCCACAAGGTCCCGATATTCCTGTGCGGTCATGCTTTGTTTTCCATTTCCCCCCATTGCCGTCTCCAGATCAGGCACCCTAAGCTCAAACACTGCATTGGCCAGCAACTTTCTCTCTCTCAAAGATCGTCGCAGCAATCTTAATCTACTTCCTCTTTTCCACTTGTATTTCTTGAGTTGAGCGGGCGAGTCGTTGCCTTGGATATAGATTTTGTTATATCTAAAGAGGTTTAGCAATTGTCGATCCGTTTTATGCTGGGCCCGCTTACAGTTTACCCCTCACGGCTTTTTCCCAAGCTCTGCTGGTTAATGCTAGGGAATATAAATCTCGCATGTAGCATGTTATACACCCCTGGCAATGGGGAGCTAGGTGAGAACATTGCAGATGTGAGAGGATGCAGTCATAGACTTCCTGTGGCAATGACCTTGAGCATAGCAATGGTTCTTTGGAGCCTGAATTAGCTGGCTTGAACGAGCGGAAAATGAAGCTGCCGGAGGGGCCCGCTGTGGTAGACGAGTATATTCCCGCGTTGGGATAATTATTATTTCGCATAGATTGCGTCGAAGATGTACCGGGAGAACGGCTCCTGGATTGCATGGGAGCAGGATACACAGATGCCTGGCGGCTGGAGGCCACGCCTTGATATGAATCATCACCATCGCAGGCCATTCCTATGAAAGAGGAGTGTCTACTTGCAACTGCGTTCATTGTGTTCTATTCAGGGGAAAGGATGAAGCGCCGATGAACGGAAGAATCTCAGGAAGGATCAAAGGGAATGGATTATTTCCTGATCACTGGAAACTCAAGGGATAAAATCAAGTGATAAACCAACAACTGCTGGACGGATAGACACAAGCTAAGAGCGTTGGCTGGCAAACGAGCAACTGAAGGAATCTGACAAGCCTTGCCGATCAACTCCACAAGAAGGATGATCCTTGGAGTGAAATTCTCGCAACCATCTCCATAGTTGTTCAACAAACTACTGTGTATGTTTTGTCTGAGGAGACAGAAATCGTTAGAAAATTATTTTGAGCTGTGAACTGTATTCAGCGTCCACCTACCGCTCTTCATTCCTTGATCATCCAGGCGCCCATCAATCGTTCTCTCGCAACCAGCGAATTTCCTTGGACAAGCTTGCGATAGGCCCACTGCAAAGCCAAGAGAGAAATAGCTTGTTCTTAGCGCTTGAGTAGCAACTTTGGTCGCGAGGTTAAAGAGCCACCAGCCAGTGGGGGCATCAACAGAGGAAATAGGGGTAGTGACTGGCTGCGCCCGTTATGATGCCATATTGGTACTCCGGCAGTAGCGGATTTTTGATTTCCGCGGTTTGATGTTGTCATTTTCTGCTTCTTTCCTTCCTGGAGATTTCTTCAGCTCATTTTGTGGTTGAATTGATACTCTGGAGAACGCAGATGTCTGCGAGTTTCCTGTCAGATCGGGCTAAGGATTCAAGTCGAAGGGCTTGGCCAGATAAAGGTTAGCGCTCAGATTGCTAACCCCCCTTTGGGTCAGACCAAGAACATGTCGATGATACAAGAAGCAAGGTGACTTCTTCAGCCAGAGGGGATAAAATCTCGCTTCAATTTCATGAGATCGAAGTTAGGACGGATCAAGAACGGGCCATGTTTCTTCAGCCACCCAGGTAATGAGCCAGCCGCAGCAGCGGCTCGTTGAACCCGATGCATTTCCAAATGCAAAAAAAACTGAACACGAATCGACCCTTGTTGATTCGATCTGTGACGTGCATCACCAGCCGCTTTGTTGCAGTGATAAGCTGTTTCCTCTCCTTAGTGGCGTCACTGGCGGCCTCTGCCTTCCTCTCGTGTCTCTCATCAGACCTCACTAACATCCCAATCATGTTGCTAAACCTCGTGTTACCGTGCCATGCATACAGGCAAGGAAGGAGGAGAGTTTTTCAGGAGTGAAAAGAAAATATATATATATATATATATATATATATATATATATTTTTAATTTGTCGAGGGTTTTTCAGGTATCGATCCATGTGTTCTGCGGAATTATTCGGAGGTGTTCTGAGGTTGTAGGTTTATGCGGAGTCGCTTGAGGCCTTCGTTGGATTCCCGCTTCATCATCAATGAATCTGTCAAATCCAAATTGACGAAACCCTACTGCATAAACGGCTTTTACGTAGCAGAGAAATTCCTGGCCATCGAGAGAGGTCTATCAATTAGGGGAGACCGGAAGGATTGCGTGGAGGAAAAAATAATAATAAACTTCGCAAGTCTTTCAGGTCCCGCCCGGATTCGAACCGGGGTCAGTGGAAGTTGAGAGTACATCAAAATCCACCGTGATAACCACTACACTACGGGACCATCGTTGGCCATACTTTAGCACTCGAGTGAATTAACAATGAAAACTCAGGAATCCCTTTTCCAATTCTCGGGTGTGCCATATGTCAAGTGAACAGTCCAGGACGTGAAGGAAGAGACTATCAACTTTGGAGAATAAAAAAAGCATTATGCAATTTTTTTCCCCATGTTTTCCGTTTGACAGCTTAGTCCCAGGGATTTTGAGGGATCATGGAAGGTTTATCTTCCAGAAACAAGTTCCTGTGGAGCAGCTGCATTGTGCTGAAGAAAAACGGAAAGTTGCTGACTTGAGGGCGAGTTGGAGATATTGAAACTAGGCAGTCCACATCACGATTCACAGTGTTGGCATCGTAGGAGGATCTAAGTCTTCGACATATAAATTCCCAGCCCGTGGGCTCCCTGACGGAACCTGTCAGATGAAGTTGCTTCCGGCTAACCTCACTGCAACAGGGGAGGCACACTGCATCTACCAAGAGTACAAGCAACATGAAGGGCCCAAAGGATATTCATTCGTATTCGATACTTTTGAGCACGGTATTCCAAGGAAAATATGCAGTGCCACTGAGCAACTGTCAAAACCTGGATTGCAACCACGCTATCGTCTGCAGGAGAAGGAAGAACAGGAATGCTTGGGCACCTCAGATTAGTAGTGCTAAAGTGCACCCTACGATAACCCCAGAAGCAACGTCAGCGGCGGAGGGATTCTGTTCCGATAAAGACGGGCTAAGAGAGTTATATTAGCAAATGGATGATGGTTTGACAGGAAGCACAACTTGGCATTGGGCAGAGAAAGCTGAAAATCCTCACAAACTACTGACTGCTATGTACAGTCTTAAGAAAAATTCATGAATATGACGGATTATTACCCCGTTTTTCTTAGCTGAAGAACCTTATTAGAGCGGGCAGAGACTACGACAGCACGACGTGGCAGATATGCGTGGTTAAAATCATAATTTTTTTCTAGCAGCATTTTCCTTCTCATGAGATCCCCAAGTAGACCATGAATTTGCGTTCGAGACCACGAGGGGGTAAAGCCGCGTTTTTTTACGATAGATATATAGCTATATATATGCCCGCTCCAGAGGATATCGTGATGTAATATATAGATCTCAGAGAGAGAGAGAGGAAAGTCGTTGAGAAAAAAAAAAAATAAGAAACGAAGGCGGAGCAAAAGAAAAACACGAAATATTTTGATATGCCAATATGTTCTTTTTAACAACCCATAAGATGCAAGAATATAAAATAAATGAGAAATGACAACGTTTGTCACGCATCGTAGGATTGACGTAGGGACTGCGTAAGTTGAGGTGGCGGGTGGAGCTCAAAAGGGAAAGAGAGAAAAGAAAGAAAATGGATGAATATATCTCAGCGAGGAAAAATAGAATGATCAAGGCAAATATCGTAAAATCTCAAGGTCAAGGAGGAAGGAAAGTGCAAAACAGAAAAGTGGAAAGTGATATCATTTTGCAAAACTATACGCACGCGGCAGTATGGAAGAGGCGGGGGCAGAGGAGAAGCGCGGGGCCCAGACGAAATAGGGAGATTGCGTCCTTTTCTCCCTTCCGCCAAAATGGAAAAGGAAGAAATGGGGTGAAAGGTTGATGAAAGTTTCCACTGGGCGCAACCTCCGGGGCCCCTTTTCTTTCTCTTCTCACAAACGATCTATCAATCAATCAAATCAGACGTAACGCGATGCAAGGATTCTGAAGGCTGAGGGCAATTTCATACAAATGGAAAAAATAGGAGGTGCAGAAGAGGACTTAGATAAAAAATTATGAAGGTAAAACGCAGAGCAACAAAAATTCGCTGGAAGCCCGTCTTGATCGGAAGTGTTTTAATACACAGACAGTGGTGCGGCGCTGTCGAATTAGAAATCAATGTGAAAAACTTTTTCTGTGTGTTTTTACTGTTTGTTCATGGCTCATACAATAAACAGGGATAAATAATCATTTGCAGAAGCAAAAGAAACACCTCCCGAGGGTTAAAAAGCCTCCCGCATGCAATTCGTTAACACGATAAAAGAAGAAGCAAAGGAAAAGAGGATGAAAGCCGTCCTGATCATATACAGAGACAGAAGAAGTATGTGCATGGCAATTAATATCTTCATTAATATATTCTCAACTCTGTTTTTGGTTCAGCGGTCACATATCGAAGTGATAGTCATCATCCCCAAAAATACCACCTTCTGTGGACTCACTCGTCTTTACGATCCCGCTCATTCGATGATCTCTTCCACTCACGGCGGGCTGTGCCGGTTTCACCCATGCATCATCTGATTTCGTGCTTTCCATGTGAACATCCCTCATGTGCTGGTCCATGGAACTTTCATTGACAAAAGTAAAACCTCTGAAATTGGCTTGCATACCCGGAGATAAAGGCGTTGACGCTGGCATGGCGCCCGCCGCGAGCGCAGCAGCGCGCGCATTGAGGGAAGTCGCTTGGTCCAATGCAGTTGTGAATTCTGGATCGAAGTATGAGGTATCCATCACTGACTTCAATTTCGGTTTGAAAGGAGGGACCACATTTTTCCGAGCCAAAGCGACCCAATCAACATCATGGAAGAAGGGATGGGCCATGAGTTCTTTCGCGTCGTCCGTAGCTCCCAGCCGGTGCTTTGGGTTTCGATTAAGCAGACCTTTCACGAAATTGCGTCCCTCAGTGCTAAGAGCATCACGAGGAAACCTCACTTTCCCGAAGGCGATGTTTTTGTACATCTGCTGCGTATCCTCTGCATAGAAGGGGCTCCACCCACAGCACATCTCGAAGACGAGCACGCCTAACGACCAGAAATCCACCATTTTCGTATAACCCTGCTCATCTAGGAGGACTTCAGGGGCAAGATACTCTGTTGTACCACAAAACGTATTAGTCGTTTGATTTTTCGTCAAGTTTGCTTTTGATAGTCCAAAATCACAAAGCGCAATGTGGCCATTTGCATCAAGTAAAATGTTTTCTGGCTTAAGATCCCGATAAACGATGTCATGTTCGTGTAGATGTTGTAACGCCAATATCAGCTCAGCAATGTAAAACTTCGCCCTGGCTTCTTGAAATCTGCCTTCCTTTTGTAGATGCCAGAATAGCTCCCCTCCCGACATGTAGTCCGTGACAAGGTACAAATCAGTTGGCGTCTGGAAAGAAAATTTGAGGCCCACTATAAATGGAGAATTCGTCATTGCAGTTCGAACCAGGATATTCCTTTCCCCAAGTGTATGGGCAACCTCCTTCTTCTGTATGATCACCTTTTTGGAGAGGACTTTCATTGCGTATATTCGTTGCGTGTCCTTCTTCCTCACTTGATATACTTGTCCAAACGTTCCTTTCCCTATGAGTTTTAGGATTTGGAAATCATTTGGCCCAAATTGCTTCTTATCTGTTTTCTGAAAGCTCATTTCTAAGTGTATTTCTCCAGACACATGCCCGTCGAGCCGACCGCGAGCCACTAGCGGATACCAACCTGAAATAGACTGGTTATCCTCCTTGAAGCTGGCACTCAATTTTACATGACCTAAAAATGCTTCATGATTCGACCTGTCATAAACCGAAACCTCAATTTCCGATTCGTCTCCAAGGACATCACTAATATTGATCAGCAAGAGTTCATTTCTGGTTTTTGCTGGAGACTTTTTAAGTTAATGTTTGATTGACGGGGAGGTAGGAACAAACGTACAAAACAGCTTCATGATTCCACTGAGGATCCATCACTACGCCTGACTCTTTATGATCATGATTGTCCAACAGACTGTTATTACTACTTTGTCGACTTTTCATTGGGATTGCCATTGGGCGCCCAGAGTCACTGTTCGATCGTTGGATTGGTACTGAGGATAGAGTATCCTCTGCTTCCTTCGTAGTCTCGACATCATCCCCCTCCCCCGTTTGGGCGCCTTTGGAAATGTACTCATTCAATTCGAAGACGCACACAACGTAAGGGTCGTAACTTGGTCGTAGGCCTCGTCCCTCCGATATTTTGATGGATAGTTTTCCTTTTAGCGACCCTACCGGAATCCCTTGAGTCACTGTATTGCCAGTAGAACGAGAAGATGAAGGCTGGGGGGTTCGCTCGCCCGACTTTATCGCTTCAGGATGGTCGTGAGGAGGGGAACGAGTGGACCTATCTAGTTGGGGAGGTTCATTTGTTGACATCGCCCTCGGGGTCAACGGCGGTGTATTCTTTGGCAGTTTATTGGCAGTCAGCTTTGCCAGTTCCTCAGAAGAATTGGAAAGCGTGCATGAGTGAACAGAAGGTGACAGGGTGGGGCAAGTGGGGGAAAACGAATTATAATAATGAGATGCAAGGGCAGGATCCTTTGAGAGGTTACTAGAAACGGGTTCTGATGTATGCCGCCCAATCTTCAAGGAATTCTGCGAAAGCAGGTTTTTATTGCGCGTCAGATAGAACTCATTCCGCTCTCAATCAGAGGTGCTCCATTCTCTGCTTCTTCCGCCTCCTTTTGCAAAATCGAGCAGGAAGAAGATAAGGGTGGAGTGGGTAACCAGTTGATGTCCGAAGGTGCCATCCCTACTCTTCCTCGCTGATCTGATTGTTTTTCAGGTTGAGGTTGAGATGGAACTGGAGCAGAAAACTGATTTCGCTCAAGTATTTACAACAGAGCCAGATAACGAGGTATTATCAGGGGAAGCCTTCACCTCCACATCAAGATGAGGATATACAAGAAAATCGTGTTCTTTAGTAGAATCGGAACCACGAACCTGAAAATAGCTCGGTATTATGCTTGGGAAACGCTTGTCGGTAAACTCTGGTTGTGGCGTGGCAGAGATCCCATCGGGAGGTGTTGCAGAGCCTATATCATCATCATTTTCTCTACTCAACATTAGCTACAGTCCCAATGCATTGGGCAAATGTAGGTGGAAAGGCTGGGTAAGTCTTAGGAAACCTCTCCAGGTCAGAGAAAGGGAGATTGAAGGGTTATAAAACGCGGGAATTTCAACACAGGAGAGATGCGATTCCTCAAATAAGGACGGAGACAGCCCGTTGGTATTGGCGTAGAGGTTAGGTTATGGTTTTTTTTCCTTTTTTCTTTTTTCTTTTTTTTTCTTTTTTCCCAGCGCAGTATGGTCCAGAGCCTCCGCAAAAAGCACCAGACTTACAGCATGGCCTCCCGTAGTAAATCAGCATGAGTCCGTTGTCCTGACATGTTTCATGCAACAAAGCTGACCATCCACCTAAAAAGCTGTCAGCTGCCGCCGTAGTACCCACTCAAAACAAGCGTATGTATGGAGAGTGGAGGGTCGAGAGTCGATCGCAGGTTTCGAAGGTCGGAATTGGTGCAAACGGTTCGTTCTAGATTCAAGAAAAGAGTGGGAAAATGTTAAAATTAAAAACAAGTTTACAAGTCGAAGAAACGAAAGGTAAATGCACGATGAGTATGTTTAGAAATTCAAACAAACCAAGAATTGATTGAAAATTATCAAAGAGGAATCCTCAAAATGGAAGAAGGGAAAGGTGAGCAGCAGGTGAAAAAAAACAACGAAGAAAAAATTGCGCCTTGTCCTGGAGCTAGCAAACTCTGCGGAACATACTCAGGCCAGGACAGTAGGATGGAAATGCTGGGGGTTGGGCGGCGGTGAGTTTCGGGGGTGATTATTTTTAAGTTGACTAGCAAAGGGAAACAAATGAGGGGGTTAGAAACATACATGCCTAGGTACCTATTTAGGTTGGGGGAACCACTGTTTACGCGGGGGATGGCTGGACACAGCCTTATTCAGCTGCCTCGACGAGAAGAGGGCAAACAAGTTACTTGTGATGATGATGCTGCTGTTGTTGTACCCGTAGATGCTGTTGTTGCTGTCTGGTCTGGCAATAGGGAGGGGGGAAGTCCAGAAAAGCTCGGTTGAATAAGAGAGGTATCTCTTCCTCATAACTAGTATGCACGTTCACAGCACGGGGAACATATCGGCACGACCAGGGAGCCTGAGAATCCAAAAAACAGAGGGGGCCATGTAACCTAGGCAACGCGAAAAAAACACGCAAAAGGGGGGGTGTGGTTTGGGCA